CCCCCCCCGCCCCCCCCCCCCCCCCCCCCCCCCCCCCCCCCCCCCCCCCCCCCCCGCCCCCGGGGGGGGGGGGGGGGCGGGGGAGATAAATAAAGGAGGTATGGACAGATTAAGAGAAGATTCGACGTCAATCCTCCCCCAACCTTGACGGCAAAGTGTGGAAAATTGTGTATGAACAGCAGAAAGGGTGGCTAACCACTCGGGGTTCATGGGGACTCAATTGACAACTTACTTTCCAAGTACTGCATGTAGAAGCCCCCCATGGTTGTAATGGACGATAAGACCGACAAGATAAAAGTGGAACAGACAAGACAAGTAACGCCTGAAAAGGGAAAAAAAAAAAAAAAAAGCAGACCGCGGGATGGAAGCCGGACTCCGTTCGGATGCGATGCAGTCGAGCCCAACCTAGGGTCAACGTGGCCTAGAGAGCACAAGAAAGGTAGGGCAGAGTTTGGCGATGAGATTGTCTTACACACAAGGAGGGTGTGTGTGTGTGTGTGCGTGTCCGTGTGTGGTGGGCGGTGGGAGAGGTTAAGGCAGATATCTACGTATTCAAGGCTCAGGTAGCAAAAAAACCAAGCCAGCAACGGCGAGACATGGGTGATTTATTGCAGGAAATGGGCAGTTAGTGCGGGGCAGGGATGGGGAATCGATATACCGGCGGATGGGAAAAGGACGACGGAAAGGGTTGAGGAAAAAATAGGTTCGCCAGATGCAGGCTCGAGATGCGGCTCTCAAAGTGTGACCCATCTTGATGTGTTGGCGTGTGTGGTTGCCAGTGATAATCTGCTGAGACGAGGGGAGCTCCACTCGCGACAATGGAGATGCATCGGCTTGGCGAAGATCTGCTAGACTCTGATAAGTCTGGCAGCAGCATCGACTTCGGTACCATCCCTACCGCCGGCTCAAGTTGCGTTTTGCTATTCTGGCCCGTTCCATATTGTCCGGTTAAGGGGGAGGCCATGGAGCAAGCTGGATAAAAAAAGAGCCAGTGTGCATGCAGAGTTAGGCAGAGTGAGGTGGCAACAAAAATGGGGATTGTCCACGGCCAATCCGCAATTCGAAGGAAGTATGGGAGGATCTCAGACAGGCTCTGATCTTGGCGGCCACCCAGTAAGCTCTCGAGCTGGGCGTGTCCGGAGTCGCAAAGGGCAGGATGTGGCTGGTCGCAGCGCAGGAGGAGCAAAGTAGTGTAATGAGGAGAGAGTGAGGAGACCCAGGAGAGGCTATCCGAGATGCTCCTCTCTGGGCGGCCACTAATGCAGCTGTAACGAATCGACATGTACTCTCTGGTACTGGGACAGTTGCCGTAGCAGGCCAGCCAGTAATGGCAGTACATCAAGAGCAGACCTGCATATCTACCTGTCATGCTACCGCAGCAGAGGGTTGGGTATATGCGTACGCTGTAGCAGCACCATGTATGAGCACCATGTATGTGCATACATACAGACAGGCAGTTGGAGACGGTGAGCATGCCACCATCTGGAGAGACAACCCCAGCCCAGACCTCCCCAAGACGACGACGAGGAGCGAGACGGAGGCCGAGACGACGGGGCTAGCCACGACATCGGCCATCGGAATTAGCTTTGTGGGCCGGGCAGTTAAGTTCGTGACAAGGCCAGCTCTCGATCCATCTCAAGACGAGGAGGCTGGCGAATCACGGCCGGGCAATTGACTTCTCTGGAAGGGCCAGCTAAGATTGAGCGGGGCAGCGGTTGTCGGCCATGGTTAATATGACAGGCTGGGAGATGGCCAGCGGGGATGAGGTGCATGAACAGTGGTTGGGATTGGCAAACCCTTGCATGCCCTGCCCTCTGGCCCTGTGGCCCTAGAGCAGGCCGGCCGAATCTGAATGGAGGAAGGACGCGAGGCAACTAAGGGCCTTAACACTCATGCAATGATGAGTTGGCATTGCTTGTTTGATATTAAAAACAGGAATCCAGATAGTCCGTTGGTGGGGTACATGTGGGAACTGTGGACGCACACATAATTCCGTATTTCCTTAATAATTGGCTGCCGCGAGGCAGACCAGAGCATCCGAGAGGCGACCATTTGACGGCGACGGGGGGACGGCGATGGCGGAGGGGCGAATGTATTGGATAGGTATTGGATGGGGATTGGCTTTTGGCTTTGATACTCCCGCCAGCGATCCCGGGGGCGAGGAGTGCCTCGACATCCCTCATTAAGGACGGGGACCCTATAACCCGACTGGCCTCCTCAGACCGTTGGTTTCACTCTGGACATTATTTCGCCATCCCGGTCTTGCCGCCCCGCATTGTGCAGTCTCCTGCAGTGCAGCCGGCTCCGTCTGGAGGCCTGGGATTCGCAATTTTCGGTGCAGCTCCAGTTATGTATTGCCAGCTCTGGCGGAGAAGCAGGGAACGGCGGAATACCTATCGTGGGATGGGAAAAAGAGACAAATTGCCTCGGGAGGTGGATCACGATAGCCAACCCAGGCAGCGGGGTTGCTGCAACTTGCTGGGTTAGGGAGGGTTCTGGAAGCGATGGAAACTGGGCAAGAAGCGAAGAGGGGGAATGCTTGGGAGAATTATTAGCCTGGCCCCCAAAAAATGGTAAATAAGCAAAGTTAAATCTGGCACTATGATTAGTACACCCCCCAATGGGGCAATGAACACCTATCAACCCTCCTGCCGAACCGTCTCCCTCGATGTCCTGGGGCGTAACCAGCTGCCAGATGTATGTCCGATGACGACGATGAGGATGATGATCAGAGTGAGGGGCAACATCCAATCCTGCCCCTCCCTTCCCCCCTTATCGTATCGCATGCCACTCCCTTTTCTTTTGCCAACGTCATACATACCATCCATGGATGCTTGTATGGACAGACACGGATTTTCCTTCGCCAGTCTCAGCCGGTATCTCTACATTGTAGTCGCTAGGAAGGGACCCTGCGGGCCTGCGGTAATCGATACCAACACCCTCGGCGGAAACAGTCGAGGGTCGGTCTAGTAGTAAGATCGGTTACACCACCCCGGTGCGGACCCTGCCGTGCCTCCCTCTTCTTTTGACTTCGAGTCCCCTTGTCACCAACTCCTCTGGTTCTTTCCTGCTGTACCACAACATGCATGCGAAGCTTCCTGCCATGCGACCCCCTTCGGTCCTTAGGCCCATCAATGAGCTCGTCTGATTTATGTCTGGTCCCGCCCCAGCGGCCAGTTCTGGCGGCCGCCTTGCCAGCGGACACCAACCTCCACAACCGAAGCGGGATCAACCGTCACCCTGCTCGGTAAATAATAGGAGATGGACTCATATCGAAAGTGTACACAGGACCGGGAGCATTGGGAAGCAGCACGTCCCGTAAACTGGGCCATTCAGCTGCTCCTTCGAGAGACACAGTGATCTACCCTTGCCATGACGCGAAGCTCCCCGGCTGAAGAGGGCGTTCGTCTGTTTGGCTACGAAGCTGGCCGTGAGCGACAGTATTCCACAAAGAAGCGGCCTAGTGACGTCCTGCATATATGATGGAAATGCTACCCTGCAGGTCATTGGGTTAGCATACAAGGCGACCACATCTCATTGCATGGCGCATGTACCTGGGCTATTTTGGCGGCCCTGGCGTCGATGGCGGAGCCGACATCAACTGCGGGTGTGTTTAGGACAGGATTGGTAAATGGATGCATCAACTCTCGTTGTACCCGGGCAAAACAATTATTGGAACTGGATTTTATGGGTCTCGATTTGCACTCTGCTAGCAAGGTAAGACGAGTCACGATGGGAAGGCTTAGCCGGGGCCTCCCGTGCCGCAGACCAACCGCCCCGGCCAGTCCACTAGGTACTCCAGAACTAAACCGCTGAGCTGTCAAGTATGAGTGGGAACCATATCTATCGTGCATCGCGATCTTCCGAACGGCTCCAAGATCACGCGGATTACCCCACAAGGACCATTTGACAGCCGGCCCGGTCCTATCGTCCGCGAAGATCGACCTCCACACGGGATATGCCACGCGAGAGGGGAAAGGGGGGAGGGGTTGAGTAGGCCCGAGTGGCCGTGATATCCTTGAGTGAGGGTGGCCAAGCGTCCTAGAAGCCTGGCCTCGCAGAGAAGAAATCTCTGATGGCCTCTTGAGAGCTGAATGGTATGGCGTACACGGGATGTAATGGGAGTATCCGATCCCCCTCGTCAAAAACCTGTACCTCATCGAGATACGGTGATACCGTCCACACTTGATCCTGCCTGCCAGAAACATCCATCTCCTCGCCCTCCGAGGGCGCAAGACGCCATTTATGCTGCGCAGAGCTTAGGCCCGATAGTACGTAGCATGTGTGGTATTGGTCGGAGAGCCTGATACTATCATGAGCACCCGCTCGGCGAAATTTATTAGCGGGGAGTGGCAAGTGTGTACTTACTTGCCAGGCTTGTCTCGCATGCCACCCCTCTTGGTTTGGTCCTGGCAGCAGCAAAGTATGTATCGGATGAGACCCTCCCGGCTGAAAAGACTTCCTGTGGCTGGTCGCAGCTGGTGCTTGGGAAGGTCGCTGGCGAGGGAGCCGGGCATTCCAAGGCTTGCCTCGACCAGTGGCCAACAAGCCCCGACCCAGTGGCTGTAGCATCCGTCGACGAGCTTGTTCGTGCGACCGGAGAAGCCGCCCTCTGGGGCGTATTGCCGAGAGGATAGCCAAGAAATAAGGCGTGGAACATCGAGATAACTTGAGCAATACGTCGACCGTCAGTTCAGTATAACAATCGTGGCCCTTGTCCTTCATCTTGCCACCGATTGAAGGGGTCACTATACTCCATACCTAGGGATGATCCGCTCGGGTGAGTCTAGGATAGCGAGGCAGCCCAAGGCGCAAAAGGCATATCCGCCATGCGCTTCGGCGTCAGGTTGCCCTGATATCCCCCCCTCAAAGGTTTGGCCTGGAGAATCAGCGGGGGCTGCGTCAGGGGAGGGGTTAGAGAGAACACGCTGATTGGGGCGTACATCTTCGAACGTATTCTGCCAAACCTGCGAAGAGGGTTGGATGGCCTTCTGTCCAGGCCGGCGATTCACGTGTCAAATCAAGTGGGAGGTTCAGGAGCGTGATGATTACAGCAGCGCAGTAAGCTCCCCTTTGAGCGCCTAGTCAGTCAGGGGCGAGAGTTTGCGAATGGGAGGGACAGCGATTCACCTGATATCCTCTTCTCCACCGAGACAGACTTGGAATCCGCCGTCGGCTTGCTTTAGAGAACAGAGCCATCTCCACATGGATTTTCTGTCGACGACCTCATATGCCTCCTCTCCGCCGACAAGAGCGAGGGCCAAGACCACGGCATAGGTCGTTGCCAGATGAGACAATTGGCCATTCCCGCCCCCAAAGCCACCGGAATCGTTCTGCATCGACTGCGCTGTCTCGATGACGCCGCGTTGATAGTCGGACACGTCCTCCCCGAGAAGTACGAGCGCTGAGAGGCACCAGTACAGGAACCAAGGTCGGGCGGCGTCTGCAGCGACGAAACGGCCAGGAAGCTTTTCTAAGGTACTATGGAGAAGCCTTGCGTGCCGCTGTCGATCTAACCGAGGAAGTCCATTTTCATTGTATTGGAAGTAGTCATCCTCACCGGCCAGGAATGGCAGGCAAGTCTCCATGGTCTCATCTTGGGCCTGGGAGGTGGCCGTCTCCAAGATATCTCTGATGGGTGGCGAGGTGGTGAAAAGGTCAGGAATCATGATGAGGGCTGAGATAGTGTTATGAGATACAAATTCGTCAATAAACTCTTCGTCAACAACTCTCTGGGATGTGAGAGGGTCGTTGCCCACGACGCGCGACGGCGACGCCATGGTTTTCTTCTTGAAGAGGACTCGGGGACGATGCCGTGTTGCCTTTGTCCTGTGTTTCATGGCATCGAATAAATGCCAGAGTAACGGCTTGGTCTGGCGTTAGTCGAAGGAACAATATCTTCCATGATGCCCCTTAGTATTGTTCTCAAGATTCCCACATTGGCGAGGCATGTGATGATTCATGGCCTTTCTTTGTTTTCCTGTTGTTGGTAGCTAGCCTACTAGCCTACGCACTATGGTTCTACCTGACGTTCCGGAAAACCAGGCTCGCAGGAGTCCCTGCCAGCTGGCGTGCAGGCGGCAAACCTGACCCAAGTGTTGACAGCTCAATTCCTCTGAATAATCTGTAATCTTTTCAACTTCATTCATTGTTTGCTCGAATTCTCGATCTTGTGACCAACAGACGCATTCCATCAACTACCAACCGCCTCTTCCAGTGGATCCCATTGGGCTTCTCAACCTGGCATCAGTGTCCACGCATTTGGAGCATGGCTTGATTTCAGCCGTGATACCTCAACAACATGCGGCCATATCGATCATTGCCATTAGCGTAAACTTGAAGGAGCTTGATCCCTCCATGGGATGGGGGAAGAAAGAGAAGTTAAAATAGTTTTGCGTAACTGAATATGGACAACAGGAAAGGAGGACCAAGAGCAAGGGGATGAGGGGCAGGGCTGGTTCTGTGAGATGTTGCTAGACGCCGAATTCTTAAGCTTCCTCGAGAGATGAGACATGTTAGTTCCGGCTTACTGCATAGTAGAAGCTGGCGCTAAGGCATCGAATCGTCGGTCACTGGAGAGGCTGTCTTTCTAAACGGTGCACTCCGGGGAACTCAGATACCAGTTCGGGTCAGCATATGCCCTGAGAAACCTCGGTCACGGCGATTCCGGTTGGCATCTTGGATATGGAGTCCGCAAATCCTACTTCAATGCCAAATTTCCTACTAACAACATGGCCAACTCCGTCGCAAAAGTAGTGAGCTAGAGAACGCGCTGAGCCGACCAAGAGCCCCGAGAGTCTGGACCTATCTCGACCAAGAAATTATTTGCCTAGCCCGAGGTACCTGTTTGCCAGGAGCTGCCAAGGCAGAGACCGTCGCTGAAGCTAGAGCCAAGCAGTCCAGTCCAACATATCCATCGACTGGTGGCTTGGCTTCGAGTGACGATCTGCAATTATCAGTTGGAGGGGGAAACAAAGAGGGACATTGATCGAATACCGAAACGCCACCAGATATGGCGAACACGCTGCAGATCACCCGGTGCTGAGAGGGGCCCAAGCCAGCAGGTAAGACGTGCACTCTTCGAGGATCAGCCCTGTCAACCTCAGCTGGGATAGGTAAGTGGCCCCTGAATGCCCAACACAGACCCAATTTGTCAACGCGCGAAAGAGTTACGCATTAACTACTATAAACCTATTAAACTTATACGCCAACCCGCTGGTGTTTGAGTTTCTCGACTGCTAGATTGAATCGACAGTGCATCACGACCAGCAGCAATTGACGCGCTGTGTGTGGTGTGTGGCTGTGTGCGACCTGGTTCAGGGTTCGAAATTGAGGGGTATGCTGTGAATTCCTACTACGTATGCACGGTTACACTGAAGCGACAAGCGTGGGGGGAGCAACATGCCATCCCTGCGTGATACTTCATTGGACTGAATTCCGCAGACTATCTTGTTCACCGTAGGAATAGTTAAGCCTCATACCCCCCTACCTACCTACATAGGTACAAATGTGTTACACACAGTGGCTGCTGTGGTTGGTGACGCCTTGTTGACGCCGATGCTGCTTGTCCCGTCCGGTCCACCGTATTGCGAACACAAGCTAGCTAGGGTCCTGTAGATTCTCTCCCCTGGAGAGAGGAAAAAGTGCTAAGCGGAAAGCAGGGGCATAGGACCTGACCTGATGAGGGTATACGCAGTAGTCTACACCTAGAAGATTTCGCGTCTCCATCATGCACCAAGGCAAAGCGCCGGGGAGACTCCGGAGGGGTTGGTGACCCTTGGTGGTGACGGGGCAGATTTAGCCAAAGACAGTTTAACGTAGGACGAAGCGAAGCGGAGCACATAACCTCCACATGAGCCCCTAATTCAACCGCAAGAAGCGCCAACTGATTTAGTTCAAGTCAAAGTCGGCACTGCAGGGGGATGCGTGAATCTGAGTTGAAGCTACCTTGCCTTACCTACAGCGGTACTCTTGCATTACCGCCAGCAGGCAGCGCGACGCTATCATGAAACCGATGTCGAGCTGTTGGTATGAGACAGGCAGTCTTGCTGAACTGCAACTTTCCATTAATAAACCAGTTTGGATCAATCAATTGACCCGGCTTTTGTCTCTCCTCCGCGACAATGTCTCAGGGGTCCAGCCAACAGCGATCCCCACATCAGGGCTTGGAAACCTAGCTGGCAAAATTCGAAAGTTGGGATGGTGGATGGTGCTGCTGCACGTGAAGGCACTGAGTGGTTGGGATTGGGATTTCTTGTCTCTTCTCTTCTCAGACAGTGCGGGGGGCAGCGCTGAGCTCAACTTTACCAAAAAGCCATTGGCCGCGTGAGCCCCGCCACTTCCTTGGCTCCATGTCGGTGCAACCCCTGATGCGCCTAATTGGCCTGGCTGGATGCACGTCGCTGCCGGACTGGGATGGAGCGGTGCAGTGCTCACCGCCATTCTGTTCGATTTGCACCACCTCCTCTCCTCCTCTCCTCCAGTCCATGGGCGCTTTCCCCCGTCCCCCGCTCTCCTCTCAGCAAACGGGTTCTGTGGCAGAGCGACACCTTTTGCCCTTTTGCCCCGTCTACGGGGCCCTCTTCGCCTTTAACGCCTCCATGACCGAGTCCTGAATCCCCCCTCTTCACCCCTAGTTCGACGAGACTACAAGCGGTGAAGCATCTCGTCGTTCCCGCCCTCCTGATACAATACTATCGCTTCTGCTCCAATCCCTTCTTCCCGCCTCTTCCCTCGTGGCCTCCTTTCCCCTGATTCTGGCAACATGACATACGACTTCAACGCCGGCGGTGGAGAAGCCGCATTGCTAGAGCAGTTTGCTTTCGACCACCAGCGGGACCGCTGCCCGTATTCCACCGTGGCCTCGACGTCCCCTTCGCAGAGCAATATCTCGTCCACCTCCACCGCGCTCACCACCATGTCGCAAGCCAGCCGCCAAAGCCTGAGTCCCGGGACAACATGGCTGCCTCTCGATTTGTCAGGAGGAGTTGGAGCCCCCATCTCAATCCACTCACCCAATACCGCCAGTGCGGGTGCTTCGTCTCCAGAAGACTTCCAGAACGACCAGTCTCCGGCTCATTTGAGTTCGGCCTCAAGTCCTTCCCAGCGGCAGCATCCGTCGCCGTTCGAGACGGCTGCTCACCCCAATCAAACATCTCTTTTGGCCGACTGGACCCTCCACCAGCAGTCCCAACCGCAGACTGTCGGGGACCTCTCCCAATTTATCCAGGATCCTTCCTTGGTTGGCTTCGTCCCCTTTGGCTCCAACTACCAACCCACGCCGCTTGACTACCTTCCGGCAACCACCCAGGCTGCTCTCCAGGCAGGCCTCCACATGGACCCCACGTTCAACACCATGTCTCCCGTTGACGACACGTCCCAGGCGATGCAGTGGGGCAGCATGGGGGGCAGCATGGGTATGGTGAATTGGCATGACTTCGAAACGGCAATGAATTTCCAGTGTGACGGGCTTCCCCGAATGGGGAGCCTTGGAAGCAATTCCCCAAACAGCACATATGTCGAGGTTGTGTCCCTGGGCTCCGGCAGCGAGAGTGGGTGGAACACGGTTGATGTCTATCAAAACTTCGACTCGTATCAGCAACAGGCACAACAACCACAAAGTACCGCCATCTTCAATCCCAGCCAGACCCTCCACCTGAGAACCAACTCGGATTCGTCCCAATCTGACGGAAACTCTCTCGAGTTTGGCAGCTACGAGGAGGTTACCTTCCCCTACTCGCCCTTCTCGCCAGACTCGGACACGATCGACCCCACGGGCAACCACCGCAATTGTTTCCCCACTGAGAATCACCATCACTCGCACGAAATCAGTCCTGCCGCGGCTGTTGCTCCGATGCCCATCAAGGCTGCGGCACCCTCGAGCAGACCGGCACCTGCTAGCGGGTCGGGTTCGACGTCGCCGCCGACAAGGAGGAACTCGGGTCCCCGGAAGAGCCCCATTGCCAAGGCTACAAAGCCCGTCATCCGGAGAACGTCGACTGGCAAGAAAGACGGAACTGGCGAGAAGAAGGTCGGCAGGCGTCGGGGCCCATTGCTCCCGGAGCAACGCAAGCAGGCAAGTGAGATTAGAAAACTGCGGGCCTGCCTTCGGTGCAAGTTCCTCAAGAAGACTTGCGACAAGGGCGAGCCTTGTGCTGGCTGCCAGCCATCGCACGCTCGCTTGTGGCAGGTTCCTTGCACTCGTATCGATATCAAGGATATCGGGTACTTCATGAAGGACTGGAAGGTCGACTACGAGCGCCACCTTGACCGAGGCATGTCTGTCTACAATGTTAAGGGCTTTGAGAAGAAGGAGACCTTGATGTGGATCACTCACGGCTATGGTTTCTGTCTCCCGGTCATGGTCCGAGAGGTTCATGTCGCCGACGAGAGCTGCTTCCAGGTCGACTGGGTTGAATCACACCTGACAGACCAAGAGCCAATCGACTTTGAGATCCGCACCGAGAGGCTGGACGTCGGGCAGGCCGGTATCTCGATGGAAGCCCTGTCAGAGTACCTCGACAAGCACATCGACGGTCCGTTCGAAACCTTCATTGACGACCACTTCGAAGGCACTCCCTTCGTCACCGAGATCCTCAAGACCGCACACCGCTTCTATGTCAAGGAGAAACTTCCTGTCATCCGAAAGGCCCTCAAGCTTGTCCTTGCCTACAACCTCACTCTGCATATCACCATGGTCGAGCAACCGGGATCCGAGCAGAACATGGATGGGCAGATTGATGATGAAGACTCCAAGTACCACGGCAAGGTTGTGGCTCCCGTCATGATCAACTTCCAAATCAAGTGCGCCATGGCGGATATGTGGCGCGAGCTCCAGAAGGACATCTTGGAGGAGCTTTCTGCTCTCTACTCAAGCGTCTACAGCGGAGACAGGCTCAAGAATTGGCCCACCATCTTCATGCTCGCGTCCATCCTCCTCGCGGTCTGGGAGGAGATGCAATTCGACTGCCACTACCGCGTCCCGAATACCGATGCCGTCGACAAGTTCTGCCATGACATGGAGTCCACGCCTGTTGGCGTCATCGTCGGCCTGTTCCACGCAATTTCTCAGAAGCTCCCAGCCTTTACGGAGTGGGATACCCGGAGACACGGCCAGCTCCTAAACAACAACGTTGCTGTCTGCGAGGCCATGACGGAAGTGAGACAACACGTCCTCAAGCACGGTATGTGATGGTTTCCCAGCTTACCTTCTGCGACGTCTCTTTCTCTAACGTTCCCTACAGAGTCCTATCTCAGGACAAGGCAAGAAACCAAGTTTGATCGATACGACTTTGACTCGTTATCGAACAAGTTCCTGTCCAAGTTGGTGATCCGCGCCAACTAGGCTCGTGTTCGCCTTTTTGCATCTGCACTCGTGCAATCTCGTGTGTGTCTGATTAAGGAGTCCTTGGCTTATCGAGGCGAGCGAAGTCACCCCCCTCGAGGGAAACCTAGTACCGATACCTATTTCATTTGTTTGGCGATTATTGCAGTCATCCAGCGACGGCGTTTTTTCTTTTCCCCCCCCCTACCGCTTAAAACCTGTTTGTCCACTATGCTTGCACACCTTCTTCGTACGATTCTTCACTTTCACTCGGGCTGGCCACGGCCACACCCACACGGCGACGAATTTCTTGACGTCTCCACGACGAAGCCATTTACGACGACCATTTTTGACGATTTATTCAATGAAGTGTATGACTGATCTGGGCTCATACTCCGACGGCGAGGATCGGCGCGCATGGAATGACGAGACGCTATTGCGACATGGCATGGCTGGACGTGATGAGCAGAGCATATAGAATATATGCATGGACCTGGCGTTTGTTTGACAGGCTTGACACGCCTTCAACACACTACTATGATGATATGGGATAGGGGGTGGTTATCTCGCAATGTTGGATGGCAGATCTGCTTGGAGCACGCTATTTAGCAAACGTATGTACCTACCTAGGTACCTAGTTTTTCGGTTGAGGCTGTCTAGGTAGCCGAAGCCAGAAATGGCGAAACGATGTCTAATTTTGCCAATGAATTCGAGCTTGTCTCTGCGGGGAGGGGCATTTGGCTATTCAGGAAGGTGGTCTGTGATGGGCAGGGGTTTCCAATGGCAACAGCAGCAGAGACAGCGACGGCAAGAGTGCTTTAGCAATAGCGACAGCGACGGCTAGCCAAATGCTCCTACCCTAACAGTTAAATGCTCCTACCCCAGCAGTTAAATGCCCCTGCCTGGATAGCTAAATCCTGCCTGGAAAGGTGAATCCCCCTGCCCAAATACCTTACCGCCCTTGCCTGAGTAGCTAAATGCCACTGCCTGAATACCTAGCTAAATGCCACTGCCTGCGGAGACAACCTCCGATAATAATAATCCATCGCTGACCTAGGAAATGACCGACGAAATGACAGCTCCCCTTCCTGTTTGCTGCGTCCACATACGCAACCCTTCTGGCGAGAATTTACTCGATTCGTCCGTGACTTCTCCCCCGCTCCTGGCTAAGAGGCCAGAGGATATAACAAGGAACTTTACACCCCCCCCCCTTCTAATGTTGTCGCGCTCTCTAGCAAGCTCGTCGTAATAGGTATGAATAACTCCCCCCACTTCGACAAGTCCCTCGCAACTAGCAAGCATGATTTCAGCTTTCAAAGACGTTAGAAGCTCTCGATTCCCGTGCTTCCCATACAGCTCGTTCAGCATAGGCCTTAAAGCTTCTTGAAGTGTCTTCACTTCGTCCGCTTGATTTTGCGTACCTGTGCCTGGCTGGTTCGCGTCCTGTTGCACTGTGCCTATTGAGCCTAAATGTTGCCCTCAAGGCCTAGCACTAAAGGAAGCTACTTGATAGGTGGCTTTCCGAGTACCTAGCCAACAATGCCTACCACAGTAGATATGTACATCCGTAGGTTCCTAACCTAAGGTACGTAGGTAGGTACCTACAATACATAGCTTGGGGATAAATCTAGATTCACAACCATGTCTAAAGCATAGACATCTGAAGCGCTGCAGACATGAAGTGGAGCAGGTTCCTGGAATAAGCCCGCCTTCCAAGGTGGCAGCCCGCCGCTCCTTAACCCAACGATGACGTCGATAGGTCTTCCTTCCCCAGACAACGAATGCGATATCGGCCCCGAGCGCCGTCTCTACCAGTCACATGCGACCCGAGCAACAATAGCAAACGGGAAGCAATTTTCTCCTGCAAGGTATGATGGATACCTAGATAGGTATATGATGATGATGGATTTAGAGGTTTGCAATACCTCCTGCCTACCTAGGTACCTTTGGGTGAGGTTGGTTGAGAGGCGGTGGAGGGGCGGGCTTGGGCGAGACCCTGCACGTGGTCTGCTGCCTACCAAGGTACCTCCGCAACCTTTCATGATTGCCTGGAAAATGCAGCAAGAGGCTAGGATATTTCCAGCTGAGCCTTCCATGTGCGGAATAACCTCAATAATTTCGAGTGAGCCACAAACAAGGTTACACAAGCAAGCAAGCTTACACATCACCTCCTCCTCGAAGCCAGGCGAGGACTCATTTTCTGCCTTGGTATCCAGGTGGTGGGTGACACGGGCGGTTTCGGCGATTCCGGTTCTTGAGCGTGGAGGATGGGGAGGCGGGGTAGGCGGTGGCTAAGGCAGGGCAGGTTTAGAACAGGGAACTAGGCAGCTACCCCCTTTTCGCAGCCTTATCGTGAATGAAAAGTAGAAGAAGCTACCTACAATCCAAGGGTGACAAGCAATAATAGAGTGGTGGGAACCGAGGGCCCAGGCTGCTCGACGATTCCGGCATGTTCCCTTCGATTCGTCGCCTTCGCCGGTTTCAACGGATCAAGGATGAATCACAGCCAATGACGCTAGCCCAAAAGAGACTCCGACGAATTACGTAGCGCCCTTAGGCAAGGACGACCAATAGATCCCGCCATTCACTGCGCCCCCTCCGGAGCGTTTCTCGCCTTCCTTAGCAACCAAGGTACCCGCCTATTTAAATCCCCTCTCCCCCAACTCAACTCGTATCCTCCTACATCCTACTATCCCATAAACAACCTGCAAACTCTGCCGCCTCTTCATCGTCATAAAAATTCCACGTACCATACCCCATCAATCTCGATCCCTAAGAACCTCCAAGAACCTCGCCCAGCATGCAGATCTTCGTCAAGACTCGTAAGTTATCTCCCCGCGCGCATCCGATGATTCAACCGCCATTTTATGGTGGCGACGCCTAGTCTAGAGTTGTAGCTAACTGGTTCTCAGTCACTGGAAAGACCATCACCCTTGAGGTGGAATCGTCGGATACTATCGACAATGTCAAGTCGAAGATCCAGGACAAGGAGGGCATTCCTCCGGACCAGCAGCGCCTGATCTTTGCCGGAAAGCAGCTTGAGGACGGCCGCACTCTCTCCGATTACAACATCCAGAAGGAGTCGACCCTGCATCTTGTCCTCCGTCTCCGTGGCGGTATGCAAATCTTCGTCAAGACCCTCACAGGCAAGACGATCACCCTTGAGGTCGAGTCCTCCGATACCATCGACAATGTCAAGTCGAAGATTCAGGACAAGGAGGGCATTCCTCCGGACCAGCAGCGCCTGATCTTCGCTGGCAAGCAACTCGAAGATGGCCGAACCCTCTCGGATTACAACATCCAGAAAGAATCCACCCTTCACCTCGTTCTCCGACTCCGCGGTGGTATGCAGATTTTTGTTAAGACACTCACCGGCAAGACTATCACGCTCGAGGTCGAGTCGTCGGACACGATTGACAACGTGAAGTCGAAGATCCAAGACAAGGAGGGCATCCCGCCTGACCAGCAGCGACTTATCTTTGCTGGCAAGCAGCTTGAGGATGGCCGGACCCTGTCAGACTACAATATCCAGAAGGAGAGCACCCTTCACTTGGTACTCCGGCTCCGTGGTGGCATGCAGATCTTCGTCAAGACGTTGACCGGAAAGACGATTACCCTGGAAGTCGAATCGTCGGATACGATCGACAACGTCAAGTCGAAGATCCAGGACAAGGAGGGTATCCCGCCTGACCAACAGCGATTGATCTTTGCTGGTAAGCAGCTTGAGGATGGCCGGACGCTGTCTGATTACAACATCCAGAAGGAGAGCACCCTTCACTTGGTGCTGCGTCTTCGTGGTGGTCAGTAAGCAACGCGCAGCAATCTGGTTTGGTTTTGGCAGGATTTTGTAAAGGCGTTCCGCGGCATTGACACTGGTATGGGGCGTATGTCTTCAGTTGGGGCATTATTCTAGCTACAGAGGAGCGCCAGCCCAGCGCCAGCCCACAATGTGGCAATCGACTCATTTGAAGTCTGACAAACAAACTCGATCCATTTGGTCTACGTCGTGAACAATGTGTGAATGAATGGCAGAAAGTAATCAATCCGTAGTGCGTAGGTCCATGATGATTGATGACCGATCCACAGCAGCTAGGTATAGAGAGTGGGCATCGATGGCGGGGTACCCCACTGAGGTTGCAAATGCCCGCCAACCTAAGTTTCTGGGCCGGATGATCACGCTATCTCTGCTTCCTCGACTACTTACCTACCTAATGTACCTACCTGAACTACCCCAGTGTAGGTAGTGACTTAACATGGCATATGAAGCTTCACGCCCTCAGCCAAAGACAGTTTGCGAGCTATCTGAAGGCATGAAGAAGCATGCTCACGGGTTTTCGGACACTCAAAAGGTAGAAATACCATTGCCTCCCTGACAATCGCCGACCCGCAGCAGTTTTGCCACAACCATCAGCTCTCGACCTTGCGCAAACGCCAGAAGCTAGAAGCCAGAAGCCAGAAGCCGTCGCCTGTCCTAATCCTTCCACAATAGGTACCATCTGTGCGAGGCCGAGACGGGCCGGCAATTTCACGGAATCTAGGCTATGCCGTCCTACTATTATCATTTGAAATTCGAACTGTATCCGACCTCCGATCCCAATACCAGCGGAGGCTTTGGCGCGGACGACCGTGTTTGGATCCCCTCGCAGAGTTCTAGTGTCTTTGAAGACCTACCCGCCCACCCGCGAAAAAGGGAGCTACCATCGCGGCCCCGGAGAAGAGCATCCGACTACCCCGACGAAACCTCGCGCTCCTCTACGAACGGCCAGCCTCAGCGTACTCCTCCGGTCACGGGTGTTATAGACTGTGGTGCACTAAGGGCGACCGCGCACGGCGACAACGACGACCGCAACATCGCCTTCCTCAGCGAGAGGCAGTGGCGGGCCCGGTCTAAGAGTATACCCGCTCCCGGATTTGCCGCTGGCATAGGACCGCGCACGGCCGGACGGGACTGGCGCTTCGGGCCGCTGAGCATCGAGAGCTTCGACCTGGATAAGTGGCAAGGGAAGGAGGGAGGTGAGCCCATGGGCTCGATGGAGGGAGAGGCACACGCCGCGCCAGCGGCCTCGTTGGGACCCAACCTCGGAGGCCCTGGGCAAGCCACGAAGGGAAGCTATATACCACTGGAGACGAAGAACACGGAAATTGGCTGGGGCATCGTACACCTCTACCGCGAGACCGATGAGCCCTACGCCCTCGATGCGGCGTCGCAGCCGAGAGGCTCTGGGGAGGGTGGGGATGACGTGGGCGGAGATGGAGCAACTACCGAGGACGACGACTGCACTATGCTTTGTATTCCATCTGTGCCGAGTTATTTGTCACCCAGCGATTTCCTCGGCTTCGTAGGTGAGAAATGGAGAGGAGATGTCAGCCACTACAGGATGGTCATGACGAGCAGGATGAACCGGTACATGGTCCTCATGAAGTTCCGGGATAATGCCCGCGCAAAGGAATGGCGGAAGGAGTTCGATGGGAAGGTTTTCAACAGCATGGAAGTGAGTCGATTCTGTCTGCGTGCTTTTTGTTCCCCCATGATGCTAACCTAGAGAAGGCCGAGATCTGCCACGTCACGTTTATCAAGTCGATTACTGTCGAGACGCCGAGCCTGCAAAAGAACAACAATCCAGAGAGCAAGGCCGACCGGTTCGGGTCAGCCTCCTCCTCTGCGGTCGTCAACTCCCTCAAGCCCTTTCCGCCGCCCACTCCGAACCTCATCGAACTCCCTACCTGTACCGTGTGCCTCGAGCGGATGGACGATACTACAGGCCTGATGACCATCCTATGCCAGCACGTCTTCCACTGTACCTGCCTACAGACTTGGAAGGGGTCGGGCTGCCCTGTCTGTCGCGCCACCAACCCATCGTTGACAGCGGCAGAGTCGGGCTCAAGTCAGAATATATACGACCCGGACAACCCCTACATGCAGCCTTTCGGATCCGGCGTGTCTAATCTTTGCAGTGTCTGCGATTGCACATCGGACTTGTGGATCTGCCTCATATGTGGCTACGTCGGCTGCGGCCGGTACAAGGGCGGGCATGCCAAGGATCACTGGAAGGAGACGGCACATAGTTTCAGCCTGGAGCTCGAGACACAGCACGTCTGGGACTACGCCGGCGACATGTGGGTGCACCGGCTAATCCGGGACAAGGGCGACGGGAAAGTGGTGGAGCTGCCGAGCAACAACACGCGCCGACGACCACGGTCGGGACACGGGTCGGACGACGGGGGTTATACCGGTGACGAGGACGTCGTGCCCCGAGCGAAGCTGGACCGCATCGGCATGGAATACACGCACCTCCTGACGAGCCAGCTGGAGAGCCAGCGGGTCTACTTTGAGGAGATGGTCAACAAGGCCGCCGACAAGGCCGCTAAGGCCGTGACCGTGGCGGAGACGGCCTCGGCGCAGGCCCAGGAGGCGATGAAGGAGTTGTCGGCGCTGAGGGCCGAGCACAGGGCGCTGAGGGAGGAGGCGATCCCGTCGCTGGAGCGGGAGCTCGGGCGCGAGCGCACCAAGGCCGGCAAGTCGACGGAGCTGGCGCGCAGCCTGGGGAAGGCGCTCCAGGAGGAGAAGAAGGTGGGCGAGGGCCTCATGGAGCGCATCGGCCACGTCAACCGGGAGCTCGAGGCGGCGAGGAAGAGGATGGACGAGCTGCAGGCGGAGAACGAGGACCTGAAGGATACGAATCGTGACCTGAGCATGTTCATCAGCGGGCAGGAGAAGCTGAAGGAGCTTGAGAACGAGGGGAAGGTCGAGCAGGGCGAGCTAGAGGACGGCAAGGTCAGCTTGCCCGAGGAGAAGAAGAAGGGTAAGGGTAAGGGAAAGGCGAAACGGTGAAGGGACTATTGCCTGTTTGCTCTCCTGTAATTACTCTGTAGGTACTAGGTATGTATTCTCTAGACCACCAACATCACATGATGTGCGTTGTTATCCATGGTTCGTGGGTAGCCTCTCTAGGAGTTCCCTCTCCCTGACCACCGCGGTCAACAGCGCTGCGCTATTTCGTATTACCTCCTCCATCTGTCTGCCTCAATATTGGTGCAGGCGCTATACATATTTCCGGACATCTGGCATCGATGGGCTGTTATATTTTTACTTTTACTTTTGTTGAGGAACGTCATAAGAGGTAGGTTTATGGATAATCCCCGGCCGGGGTGTCAAGCCATGCAACCTACCTAGCCATGCAAGCCACAGCACCCCCGCCATGCCCCGTGCTCAAGGGATGCTTGGATGACATCTTCCAACAGTCCTTGCATCTCGTATCTCCTATCTTCGCACCAACTGCATTCCAAGCTCTTCGATTCCTGCCCGCTTAGCTTTGCAATGCCCCTCGCTTTATTTGCGTGAATGGAGACCAGCCCTATCGGAAAGTCACCGGGTTGCCATTGCTGTGCTGCATTCTCTTGATCTATACTATACCTCTTTGTGTTTTTTTGTTTTTGTTTTAATGAGAAATTGATCGAAATCCCTCGAGTGATACCCCCCTTCTATTTATCATGCCATCTAATAACGCGCCCGAGGCAAGTGTGCCTCCCCAGGATGCGCGCTCTCCCACGCCCACAAAGGAGCTCTATCCTATGAGCAACTGGAAATATGACTCTTTCCTGTGGACCATGTCGGTCCTCGCCGACCTCTTCTTCCGGGAAGTCCACCCCCGAGGCTCGTGGAAGGTCCCTCGGCAGGGCCCTGTCCTTTTCGTCGTGGCACCGCACGCAAACCAGGTAGGCTCTTCCCATTCCCCTCGGAGCCGGCTATTCGACATGGAGCACATTTTTGACGTATTTTGCTACAGTTCGTCGACGCTCTGATTCTCCAGCGCACGCTACGAAACGAGTCCAAGCGACGAGTCTCGCTTCTCATCGCCCAGAAATCCGTTCACGGATTCATGGGATGGGCTTCCCGCCAGGTCGGCTCCGTCCCCGTGGGAAGGGCGCAAGATGCGGCGAAGCCTGGGCCCGGCACCATCTATCTCCCCGACCCGATCAACGACCCGACCCTTATCCGCGGGATAGGTACAAACTTTGAGACCCAAGCCGAGGTCGGGGGCATGATATTCCTTCCATCCACCAAAGGCCAGAGTGGTTCAAGCGTCGACATCGCCAAAATCCTCGGGCCCGAGGAGATCCGCATCAAGCGGGCCTTCAAGAGCAAAGTGCCGATCATGCAGCTCACCGGCCGGGACGACGTCGATGAAAACGGGAGCTTCACAAACAAAGGTGTCAACGGCTGTAAGGAGGGCTTTACAGGGACGAAATACAAGGTGGCGCCCCATATCGACCAGACCAAGGTGTACCAGGCCGTTTTCGACCGTCTAAAGTCGGGGGGCTGCGTTGGAATATTCCCGGAAGGCGGCAGCCATGACCGCACCGAGCTTCTTCCCCTGAAGGCCGGTGTCGCCATCATGGCCCTGGGTGCGCTTGCGGAAAGCCCTGATTGCGGGCTCAAGATCGTACCCGTCGGCATGAACTACTTCCACGCCCACAAGTTCCGTTCTCGGGCTGTCATCGAGTTCGGCTCTCCATTCGAGGTACCGAATAAGCTCGTGGACATGTACAAGAATAATCAGAGGCGCGACGCTATCGGCCAGCTCTTGGACATCGTACACTCAGCCTTGAGCGCCGTTACAGTTTCCACTCCGGACTACGACACCCTGATGGTTATCCAGGCAGCGCGGCGGCTCTACAGCCCAACTGGAAAGAAGCTGCCGCTTCCCATCGTGGTCGAGCTCAACCGGCGACTCGCCATGGGCTACGAGAAGTACAAGGACGATGCGCGGATTGTTCACCTACAAGAGTCAGTGAAAGAATACAACAGGCAGCTCAGGTATCTCAGCATCCGCGACCATCAGGTCGGGTACGCCAGGTTGTCGTGGCCGAAGGTCGTCCTCACGTTCTTCTACCGACTGGCAAAACTCCTCGTCCTTTCAGCCGGCGTGCTTCCTGGCCTGGTCCTCTTCGCACCCGTCTTTATCGCGACGAGGACTATCAGCCGGCAGAAGGCCAAGACGGCTCTCGCAGCCTCGACGGTCAAGATCCAGGGGAGGGACGTCATGGCTACCTGGAAGATCCTGGTGGCTATGGCATTCGCACCCGTTCTCTACAACTTTTACACTTCTCTTTTGGCCTACAAAGTCTACCAAGATCGTCTTTGGGGCCGCGTGCCCGAATGGGTTCCCATCTGGCTCGTTTTCTTAGCGGGCTGGGTTTTCTTCCCGGCAATCACCTTCGCGGCGCTCCGATTCGGTGAAATAGGCATGGATATCTTCAAGTCTCTGCGGCCGCTGGTCATGTGCATCAACCCGTCGTCAAGCTACAACATCAGCCATCTCCGAGAGCGCCGAGTAGAACTCAGCAAGCAGGTGACGGATGTCATCAACACGCTTGGGCCCAACATGTTCCCCGACTTCGAACATACCCGCCTCGTCGGGGACGTCATCAGGGCCGAGAGCGGGCCGCCTTCACCCGCGCGACCCAGCTTCAGGCGCCGTGACAGCGAAGTATCCTCCGCCGGCGGATACGCGGAAGGCGTCGAGACGCCGCCCCACGTGGCGCGGCGGAACACGACGCAGTCGAGCAGGGCGATCCCGCGCAACGAGTCGTTCAGCAACATCGGGCAGGTGCAGATGTTTGCGACGCGGCCGCCGTCGCGGAGCCGCAGCCGCAGCAGGAGCAGCAGCGGCGGGGGCGCGTTCGGGTCGGCGGCGTTCCCCGTCAGCGGATTCACGACCCTCGACAGCAAGGAGGGCTTCGACGAGGCATCCAAGAAGATCCGCGAGGCCATGCGCGAGAGGGGCGAGATGAGGCTGCGCAAGAGCCGGAGGGCGAGGGACAGCCTGATTGACGGGGACAGCGACGACGAGGATGGGGACGCGGACGAGTATGAAGAGGCGAAGAAAAAGCAAACATGATGAGGTGAAGTAAGCCCTGGTTGGAATGGGGGCTGTTGGTTCCGCCGTCTTGAGGTGTACCCATGTAGTAATTCAATATCTAGGAAAGTTTTATAGCGGGGTGTGGCGTGACTGTATGTTTGTGTTGGATCCTTCTTTTCCAACCCAATATTTGGGCCATGGGCGTTGTAGTGGGTCACTTCTTGTGTTTACATTGAGGCTTTGGTTGCCAGGCAAGGGTGGTATGTTTTTATGATGGATGATCACTCTACTTACCTCTAATTCCTTGGGTGCACCTACCTGGCTACCAGTTATAATGTGACGGGGGTGGCGCGTGTCGAGTTGTCTTTTTGAGTGTTCGTTCGGGAACAAAGGAATGCTTAGTCGCTAGGTTGGCGGCGGCGGCTCTTATTCAGACCCTTTTTCGGACAACAGACAATAGGGGGGACGGGGCGTCGTTGGCAATCCTAATTTATACGCATTCATTTTCCGACCATGGGGCACCCTCACCTTGCGATATCAGACTTCCTCGTCTGTTTTCTTCCCAACCATGCCATCTCAGAAGTACGAACCACTCCGCGGGTCCGCGCCTGGACCCGCGCCTGGACCCGAGGCAGCCGAGTTTGAACGGCCATGTGCCGACTACGAAACCACATCGCTGAGATGCAGGAAGCAAGTCAGAGCGATCCGGGCTCTGGTCGTCTTGAACATCTTCTTGGCCACGTTGCTCTGCATCGTGGTGTTCATGTGGTGGCCACAGATAACCAGCAAGTCCAACCGACCTTACTGTTAGTCCCCCCCCCCCCCCGGGCGGCCAACCGATATTGATCGAACTCCTATGGACCGACTGACTCCAATCCACAAAGCTCCGGCGTGGGAGGCGGTGCGATATGTCAACAAGCGTTTCAAGCGCGAGGAACTCTTCCACATGGAAGACGAGACGTCTGCCGAGCTGGATGCAGCGTGGAAGAACTTGACCGGCCGTAAGTCCCCCCCGGGTGATTTCCTACCGAGCTGGGGAGGGATATCCGACGAGCTAATAACGACAATAGCTAGCGCTGGACACGTCCGGCTTCCCCTGGACGAGGCGAAGAGGAATGTTCCTACCTTGGAGCTTTATTACGATCCCGGGTACTACCTCTACGGTGTGAGCGTGTTTCATCAGATGCATTGCCTAGTAAGTCCAGATGATCTGCTCTCTATGGATGGACTAGTGTATCTAATGTTCCACCCGCTCTCTGGTATAGGATGTCCTTCGAAAGTCTTACTATGGGTACGTCTTCAATCTCCAGCAGCCACAGATACGTTGAGCAGTTTGCTGATTTGTTGCGACTAGCAAGCACTACTTCCCAGAGAAGACCGAGGCGGAAGTTCGCATGCACAAAAGTGAGTACTGGTGCCGATATCCCTGTATCTTCCGGTCTTACGTATCCCGTAGAAACCTTTCTTGCATCCCAGGTAACTTGCTAACGGTTGACAACCCTCCGAACAAACAGACCACTGTCTCGACTACCTCCGCCAGTCCATCATGTGTAGCGGGGACGTGACGATCGATCACTGGTTCAACTACACCTTCACCAACCCATCCTTCGACCCGGCCGACGGCTCAGCCTCGGGGGAGGCGCTGGGCCTGGACTGGACGCAGCACTACTCGGCCGAGTACATGGCCCTGAGCCCGCTGGAGCGGACCACGCGGGCGGGCCTCCTCTGGGACACGGAGCACCAGTGCCGGGACTACGATGCGCTGTGGAGGTGGGTTGAGGGGAGGCAGCTGGTGAACGAGGCGTATGTGGAGGAGTTCAACCGTACCGAGGATGTCTTCTGAGGCCTTGGTTTTGCCCGTGCCAGGGGGGAGGGCTTCTTCTCGGAGCATACTGTACCGCTCTGTGAGAAGACCTGCATCATTGAGGTTCGTTGAATGCGTTCATGGGTTCGTGGGGTTGAAACGGCCTGCAAAGGCCACGAACCAGAGGCAGTGGAGCGAAACAGTGGTTAGTTCTTCAGGGCAGCAGTGAAGTTAGTTCCACCTCACAGCCTTCTCGAAGCCTTATTAAAGGAGAGAATGCATGTGCCTCGACTAGGCTCTATTGCACGAGCCTTCAAGGTGATATTCGAGGTCAGGATGGATGCAGGGTATGTACTTGCTTTCCAAAGGCGGGTACGTACCTTGGGGCCCTTGGCCCGACACCTCCGACGCAGTGAAATCTTAGGCTCGGCACGACCTTCACAACCCTCTTGTACTTGCTAGCGACATACACCTTGGGAAACTCCCAGCCACTGTTTAATTGAACATGAAGGGGCAGAATTTATGCTGCTGTTTCTGTCACGGGTCGTAGGACCCAGGTAGGCAGCGGGACGGAGGCACGGCGGTGATCAGTCCGACTGACTTGTACGAGGTGGCTAATTGGCATGGGTTCCGACTGAGAGTGCGGTCAGGACAGAATCACTAAGAAATCGGGTACGAAACTGTCTCAAGGAGCCTCGCAGTCAAAACTTCTATTGAAGCCTGCCCTCGTAACATTCGGGCAGACCATCACGACCTTTAACTCAGGGCTACCCAGTGGTCCCTTCGCGGCGCGGGGGACCCCGTCGGGCCCGACTGACCGGGCCAGCTGAACCTTCCTTACCCCGCAGGGCAGGACCGTACTAATTACAAAAGTTGATCACTTCAAGCCACCAACTCAGCCACTGGGCTTTCCTGGACCCTGAGCGTGGGGTGCCTTTGCAAGGCACCGACCGACGTAACAGTTCCGCCAACAACCGTTAGACACCGAATTTCGACGGTAGGCAAAACACGAGGAGGGTTGTGTGGCAGACGTTATCCAGTACCATGCAAATCTGCTGTGCCCTCTCCCTTGCACAGCTTTTCTGCCAATAAGGCCATAAGGGCAGCCTTCTTGCTGTCAATCAGGGCGTCATGGTGACTGAGTCGCAAGGGATGTGTAGGAAAGAAAGTAGAAAAGAGGAACTCAAGACCACACTTCACCCCTTTGGGCAATTCGACGTTATGCCGAAAAAGGTAGTTCAAACGGATGATATGGTCATCTGGAGGCATAACCCCGTGAAAACCAGCTTCTGAGAGTATGTGTCTCAACGCAGTAACATCCGCTCGGGTTTTATGCCAGACAATAATGTAGTCGTCGCATGTGATCCCACTTTCTTTGATGAGTGTAGCTGCTTGAGTAGGGTCAACCCGTATGCCTGACAATGCGTCTTTGTTGTAATGCCAATAGCTGGATTTGCCAAACCCTAGAAGGGTTTGGCCAAAATCTCTGGTTTCTTGGGACTCCGTTTTGTTGTTGAGGTGCTGGGGATTGTTGATGTTAACGTTGAATAAGAACTGATAGTCCTTTTCCTTCATTGAATCAACGTTGATTGCAGCAGCCTGTTCAACTACAGGCGGGTCCTTCGAAAGATGCCCTTCCAAATCGAGGGCAAAAAACCTTGGGATGTTTGGAAGTCTTGTCCTGTTCAGGAAAAGCTCAAACAGTGATGACTTGTCCAATGCCCAGACTGTGTTGGCCCGAATTTGGCTGGAAATATGACCTTGCTGTTCCTCTTTCTAAGACGAAGGGCAAGCCGCTACCGTATGCAACACAACATGACGTGGACAGTAAAGTGCCCGATATATTCGAGGATGAGGACAGTCTTGTTGGTTGCATATTGTCTTGTCGTCGCCATCGTCTGCCAGAATGTTGAAGGTTGATACAGCTCGTACAATGCAAATTCTTGAGCACATTCAACGCATCGTATTTCAAAGTCGATGTTTGTCTTCGGTCGGTTTCTTGTGACCTTTGCTGTAGCCCAGTCCAGCCGAGCATTCCGGGGACAACGTTCAGTTACCCAGCCTAGGGAAGGCCGAGGACCGAGGCACATTTTGCCCCAGTTGCCAAAGTTTGCTTGAAGTCCAGCCAAAAGCTCTAATTATGCCTGAATTAGCGACTTTCATATTGCATTAATTATAACATACCCTTTTCAACTTTGCCCAGATTATGACAATACTTCTGCTTGTCTCTCTCTTGTGATACTGGTTGGTCTTGTAGCGCCAGACTCAGTTAGAGAAGTAGCCTGTTGTTTCAACATGCTGTACCATTCGCATCGGTTGCTTTCTTCCAAAGACAGCTCCATATCCACAATTGGTAGCGTTTCGTTGTCGTCGCGAATGGCATTGGGTCTCACTCTCTGGGCCAATAGCTTGGCAATATGGTCCTGGATCTCTTGGGGGGTTCGTACCCAGTTGTCGTCAACATCAGGTATTCGCGGTTGAAGATTTCCCGGGAGATCCTTCAGACCTGGATAGCCCTGTTTCTTGTGTCTATGCATGTGAGAGTGCAGCAGCTTCCGGCTCATACGAAATTCGCCGATGTGTGCTCGACAATCGGGTACGGAACAGATGAAGAATGGTCCCGTGTGATCTCGCAGATGCCTCATAGCGCGAGCTTCCGTACGGAACGACTTGTCGCAATATAGACAGCCGAATCCTTCTCCTTTTTGAAGACAGCTATATACCGTGGTTGATAGGAGGGTCTCGAAATCAACTACTCCTCCGCCCGCCGCCAGTGGAAGGTTTTCAAGCGCAAATACTAGATCTGGCACCACAGAGGGCTCAGCTTGATATTGCAACTGCTGTTGTAATTTACTTGCGGAAACAGTATCGGGTGTGACGAATGCGATAATTCTCTGCTTCCAACCAAGGGCAATAGCAGATCGAACACCGGGGTAACTGCGCAATAGTGGCTCGACTTCGGTTTCGAGGTTTACCATGCGGCGTTGATGCTGCACGAACTTGTGCGTGAAGTTGATCTTGCTGTTGATGGGCGGGGATGCGCTGTTGATAGGCGGGGATGCGCTGTTGATGGGCGGGGATGCGCTGTTGATGGCCAGGGATGCGCTGTTGATGGCCGGGGATGCGCTGTTAGATGACTCGGATTGCTTCAGCTTCTTCGACAGCCGCGTATCATCGGAAGGTGCAGCATCGACGGTGATAGAAAGCACTTGAGCGGCCAACTCCAGCCGAACGGGCTGCGCTGATGGGTACAGGCTGTTGCGCTTGCGTCGGTGCCAGTGTTGTTAGAGGAGCCGATGTAGGCGGCTGCTGCAGCCGAAGCCAGACCTGCGTGTGTCAGCCCATCGCCGAGTTGCAACCTTGGTTGTCTTGGATGTAGGGAAGGCTATCGCAACCTGCTCTTCCGCGGCTGACAGCATGGACTGTGTGCCTAGAGAGCTGCGGAATGCCGAGGAAGTCCTGGTCTGCGGGACGTGTCCCCGGATGGCCGTGCAAGTTACCAGAGAATTGGTCGAAGACGGAATCAGCCGCGACCTGCTTGGCACCGGCGCCATGCTGCTGTGAGCTCCTGTCCACGCAGTGGCCATTGTGGCCTTTATGGGACTCTTGGTGTCTGAGGGTAGGGGTGGAATTCTCAGACATATGTTGGCCGAAGTTTCTGGAGTCTGATGTAGAGTACGAGGTAGCAGCAGAGACTCCTCTGCCGCCGGCAAACTCCACCTCGGTCATATCCGACATCTTGATCTCGACAGTTCCACGTGTCTTCGTGTTAACTGCTCCGCCGGTTTCGTTGTTTTCGTGCGGCATCGTCCTGAATTACAGGGTCGTCGACTTCTCTGTCTTCTTTGCAATCTCCATCTTCTTCCCCACTACTTCGATTTGGCTTGGGTACATCTGTACTAAAGGCGTCTGCGTTGATCAAACGGCGCTTTTCTTTGGAGCTCCACTAGGTGTACGCACATTTTCCACTATTTGTACGCACTTTCCAGGTGCATCCTCTATGTTCACTCCCAGGTCATTTCTACAGCAGTGCTGCCATTGCTGCTGATTGCCGTTGCCACCGTCGCCAATAGCAGCCAACGACAACAACGGTAGCAATAGCAATGGCGACGCTAATTAATGCTCACCACAACGCTAACACCGACAGCAACACCAGGAGCGACAGCGATAGCACCAGCAACAGCGGCAGCAACATCGACGGCGACGGCAATGGTAATAGAAACAATAGCAGCATTGACTTGGCAGGTAGGGCTGTCTGGCGCAACATACGGATATATATCAGGAAAGTGCGTACAAATAGTGGAAAATGTGCGTACACCTAGTGGGGCTCTTTCTTTGTACTCACCATAGCATTGGGCAACCGAACTAGCGCCGAGGCCGGTTAGCTTTCCAACGACCTTCTTCCCTTCTTCAGGGAGCGATTTGTACTGGACACTGGCTGCGAAGAATTCTTCGAGGGTTTCGGTTACTCCATGTCCGTATCGAGCCACAAACCCTCGAGGGTTATCAAAAGCACGCTCAAGCTCCTTCTTCGCGTTGCGCCGCCGGTTAGTGAACCAATTAATGGTTTGCGATTCCGAGCAGCCCGACTGCTGCAAAAGCGAGAGAATTTCTTCTTTCGTTGGCCAAAGGTAACCGTTATGAGCCTTAACCCCACCTTCCAGAACGGCTCTAGCTTCCGAGTCCTTAGTAAGACGCTTTCGTCTTGGTCGAGGATCAGAAGACTGAAGTTGGCTGGATATGATGGCCTTCCTTTTGGTTTTCTGAAACCAGGAGGAGATGGCGGCCATACTTAGGCCAGTCCGCTCAGACAATATCGCCTTCTCTTTGTTCGTAGGATCGAGATGGCTGTCGCTTGAGGTAACCCAGTTATGGAGCATTGCTACCTCGCGGAGAGTTGCGCAATTAGTAATGGACTTGCTAAGCTCGAATCGCACGTGCTTGGCACACTTCCTGACTATCTCCTGGTCCTAGCCTATCTGCTGTGCAATTTCATCCCTTTCTTGCCTGCTAGGTAGGCGAAAATCTTTGGAACATAACCAATCTAGAATAAATCCGGATTCTTTGCTGCGTTTACTCATGATGATTGGTCATAGCATTTGTTAGAGAAGACAGGAGGGACCTAGAAGTGGTGACGCGTAGCACGGGTAGGGCACAGCAGACCTAGCACCAGCTGTCTCAATTCCTGCTTCCTCAGGAGTCATGCATCCAGTGGCAGCCACTGCAGTCGAAAGAGTGATGATTAGAGAGTCCTTTGGGGCTAGGATCATGAATGTCAGGATGGTGCAGTAGGTGTGGGGATTTGTTCCAGCCAGGTACAGTACCTATTTGCCGGGATGCTGGGAGTTGGAGAAGATTGGCCGTGTTTTGTCTGGGTACTTGCTATGGCATACCCACCCCGCTATTGCTTAGTAAGGTATCTTTCCTTCTCCGCTTTGCTCTGGGCATATAGGTCAGAACTTTGGCAAAGTATTTTGCCTTCGGGCATGTGTTATACTTATAACGATACAGAGAAGATGTACGTAAGATCTATCCTCGAGGTCCCAAGTTCAATTCTTGCTAACAACTATTTAGTAGCATGGCCCCTGCACTAAGGATGACACGCTCAATCAAAGAGAAGCTAAACATTTTTTTTTGGGCTTTTTTTTCTTCTTTTTCTCAAGGTTTGGCGTGCGATTTGTTGGTATTTGAGCAAGCTTGTTTTCGCGGGGCGGGCTTACCTACTAAGTAGGTATTTTGTCAGGCCAATGCTGGGTAGGTAATTTAGGGGTAGATCCGCCCCTTCCAAGAATCTAGACACTACAAGTAGTAATTTACACCATCTACTGATCCCACGTGCATACGGATAGAGCTGTGCGCCTTGTGCATGTAAGCCAAGACAGCTTTACGCGCTCAACCTCGCGTCTAGGGGTGGAAGGCGACGACGATCCAACTCTTGAACCCTCAAACAAAATCGACGCCATGTCCGTTTGTTCGTTTTTGAAGGCTGCATGATACTCTCTGTTTCACAACAGATACTGCCACGCCCCATACGGATACTGCCCCACCAATTTTGTGTTTCTTCACAGAACTCTCCCACTAATGTTTGTCTCAAATCGCTTCTTTGAGAACAACTTGGGTGTTTGCATCCACGACTGTCTCAAAACTCTCTCACTGGGCGCTGCCCGGTTTCTAAACCCTCGATACCACACTAGGTAGGCCGATGGTGCCGATGGCATCAGTGGAGAATGGCCCAGAGCTTCCCTCTGTCCCTTCCGGCGAACAGCCAGTTGGAGACCCTGCCATTGGCTCCGTGCCCACGGTTCGCCCGCCTCTGAAAATGAAACGAACTGGCAAGACCGGGCTGCTACTACCTGGCCTGGCCGCCTCTCCCATGGACTATCTTCGTGCGCCATCCTCGTCAACCAGTCCGGTTGTGCCTATTCCCCCGGTGGCCCCGACCGCGAGTCCACAGTCCTTGGTTCATTCCCAAAAACACCCGGTTCCGTATAAAACCGGAGAAATTGCGAGCCACACTACCCCGTCTGCGCCTGCCGGGCTCGCTAGCGGGTCCATGGAGACTGACACCCCGACGTCTAATGCCGCGTCGCCGCCGAGAAAACCCATCTCCCCGCCGAAGTCCCAGCCCCCCTCGGCTGAGACCCCGGGCCACGCAATTAACAACTCAACCAACAGTAAGCCGGCACCGCCCAAAGGTGCATCAATAGACAGAGACTAATCTTGATTCAGATAAAATGACCTCGGGGGTGTTGGGGAACGCAGGCATCGCGAAGAGGTCCGACTCTCACCGTCACGGTGGTCCTAGAGGTGCTTCGAGGGGCAAGCCGTCAATGGCTGAATATATGCTACAGCAAGCAATTAAGAACCCATCGTTCTCGAATTGGGCCGGACCCGAAGGTGCCGCTTCCACAAAAAGTAGCGATGGTATCAGTGCCATCCAAACGGCGCCCAGTGGACGCCCATATGGGTTCTGGTATAGTATGTCCGGACCCCTGAATATCCGCCTTGGCCGGAGCAGTGTTGGCTGATGGAATAATTTGTTTAGATGATTCCGGTCGTCTAGTCCCAGGCCATGGCACCCTTTTCCCTGATGGTTATCAGCTTGACTCCTCGGTCCGGGAGAATTTTTGGGTTTGCCCCATCCGCTCCTGCCGGCGACTGCGTGTCTACATGAAAGGCTTGGGAAAGCACTTCAGTGTGAGTCTGGCATCTCATTGATACCATGACTTTCGGTATCTACGACCTAGGGGACGAGGACGTCGCTGACCATGCTTCTTTCCTAGGATAAACATGCATCTTGCCTCCTGAATGACGACGGGAACGGAACATTTTCCGTGGTCGGTAAGCATGCAGGGAAGCGAGATGCCATTGTGGTCTCAAGGAATCCGCCGAAACCTGGGCAAGGGCCAATGGCAATACCTCGACTTACTGCCAACCGAGTCGGTAGCGCAATAACCCAAGGAGATGGCCAAACTAGCCACGAGCCCGAGCAACAACTAACGAGTCAGCCTCATCCAACCCATCCACAGGGGGGAAGCGAGGATGAGACTTGGTCGGACATGGAAATGACTGACGCCGGGCCTCTTCCGCTGATCGCTGGATCTGATAACGAGGTATCGACGGTGGAGGTACCGGCGGTGGATAGTAGTCCTCTGTCGGACAACGAAGGTGGACCACAGCCTCAACACACCACAACGTCCGCGAGGCTAGACGATGAGGAGGACCTCACCGAAGCAGACAGTGACTCGACCTATCGTTGTTTCTATACGACACCATCGGGCCGTTTATATACTATGTTCCATGGTAAGGGGTCCTCGAAACGACTCTCGGCGCAAACTAATGCTTAACACACCAGACGAGAACACGTGCGGAGTGCCCATTCCAGATGGCTACAAGACCTGGGCCGCTCCTAATTTTGAGTGGCTCTGCCCTATTCGATCCTGTCGGTCGGGCCATCACAATCGGCCTGGACTGGGGATTCACTTCGGTGTACGTTGCGTGATCGGGCACAGATCTCCGTGCCCCTTTTGCTGTGCTTCTTGCCGGTTGGCCAACGTCTTGTGCTAATCGTGTTCACAGAGAAAGCATCGTGGCGAGCTTCTCAACGACAACCTCGACGGAACACTATCTAGGATTGAAGCCAAAGGTTCGATGCGGTTTTTGGTCGCCAAGCACGAACCTGGCACCGTGGTCTCACAACGGCCCGGCCTAGGGCTATCCACGGGCCCTCCGGATCCGGAGCCACAGTGGCCTGAGGACCCTGGCCCAGTGTCGACAGTGACTCTGTCGGCCAATGCCTCTGAAATATGGGAATATATTCGGCCTTACCTTTCAAAATTCAAAGTGTGTCCCAATTCGGGGTGGGTGCCTGAGCTCATCAGCCTCCCGAGGGTGCGCGACATGGGCTGGAATGAGGGTTGGATTCTGAAGAACGGCTTCCGCGACGCGAAGGCGCTGGATATTTCGACACTAATAATTCAAGTCACTGGCGAGCGCCCACCCAATCCATGTTCCCGGTGCCGGAAAGGCGACAAAGGGCCGTACGGAGAGTGCATTGTCATATCAAGAGCGGCCGATCCTCGGGCCAGGTCCCGTATTATCGGCTGCGCAAATTGTGTCTATCACGGCCAACAAACCTTCTGCAGCTTCAAATTTTCGGACGAACAGAGATCGCACGACCACGGTGACACTGCATTCGCACCGCCGCCCGAAACACAGACTCCGAATCCCATTACTCCCGGTACAAACTCTGCACAAGATCAGTGGCCTCGGCGATCGGAAAGGGTTCTGCTTCATGAGTCCCTCTCCCTATCAGAGGTGTCAAGCAGAAGAACTGAAGTAAAACATGACCAGGAGGCCGGTCTACTGAGTACGCAGGTCCATCAACCGATCTCCAAATCGCCTAGCGCATCAGTCCAGGGCGCTGCTGCTATACAATCTCAATCCTCCTCCGTGCCGGTACTAAAAGACGTCAGTTTGGCGAGACCCACCCAGGAAACGGACAACCTCGAAATGGATGATTGGGAGATAGCGCCTGGCCGCCTCAGATCCTCTGCCGCTGTCGCTGCGACACGGACACTCGAGGAGGCAGAACCTCCGGAGAATATTGCATTTTCTAAGGCGTATCTGACCAACCAGTCGGTGCGGGTGAGTGCCGATGTGGCATTCCGGGTGGAGGTGGTGAGTTCGGGCTCACCGGTTCGATGGCAAGTCGGTAGGAATAGGATGCGCATCTGCTCCGTGGCCGCGGGCAAGGTGCGAGTGCGCATCGAGGGCGAGGATGAGTTTTCCATTGGCCATCACGGCATGTTCAAGGTCCCGTCCGGAAAGGGGTGCGTAGTGCAGAACCGGCTCTACGGGGCTGCCGTGCTGCACATTAGTGAGTTTGCCTGCGACCAGGAATAAATATCCTAGCATTCACGATAATTGGTATGGGACATATCTCCATCTGATTATCTGGACGTTACTTGGTGCAAACAACGGGATCCTGCAAGTACTAGGTAATCAAATGTATGCATAGTAAGGCCGCCAATTGGAGCAAGAGTAATTGGCTCAAGCGCTTCTATACTAGCTAAACTAGCTCGTCATTGCCCACTGGTATGACTTGATTTCAGCGTGCCGGTTGTCTGATAATCTGATAAGATGCGGACGTAACGGCGCTTTGCAAGGTTCTCCTCCGAGCTACGGCCCCGGATCTTGTTGTTTCACTTTGCTTTTGTCCTCTCTTCACTTTGTAACCACACGTTAGCGCATCCTTCAATAATCCGTAGTTGAATTGTAATTAGTAAACTTAAATCCGACGCTCGGTGATACGAACACTCCAAGAACTTACTTGACAGGCATCAATAATAACAGCAGGGCTGCGGGCTGCACCAAACGCAAATCATAGCTGCCCTACTCAGACATCAGCCTGGTCTCTCCCAATTCTCGAACGACGCAGGCCGAACCATCAAAGAGATAGAGAGATCGAAGGCTGTGAAGTTTCTCCCCTCAACGAGCCCCACCTTTTTGCTTCAAAGCTCGGCTACGAGCTCTACGTCACAATTCCGACCCGCTTTCGTAGTCTTGCGGTAAAACTTCTAGCATGCCGCCGTCGGCAGCTGGCAGAGACCATGGAGATTCCGCCCCTGCCTCCTCTTCCCCGGGCGGCACTCACATGCCCCTGAAGCAGAAGATGGCTATCGGACTAAAATCTCTGCTGGGCGGCGCCAAGAAGCTGGCGATCGGCGACGCGGCGTCGACGGGAGCCGCTGGCCCCGCCGACATCTCGGAGCTCTTTCCAAAGGTTGACCCGGCGGTCGATGGTGAGGACTGCGACCGCGACTGCGACAGCTGCGTTGTGAAATACCCCAAGGGCTTCAAGATCGACGAGGGGGATGTGCTATACGGCTTCGTCAAGGGCTGGAGCACGCACGTGCTGGTCGCGACCGGCAAGACCGACTGGGTCCGCGACGTGACCGACGAGAAGGGCAGTGTGATGCAGGCGATTGGAAACGCCAAAGGCCCGGCCAACGGGGTGTGTTACCTCTCTTCCGTTCTTCATCCTCGTTCTCCCCAGTGCGAAATCTCGTAATGGATCTATATCTTCCCCGGATCCTCTCTCCTGTCTTCTTTCTGTCTCTCTGTCTGACCTGGCTCTCTCATCTAGCGAATGATGCTTTCAGCATCCAACATCCCCACGCCGCACCATACCTCCGACTACTCCGAGCCGACGACGGTCCTCCTCCTGCCCGCGTTCATCATCGTCGAGAACGTCACCCCGGCGACGGTGCCGACCCTCATAACGGAGGTGATCGACCGCGCCCCGACCAACACGACCCCGCTAGCCCCGCTCTCGATACCGCGGACCCTCCCGGCCCCGTCCCTGCCCGAGCCGATGCCCGCGGCCCTGGCCAGGGGCCTCGCGACGCGCGCCTGCCCGCACGCCGCCCTGGTCCTGCTGTGCAGCCAGCGGACGCGCGACGCGCGCTGCGGCCAGAGCGCTCCGCTGCTGCGCCGCGAGCTGGAGCGCCACCTCCGGCCGCTGGGCCTGTTCCGCGACCTCGACGACGAGCGGCCCGGCGGCGTGGGCATCTACTTCATCAGCCACGTCGGCGGCCACAAGTACAGCGCAAACGTCATGGTGTACCGCCGGCCCGACGCGTTCGGGGTCGACGCCGTCGGGCGGCGCGCGAAGGGGGGCGGGGGGGAGGCGGAGGCGGTGGAGCCGAGGGGGGCCGGCGCCGGCGGCGACGGGGGTGCAGGTGGGGAGGAGGATGATGCTGACGTCGGCGCGGCGCAGTGTATCTGGCTGGCGCGGGTGCGGCCCGAGGACTGTGAGGGGCTCGTCAAGTTCACCATCCTGCAGGGGAAGGTCATCAAGCCGGAGACGCAGCTCAGGGGTGGGTTCGACAGATCAAGGGGTTTGATGAGCTGGTGAGGAGGGAAATCCCCCGTGAGCATTTCTCCGGACTCCTGAACCGGCACAGGCCCATTCGGGGTTTATGAAATCACATATACAGGTAGATCCGTAGATGCCAGAATTACGGCATTGCTTTGCATGGATTCTGCCAGGAGGATCCACGTCTGAGATGCGAGTTCAGTGTGCGGTCGCTCTCGGGGAGGCCCTTACAATGTCATTCAAGATTATTTCTAGAAACGGCGTGTCGGTGGTTCGCAGTGCCGTTCGCGTGGTCGGTCGGAGTGAAGATAAGCCGCATTCACGACCTTGCATTGATGCCAAGTTTGTGTAGTTCGTGTTGCCAGAATAAGCAGCGCACTCCGGCCAAATCTCCACGACTACCTAGCGTCACTTGCAAGTCCAACGGCATTCAAGGATCTCCCATATGCAGTCCAAACCAGACAAGGCTGCTAGGATGCCTTCAAACTCTGTTCATCGCTAAGCCACTACATCAGTTACGTCACCATAGCCGTTGCCATTATCGTTGCTGTTGCCGTCGCTGTATCGCTAATTAATTACTATTGTCATTACTACGACATTACAATTGTCATCGTATCGAAAGCCGAACATCTTGGAGAACGGTGTCTAAAGGTCAGCCACATCTTCAAATGTCTCGTGGGGATTTCAGAGCATGACATGGGTAATGCCAAGCTCCTTTTTAAGCACATAGTTAACATACTTGTGATGTTCGGACAAAGTCGCGAAGCTGCGGAGCCATACGGGTGCGTGGACCCTGTGGGGTTAAAGGATGGATCGTATTGGCTGTAATACACAGTGAGGCGGCGCGGCCCGAAGGACCTTGGCTCGCGCTGGCCTGTGCTACAGGTATCTCAATATCCTATCCCCTGAGCAAAAATCTTTCAAGATCATCTCGTTACGGTTACTGGGCTTGGGAGACGCAACTCTGGATTGGAGGCCAGGCGTGCTGGGGTCAGGGATCAGTGCATCTCTCCAGAGTGCAGACTGCCATTGGAGTCTTGGGCATTCACCTCAGACTTGGTCACAAATATCTTTGGACCTCGCTTGACTCTCTATTCCGTACCTATGTGATGGAAAAGCTTCCCAGAACAAGCCCGGATATTGTCCGATTTCACAATATCCGCGGGTTACATAGCGGGAGGCCTTTGAACTCTGGATTACATGGATCTCCAAGGGTGACACTACCGCGCCAATCGTCAAGCTCTCGAGAACCTCTTCTAGGAGGTACTTTCGAGCACGCCGTTAGTGGAATCTCAGAGGCCGATAAACAGGCGATTCAAGTTGCAGGATTGGCTGATTGCTTTTCCCGTCACGGTTTTGGCTGGGAGGATGGAGATGGGTGGCTGCCAGGAAGAGAAGCGCATTATTCTCGGGAATCTCTCGGGGCCTGCGCCAAAATCTCGCTCGGGCCTGTTGGATCGTGGGCGACAGGTGACAACAGGCTGGAAATATTTGGCAGGTTGTTCCGGAGTGCCAGACAGCTATGCACAGACCACCCGTTAGAAGTGACCCATGACAACTCATAGTAATCATGCCCCGGTTACTGGCGCTGCTCGGACAACTTACACGTCCGACTCCGAGTTTACCCACCAGCTAGACCCAGATCTCAGGGTCTTGGCCTCAGCGCAAGCGTCGCAATTGGTACACCCAATACATTTGTCGGGCCGTGGCGTTTCGGAGCTGAAAGCGCGGGCCCTCGATGATGACTCTTTTGGCCGTTGGACGAGATGGTGTGACAGGGATTTCGCTCTTTCTCGGGCAAACGCATGTGTGCCTAGAGTTTTATCCCGTCGAGCTGCTGGGCGTAAAAGCCTTCCGTGTTTCGTCATGTTATTTTGCATATAAAGTCGCCTGTTCGCTGTAGAAGTCGCGAGACCGTTTGTCACTGAGGCTCGAGACAAAGAAAGGCGCGCTCAGACACGATATTCGCAGCGTCGAAAGAAAATTCGACCAAATTCGACGACGCTCCTTGCTCAACTGGACTTCCTACCGGCTCCCCATGGCCGACACGAACGTAACGACGGAGGAGAAGCGGGCATCGCAGGATGCGCAGCCCGGCGAAGCCCCACTAAAGTCGGAACAGTCAAGCGAAACAATAGCACCAAGGGACGATGACAACATTGTGTATCCGACGGGAATAACACTCATCTTAATCATAGTGTCCCTATGCCTTTCTGTCTTCCTGGTAAATAGAGAAGCCAATTTGATGGTTAAGGCGTCACCACTAACCAATATTGAAAGGTTGCTCTTGACCAAACCATCATCGCGCCGGCCCTTGGAGCGATCACATCCGATTTCCATAGCGTCAAGGACATAGGCTGGTATGGCGCTGGATACCTGCTCACGACGACGGCTCTGCAGCCGACCTATGGCAGGATCTACAAGACCTTCGACATCAAGCTGACCTTCCTCGGGGCCGTGGCCCTCTTCGAACTGGGCAGCTTAGTATGTGCCCTGGCTCCCACCTCCATCGCCTTCATTGTGGGCCGGGCCTTGGCCGGAGGCGGCACCGCCGGTCTCTTCTCCGGCGCCGTCGTGATATTTTCCTACACCCTGCCCCTCAGGAAAAGGCCGGCAGCGTTCGGCCTGGTCGGGGGCATGTGGGGCATAGCCAGCGTGGCCGGCCCGTTGCTCGGAGGCGTCTTCACGGACCATGCCACTTGGCGCTGGTGCTTTTATATCAACCTACCGATCGGAGGCGCCGCAATGCTTGCCATATTCTTCTTCCTGCGCATCAAAAGGGTGAATAACCCGAACAATGACAGCTTGTTCACCCGGATCAAGCAGCTCGACTTGGCTGGCACAGCTATATTGATCCCCGCTGTCGTCTGTCTTCTCCTAGCCTTGCAATGGGGAGGAGCCGAATATCCCTGGAATGACTCCCGCATCATTGGTCTCTTTGTCGGCTTCGGGGTAATGGCTATTATTTTCGTCGGCCTCCAAATCCGGGCGGGCGATGCAGGAACTTTGCCCCCTCGGCTCTTCAAGAACCGCAATGTCCTTCTCGCCATGTTGTTCGCCTTCTTCTTCGGAGCCGGCTTTTTCCCACTGGTGTATTATCTTGGTATGTTCAAGATGCCAGATGCCTTCCCGCCTTTCTGTCGTTTATCACGGTCACTGACATGCCGTGATAGCCCTCTATTTCCAAGCCATCCAGGGCGACAGTGCTGTCGAGGCTGGTGTCAAACTCCTGCCACTTCTCATCTCGGTGGTAGTCACATCTGTGCTGAGCGGCGGGCTGGTCACCGTTGTGGGCTATTACAACCCTTTCGTCATTCCCGGCATGATCCTATTCACCGTTGGCGCGGCCATGATTACAACGTTCAGCATTGACTCCCCGGTGAAGGTCTGGTTTGGATATCAGGTGATTTGCGGTAAGGGTGACAGTTCGCTGCGTCTGCTAGCTTCTCGGATCTGACGATTTCCTAGGTCTCGGCATTGGCGTTGGTTTCCAGATTGGCATTCTTGTCGTCCAGAACATGCTGCCTTTGGAGTGGATTCCGGTTGCAACGGCATGCGTCCAATTCTTCCAGAGTCTTGGAGGAGCAGTGTTCATCGCCGTTTCACAGGCCTTGTTCCAGAACGGATTGAAGGACGGAATAATGCGAAATGCGCCAGGCATACCCCCCGAGATCTTTATCAACAGCGGCGCCTCCCAAGTCAAGCAGATCCTGCAATCGCTCCATGCCGAGCAGTTTACTGACGCAGTACTCAACGCCTATCTCTCAGGACTGAGACACACGTACTATGCCAGCATGGGTTGCGCTGGGGCGGCCTTTGTCATTTCTTGTTTATTGACTTGGAAGAAGATTAAGAAGGCGCCAGTCGAAAAGGAAGTCGGCCACAGCGATATAGAAAGCGGGGGTCCGGACGCAGAGAAAGCTGGAGTGCAGGGAAACAGCCAGTCATGAGTTCGTGGCGATATTGACATCGCCAAAACTCCCCACTTAGTTATTTGTGCCTTGATAGATTTGGTCTCTTGCTGTAAGATAGGCGTCGTATACCTAAAGGAGATAGAGCAGTCAAGCAGTTATTACGTTGAATCCCAGGGTATCTTCTCTCGTAACCATAAGCCAAAGACTGGATGATCTTCAGACGATGGTCACATACCTGAGAGGATTCCCAACTTCCCTGGGCCGCATCGAGGGCCACATATTTGTAATGGTCTGTAGAGGGAAGTCGCATTGTCATTGCGTATCATCGGGCGGTCGATCCCAGGGGCGTTCGGGGGCTTTATTGCCATCCGCATCACCGCCAATGGCGACGAATTTGAGGACCCATTCCCTGACCCTCTTCGTCTTGTCTAGCTGTGGATGGGTCGTGTTTGTGGAAGCCAGGTCGGCAGCTGTATAATAGCCTCCGCTGTCAACTGCGTCGAGCCTTTTCCGATGCAGTAGATCGACCTTTGTGAGGTCCTTGCGCAAGCTGGATCCGTACACCTTCCTCATGAATACGTTCAAAGCAACATTCTGCATCAACACCACGTCCTGGCACCGCAGCCCGGCAAGCACGCTCTGGCCGACACTGTCGGACGGCAGCCAAAAGGTTACGGCAAACCCGGACCTCGTTTCATCCCCAACGAGGACTTCGACCAATGTCCTTGACGAGCCCCAACGAGTCTTGACAGTTCGAGGTGCTGCAATGGAGATGATTCCAACTACCAGATTAACTGTCATGGTCTGGGGATGGATCTTCACTAGATATGCCGCGGAAGGGATGTCCTGTAGATGGCTGAGGTGTCCATCCCCATTGCGGCCAATGGGTTCCTTAGGTAAGACTTCGTGCGAGCTGTCGGTGGTCCAGTTTGAGGAGTCGTTGGTCAGGACGGATGAGTCCTGAGCCTCGCCAGTGCTCGGGTTCAGTTGAGATGATGGTATTTCATTATAAACAGCCAGAGAATGCTCATAAAACTGGGAAACGAGCTCGTGTGTGGGATCAACATTTGTCGAGTCAGCACCGTCGCCCTCCTCTGCAACACTAGTGAACGAAGTCGTGAAGAAATGGGAGTTGCCCTCCAACTGTGGAGCATAGTCTATGTCATGACGCTGAGACAGGCCAAAAGTCAGGTGTTCTTTCTCCAGAGATAGTGCCCTCCAGACGGCATATTGAGGTAGAGAGCCTGGAGCTGGGGCCGGGGCAGCTGGTGGGGTGCAAGGCGGGTTGAGTCCAGCAAATCGAGCTAAGGGTTCTTCTAAATGGAGCAACAGATTTGGAGAATCCCAATCTAGTAACGAGCTCTCCGGAGCTCCAGCAAATATGATAATATTGCCAGCCATAGCTGTGAACATACAAGAGTTCAAGGTTGACTCGGAAGTTGATAAGAGCTCGTCGGGGTGATATGGAATGTGGGGGGAGCTGGTAGCTCTGGGATGGCATGTGATGACTAAGCAACCGCTCACCGCCCTGGCAGGAGGCTTGTGAATCGTGAATCGACATCATTTTCTAGAGGTTCAAGTCTGGTTGGGGCACCAAGAAATAGCAACCCCCACTCTCCCAGTCTGCCTGACGGTTCTCTTTGGCGAGGTAGGAATCCTTCGCCAAAAAGCTTTCCCTAAAGCCCATTCCGAGGATTCAAGAGGCCTGAAAGGCCTCGCAATGGCTCCGCCCCCCTGGGAGAGAGTGCCCAACCAAAACACGCTGTTTGTCCTGGTCACTGGCGCGAATAGGTAAGTGCCAGGCTAGTTACCACCTACCTGAGCCTCTTAGGTTGGCTTGAAAACAATCTTGCCTTGCTCTTGCGTGTATTTCTTTTCTAACCATTGACCCAGTGGCATTGGCTTCGGAATCTGCCAGAGGTTGATCGATAACTTCCTAGCTTCCCGCTCCCTTTCCTCCCATCTGATCCTAATCCCGACTACCCGGACTGCGAAGAAATCACAAGATACGGTAGTCGCATTGAGAAACCATTGCAGGAAGACGGCGAAAACCTCAAAGTCACTGAGGTCGCGTGCTGGGCCGGACTACGACCCGAGAGATACGACCAGGAGAATCCACATTCTCAGCATCCAGCTGGACCTCTGCAACCTACCCAGCATTCAGAAAGCTGCGCAGCAGCTGGTGAATGGGACACTCAGCAGCTCGTGTGAGGATGGCTACTTCGAACCTCTGGTGGACGTCGAAATCCCTCGGCTGGATGCCCTGATATTCAATGCTGGGATTGGGGGGTGGACGGGATTGAACTGGTGGCTCGTAATCCACCATGTCCTTACCGAAGGGGTTGTGCAGGCTACTACCTGGCCAACCTTCAAGGCCGCCACCGCGGGCTGCACGGTTAATCCTCTGCCGAAACTGAAAGATGCAGATGACTCGACAACTACCCCGGTGCTCGGCGAGGTTTTCTGCGCCAACGTCTTTGGACACTACTTCTTCGCACACGCTCTACTGCCTCTCCTGAGCCGATCGCAAGACAGCTCCATGCCACCAGGCCGCATCATCTGGGAGAGCAGCGTGGAGGCTGTCTGGGACAGCTTCTCCCTCGCCGACTTCCAAGCCATCAAGACCGACGCCGCCTACGAGAGCAGCAAGCGGCTCACCGACATCCTGGCCCTTACCTCCAACCTTCCAGCCGCACGCCCCTACTCATCCACCTATCTCAGCCCCGGCAGGTCGTCCACCGCCACGCCGCCCAAGATCTACCTCACCCACCCGGGCGTCGTCGTGAGCTCCCTCTTCCCGCTCAACGCCTTCCTCTTCTTCTGGTACCGCGTCGCCCTCTACCTGGCGCGCCTCCTCGGCTCGCCCTGGCACCCCGTGACAGCGTACAAGGGCGCCTGCGCGCCCGTGTGGCTCGCCCTCCAGGACCAGGCCGCCCTAGACGCCCTGCGCGCCGACCGCGTCAAGTGGGGCACCAGCACGGACCGGTGGGGCCGCGAGGCCCCCAAGAAGACCGAGGTGGAAGGCTGGGGTTGGGAGGGCCGTGTCGAGGACTGGGCCGTGATGGCGGCCAAGGACCGGGCGGCGGGGGTGCTGGGGAACCTGGTGGGGAGGAAGAGACGCGCGAGGGATCTGACGGAGGAGAAGAGGGAAAAGTTCGAGGAGCTGGGTGCCGAGTGCTGGCGCGAGATGGAGGAGTTGAGGAAGGAGTGGGATACCAGGATGCGGTAAAGGCCGGGTGAGCCTCGTGACTCCTGACAGAGAGGTCTCTGCGTGAAGTTGTCTCGGAAACGCATAAAATTATCCCTAACGTGGCTTGCTAGACAACGCTCCCCCCGGGTATTTAGTGAGATACATCGATAGACATACCCATACCTAATCGTAATTACCAAATTCAGACCACGCTATTAAAACCACTTGGGGTGAGCTTCCCCCTAAGCATATTACAACATGACTAGGTAGACATATAGACGTAGATATACAGCATGACCAGGCATCATCACGACGAGTTCGAGTTCCGCGCCGCTCCCTCGTCCGAGAGGACCCTCTTCATCACCACCTTCTCGTCACGGCCGAACCAACCCAGACACAACGGCAGCGGCATAACGGCCAACGACACGACGGCCGTGAAGATGAGCGCCTTCTGCATGTGGTTCGGCGGGCTCGCGTCGGGCCCCGCCTTGAGCGCGTCCGAGATGATGATGAAGCAGCCCCCGAGCAGCTGGCCGGCGCTCCAGGCGAGCGTCGACGTGACCTCGGGGCTGATGGGGTGGGTCAGCTCGACGAGGTACTCGACGGCGACGGGGACGAGGGCGAAGCAGGAGGCGCCGAGGACGGCGAGGACGGCGTAGGGCCCCGCGATGGCGCGCGTGCCCGGCATCCAGACGAAGACGAGGTAGCACAGGGCGATGACGGGGACGGCGATCTTGATGGCCAGCAGGAAGCGCTTGGTGCGGTCGAGGACCGGGGACGTGACGGCCGCGGCGGCGAGGCCGACGAAGATCAGAAGCGCGCCCGCGATGCCCGACTGCTCATCGTCGAAGCCGTACGGCTGCATGATCTGGTTGAGCAGCGACGAGATGGAGTTGAAGAAGCCGACGTAGACAGCGAAGGGGATCATGAGGAGCCAGAACTCGAGGTGGCCAAGGAGGACCTTGGCCGAGTCCGTCAGGCTCATCTTCGGGGTCTCGCAGGATGGTGCGGCCGGGGTGGGAGGCTTGGCGGGGATGAAGAAGGAAGGGATCGAGCAGACTGATGACTACGGTGTTTGAAAGTCACGGATGTGGTCAGCGGGAGGGATGTAGGAGGGGGGAGGGGGGAGGGGTGGCTTAGGGAAGCTTACAATGATGGCGACGTAGAGAACCATGTTAGACACATCGGCTGGCTTGTCGACCCAGAACGGGACAATAAGCTGCCCCAGGGCCGCGCCGAAGGGATTCGCCAGGCTCACGACAGCCGTGGCGGCCACCCGGCCACGGTTCGTGAACCACAGATCGGAATATCTCGTCGGGGCGCTCAGCACGAAAGGCTGGGCCAGCCCCGTCAGGATCTGGCCAAACATGACCACGCCAAAGATGCCGCCGTCGCGCGAGTGGGAACCTGCATAGCGGATCCAGTTTCCGACAAGGACCAGCACGGCGGCGCTGATGATGGCCGGCCGGGGTCCGAAGTGGAGGACGTAGATGACGACGGGGGTGATGAAGACAAAGGCGAAGAGGAAGGCCGTGCTGAGCCAGTTGACGGTCGTCGCATCGGTGTTGAAGTAGGTGGCCGCGTGTGACGCAACGGGCGAGAAGGTCAGCCACTGGGGTTGCACTGGTTAGCTTGTCTGAATGAAGCCCGGGTGATGTGCGACGAGAACAAATATGCCCCAGAGCGCGACGGCAGCGACTCGCAGGCCCGCGCAACGCCCTGGGTGACATGCATGGGCATGCTTACATCCCAGCTGACGATTATATTTAACAACGTCAGTTGTACTAGGCCGAACCACCGCCTCTTATAGACCCTGTATTCCCCGCTCGGGGAGGCAACGTCCCCCGCGGCGGGATCGCCGCCACCACCACCGCTGTCGAGCCGCTCGGGGTCGGTGCTCTTAGACGGACCGCCGCGTCTCGCCCCGGTGTCTCCCAGCTCGATAGCCCCGGTCCGCATCGAGTCGGATTTCTGGCTATGAGAGTCCCCGGACCGGTGGGCTGCTGTTGGCTCGTCGTCCTTTAGTTCTCGCCAACCGAGCGGGCGGCCACCTATCATGTCGTCCGGGGGCCGAGCAGGAGGTCGCGTCCGGCTTGTCGGTCTGATGGTCGGTCGTGACTACGGGGGTTGCTCCGTCGCGAGCTGAGAGTGAGGCGAGAACTGCGGCCGGGACCGTTGACTAGCGGCGCGCGCCGCCAGGAATTTGCCGTCAGTGACCGCGTGCGGGCAAGGGTCCCTCGCCAGGACCGAGTTTTGTCGATGCTAGATGTCAATGCGTCTGAAGCGTCATGAGTAACTGCAACCCCTTATGGGTGTTGGTAAGAGGAAGGCAGCAATTGTTCCCAGCAAAGGGGTTGATCCCTGGAGTGTCCATTTCTGGTTCAAGTGGCCGACCCCAGGCGCTCAAACTCAATCAGCAGCTCACGGGACAATATCTGGTGGCACACCTGCGATCCAAAATACCACTAAGGCATCTACTATTACCTACCCATGTACCAATCACTACCTTATATTGACACGCATCCATCCCCAAGCGGGGTGTTGGATCTTCCCGCTCAATATTATGCTCTTGTCAAATGCGCCGATAGGTTAGATAGGAGTTGAGGGCTCGCACCCATTCCACCTAGAACTGACGGATGAGAGAACGTCCTTGTTTTGTCTAGCCAGCGGCGCACATCCCAATGATGGGACCAAAGCAAGTTTCCTTGCCTCGGCCCTCCAACCGGCCCCTCACCGTCAGTTTCGTACAGTTATCTGGCATGTGACCCAATTCCTCTAACATGCAAGACTTAAAGAGTTCCGTGTTTTGTGCGGGGAACTGTTTTCAGGGTACCTAGGTAGGTAGGATGCTTGTGGGAGATGATGCAATAAACCACAACACTCCATATGTGCAAGCAGGTCTAAATGAGTAAGGTGGTTTGATAAGGGGGGTTTTATGGTACATTGAGGAAACATGATCGCAGTTGCCAGACTTCATACATAACCCGATTCCGAGCTGTATAGAACTCAACACAGACTGCAAGTTTACAAGGGTGCTCCCACTTGTCTGCCATGCCTGGCGACCGTCTCTTGTCAGCTGTTCGGCCTCGTTGTCTATTTAGGATTGTTCTAGGAGCATGTATGCAATGCCAACGCCGAAAGGTCTGTGCTGATGATGTCGACACCGAGGCGGCACCACGAGTCGCCTGGCGCCTATTTAAGGACTGACCAAAGCTTGGGCGCAGCGCATGCGCTGGCGCAGTGGGCGAGGTGGAAGACTATACCGTGGGCCTTAGGTTAGCAGCCATCCATATTCACCGGGGCAGCTTCGGGGTCTTGTAAACCCCAGCTTGATAGCTTGCAAGCAAGCCAAAAAAAAAAGGAAAGCAAAAGGGGGGGCCAGGGGTGCTTACACTCTTCGACGCAGTCCTCGCCGGCCTCTCCATCGTCCGAGCCCTTCGTAACCCGCTCGACGCATTCATCGAAGTGGTGCTTGGACGGTGCGCATTGCTTGGACTCCTTGCATTCTGCGAATCAGAATCGTCAGTACTGGCCATATGGAGGGTATCATCATGGTTGAGCTGCATCGCGGCAGAGAGCCCCGGTCATAGTCAGACTGAAACCTTTGACAAGCGACGAACAGCACCAGCCGTTCCAAAATGGAGAGATTATGTGCACCCACCTTCCTCAAGTTTCTCCTTCGGGTCGACAATCTCGTCTTCGTCCTCCTCTTCTTCTTCCTCCTCCTCTTCCGCGGGTTCCTCCTCGGCCTCGGGCTCAGCAGCTTCCTCCTTGGTATCGGGTGACTCCTCCGCGGCAGCCTGCATGGAACGAACGGATATTAGCGCCATGGGTTGAGCCAATACAACTGAGAACGACCCCAAAAATCAAGAGAGTATATTCTTCCCCAGCCAAGCTCAATGTAGGGCCGGCGGCGGGAAAGCTCGAATGGGCGTAACGGGGAGGAAAATAGGCCTTACCTGCTCCTCCTGAGCCGGCGCCTCGGCTTCGGCGGTGCTCCATGGCGTCGCGGCCTCCACGAGGTCGGTGATGGTATCCCAGATGCCCATTGCGATCAACCGTGGCGGTCGTGCGTATCAATGGCTCGGTGCTGGTGGGCTGACGAGGTTTAGCAGGTGTTGGAAAGAGCCTCTGTTTAGGAGCTTGGGAAAATCATGTACGAAAACCGACCGGCAACCGAATTGGGCGGGATTTAATTGGCTCGCATAACCGTGTCCGGCTGCTTGCCAGATAGATCACGTGCCAATTCACGTGGCGGATAATGTAGGTGGGCATGTAAGGCATGGAAGCTCCCATCCATTACGCCAGGCACGCTAGCAAGGCAGGTACCTACAGCTACCTACCCGTGCTACCTAACCTCGGATAGGTAGGTAAATAGAGGCACAAAATGAGCTTTTTTGGTTCCAAATTGAAGAAGCAAATCGTGAAAATCATATTGTAATGTGGATGCTATGGATGTACGAGGGTATCTCCCTGCAAAGTCTCGTTTCCCTGAGAAAAACTGATATACATCAACTAGGCTAACTTGAAGAGCCTGCTATCGTGAAGCGTTGATAGCTCTGAGGAGGAATAAAAAAAATTAGACCGTCTCGATGGGACAGCTCGCAGTTTCAAAACAAAATGCAAACAGCCGTTATGGATGAGATCAAATAACCGGGACAGCTTTGGGGTATCATAAGTGGTGCTTGGCGGCACACCGGTCTCCAGAACATGCCTGTGTGAATCCCAAGAAGCAAAATCCAACAGGCAAACCACCATCCTCGCCGTAAACGCCCGACTACACTCAGTGTCTCTCGGCTTCCTCGCGCATACGCTCCTCATATCGGATACCGATTGCTTGAGTCTGAGCCTCAACATAGTCGGGCGGGGGCTCATCCGGAGCAGGCTGGGGAGCTTGGTCGGGATTTGAGGCATTCCCTGCTGTCGTTGTGGTGGGCGGAGGACCTCCAGACTGGGTGGTGGTAGTGGTGGTGGTGGCAATAGTAGCTAGAGGATGGGCAGGAATATTGGAAGGGTTGCTCGCCTCGTATGGCGGTAGAGGCTCGTCGGTGACGTTTATAGCCTGTCCAGTCTCCCGCTCTAGGTCCCGCGCATGGTGAAGACGGTCCTTGATGAGCTCGAACTTTGTCTGGAATTCGCTGTGACCGCCATCTTTGAAGGTCAACTTGACCTCTACGCGGGGAAGATCAAGAGGGAGGCCTCCTCCCGCCACGGGCTTGACGATGCCTCTCCAGCTCCAAGGGCCAATCCAAGACGAGTGAACATGTGTGTCATCAAAGTTGAGGATAGGTGCGAAAAAGGACCTGAACTGCTCAGTCGGTCTACCGGGCAGATAGATGACCTGCTTTCATGATTAGGCGCGCGTCCCGTTCCCGAAAGAGGCGACTTACCCTCTTGCTTGTTACGTATGCGATGCCATTATCGCTTCGGATGGAGAAGGGCTCTGCCGCAGCCTGGAGCTCCCGGGGCGTCGAGAGGTCCAGCCCCACTCGAGACCTCGATGTGTGCAGGATCCGCTCATTGGGGATGGGAAGGATGTTTCCATCTTGACCCAGCATCACCCAGCTGTTTTCTTCGTCAGACGAATCGTCGCTCTGAACTTGGGCATTTTGAGCGAGGGTCCAGGCATGTTGCTCGGCCAGGAATTGGTCGGCCATGGTGAGAAATGCCCGGGGTTGCTCGGCGAGGAGGGAGTAGGTACATATGAGAAGCAGGGAGTTGCGGAAGCTAACGGATACAAGTGCCCATGGCTAGATCCATGGCTGTGGACTAAGGTAGGGTAAAAGAAGCGGAGGCTGAGGCAAAAAAAAAGACCAGGAGGCAAGGGGGGGGTGAGAGGAGGCGAGGAGATGGCCAAGCGGACTTGACTTACTTTATTGACATGATGAACGGGGCAGGGTGGCGTCAGCTGCAAGATGTGGCAAGGAGATGTCGAGCCTTCGGATAGACGATGGAGCTCGTCGATTCGTGGACAGTCCTGGGCGCCAGGAGCGACGAGTTCGTCGGCAGCGGCACAGCTTGCAGATGTTGCAGCCGAAACGGAGGTTTGGGAGTAAACTAGTCGGCAGAATGTGGTGTGGGCCACGGCGCTGGGATGCTTGAGCTAGTCGCAGAGGCCCCTTTGGGTTGCGTCGGTTGTTTCTCTCACACAACTACTTATGGTACAGTCGAAGAGCGACCAGACAAAGCGAGGGGAAGCAGCACCTAATGAGTTGGCGGTTGCTGGCAGGCGGGCAGTGGAGCCAACAGTGGACCAGACAAAGAACTTCAAGAGAGAGGCGAGACAATCAGAAGGAAGGCCGCCGTAGAACTGCAAAGTGTCAGTACACGAGGCGAGGGCGGCGTCAGCGTCAAAACTCGAGTCCAGGCAGATCTTGAACACCAGGAATAGAGCAGCGGGATAGCAGGAATCGGCGAGAAGCCTAGGCTGACAGCTGGGGTAGGCAGGTGGCTAGTAGCTAGCGTAGGCGGGCACGGCTAACAGGGGAATAGGGTGTCTTGGGTTGTCAGGGTGTGTGGTTGTCGACTGGGGTGGGGACAACGGAATCTAGAAGTCAGTCGGCGAGGGACGAGTGGAAGGTTTGTTTGGTGGAGCGGGGAGGAATGGAACCTAAAGCCCTAAAAAGCAACCTCAAAAATGGACGGCTAAGAACCCGGGTTCTGCGCACAGGTACAAGTACAGTACATACATACAATCAATCATACATGCGTACGGATCCGTACATCAGCCGTGCCTATCATCTAAGGTACCCATCTTTTGCCTTTGGTGGCATGGTAACCACTCAGAAGACGAGTAGGAATCTGCATGGGCCAATCACTGCCGACGGGAGACCCTGATGATGCTGCCTTAATCCCCCAGCCCGTCTCCTTATATGGATGGATACAGACGACTCAGCAGTTACAGCAGTAGCTCTCGAGTCCTCCACTAATACCTACCTCTCACCCAATGTCACCAGGCACTTTCCCTGGTAAGGGCAGTTGTGAGGCGGGACCTAGTAGAGACGGGCAAGATGTCAGAGTCAGACCAGAGGTAAAGAATAGGTACCATGGGTGGGTCGAAGGGACGGATGGGGACTTTAACAGCGACGGAAAAGAGGCTCATCGGCGACAAATTCTCTCGACTCTTTGCAGCCCCCTTATCTAATCAAGGCCACCAGCGAGTGACACTCACTGGCACTATATTCAGCCCGTTACATGAACCTTCCTGAACCTGTCTGGGCTCTGCAGTGTCTTGGACCGGCCCGACACTAGCAACTTAGCTTCTCCCAAGAATGCATGAGTTGGCTCAGACCAAGGCCCCATGAAGATGGCCTCGGCGAAGCTAGCTGGTCTCGAAACCGGTGAAAACGGGAGGCTAGGGACCGGCAGCGAGTCATTATCATGGGCAACGGCTACAGAACGACATACAGTAGGTGATCATATCATACTCGGTACTTTGATGGCATCCCAGCCCCGGACGCCAGACGTTACATTGGAATCAGCAATTAGCCAGCGACGGCCTTGCTAGCACTCGACAGGGTGCTGATCCCGTCATCTTCTAAAATGCCAGTCTGACACGCCAGTTTCTCCTCGGAGCTTATTCTGCACAACCAAAGGCACTAGGATCACGAAATGAGGAACACCGTAAGCTGCCGTTCACCGAAGGACTTCTCCATCAGGAAGAGATGGAAACAGGAACGGATCCTACCTAAATCTCGGTGAAAGACGCAGCGACGAATCAGACTTATCTACACGTGCCGCATCAGATAAGAGCTTCACCCCACGACGCTCGTCCGCTAACTGTCGGGCAGCGGGCTGGCCCTCCTTCCCTCTCATCAAGCCCGGTTTAGTGGGGTCCAAGTCAAGTCGCCAACCCACAACCACATCGGTATAAATCTCTAGATTTGCAGTACAACCGTTTTCTCAGGTCAGACGGGAGTGGCTTGTTCTCGCGAGATAAGAAATCGTATTGATTATCAAGAATTACTCGCAAGTTCACTCCATCCTCGATCTTAACAAAAACCCTCTGCCTAAATAAGTATGTACATGTACATCTACCTCCCTAAGACGGCATCACCTGCGATTCCCAGCGTCGTTCTCTATTCCACCTGGCTATGGATTCGTCCATTCACGGAAAAGGCATCCGCTCAGTGCACATCCGGTGGCGCCAAGGCAAGGCCGCCCGGTCTGCCCTTGCCGTCCCTCTTCTTTCTCCCCTGCACCATCCTTCCCTGCTCGATCCGATAGCCGGTATCGCAGCCATGGCTGCGGCCCGAGCCCTCGCCGTGTAGAGTCACTGCAGCCTTCGTCCAGAAGAAAGCATGCAACTTGGTTGCCAAGCCATGTATGTGCCTTCTGACACCTGTTCGAAGCTACTTGAGTTACACAGAGAGGCAGCCGTGGGAATACGTGGAACCCATTTTCTAGGGAGGCTGGCCCGCCACAGCGTGACCTGTTCAACTTCCACGCCAATTGATGTCACTCTGGGCTTCTGCCCTCGGGAAAGACACTGGGCTATTTCCAATATCTAGCCTGGGGGGTCCATATAAACGGGTTGACAGCCGTTAGTAACGGCTACTTCCGTTACCGTAAACTCTTTATTGACAATAAAACCGAACTTTTGCCTGATTGGACCTGTCCTCTCGGGAACTCTGGCAATAGTATCAACAGATCCTTGACCGAGGGCGAGTGTCTGCCACTCATGCACCTCACACGCCTTTTTGACTGACTCGGTCTCCCCTCTCGTTGATCCTATCAGAGGGCAGCTCGCGGACCTGCTTGCTTCTTCTACGAAATCTATGTTGAAGATGACCCTGTTTTTGCCCAGCGAGCAGATATACTTTTGGTGAGCCGTTCTGTTCTCCGGTGAACATGCGAGCGCAGTCCTACGTATGCGTATGGCTTACCTGATTTCTAGACATTTCCAATTGGTTAGTCGGCTCCTCTCTTGAACCAGTGAGGTCGAGAACCCCGCCTGTATAATCCCTGGATGCATGCCCGCTCAAGTTTTGAGACTCGATTTGCCCTCCCTGAGACCTCACCGCCCAGTTGCCGATCCAGAAGTTCCGACGGCACAATCAACCACTGACTGCCCTGCCCCCACGAAAAGGGGTTTGGCCAACCGTCAGGATTGTCATCCGGCTTGCAACTGGCGGCCGCTAAGCCGACCAAGTCCTTGGTCCTGGGAGCCTGTTAGGTGGCCAAGTGGGGCGTCTGCCACAGGACGAGGTTGGACATGGGCTGATGACACAATGTTGGGGGCTATTTCACTGGAGAGCATTGCTCACCGACGATTTTCGGACACTCGCTTTCCCTTCTAGTCTCTGGTTTGCATAAAGCCACATACTGAGCTAAGCTGGTCACCGTATCGGCGTATGCAGGGAACGACCTGGCCTCCTCGCATCAGCCAATAGAGTCATAGCCTCTATCTAGTTCCCAGTGTCTTGTATCATAGTCTCGACAATCACATCGCAAGCAACCTAGGCTACTGCATCTATGCGTAGTCTACTGCACGAAGGAGCCGGGCATTTAGTCCGCGATACCCTGTCGCCTGAGATTCCCAGCCAGGGGTCAAAGCCTGGGCCGACGATGCGCCGAGTATCACCCTCACCGGCACCTCTAGGAAGGCCTGGAGTGGCGTTGGCCATTGCAGTCATTGTGGGCTGACTCACGACAGGTCCTTCTCAGATCAAATCGTCTTTCTCATGGAATTAATCATGGATGTCATTAAACCGTATAATCATGAGCGAAAACATCAAATCCAGGCGTCCCAGACCAGGGTTACCGACATACACTGAAGCCCCATATTCCTTCCCCTTCGACAGCAAAGACAAGAAGAAACAAGAACATCCGGCCGCATAGTGATAGACGCAATTTTTGTCCAAACTCCGATGGTGAGGTCGTCTTAAGTCGCCACCAACAGCTTAAAATCCTAGTCAAGGGCCATTGATTGGACGGGCGCCGTCGGATCTCACGGCCTGCCTCTATTCACAGCCAAATATAGCCCACGACAGCGGGGCTCGTCCGGATAACCTCGACCCGCCTGTAAGACCCCGTCCATTGCAGAGGGCCTGCAGGCGAGATCTCTATTTCAGAGGGGATCCCTGTTCAAGACAGCCACATGTCGTTTCCGTGGCCGTCACTAACCCCCTTCCTGTCCAGGGCAAAGTCCAGCCTGGGCATCTCGAGCTTGGGGGCCGCTTCCAGCTTCTTCCTGCCGGGCCCTCCCCCAGCCCCAGCCTTCTTGGCCGGCGAGGCGCTCCGACTCTCGGGAGGCGGGCCATACCTGACGTCGCGGACATCCCACCCGTCCTCAGCCGCCGCAGCGACCCACGTGCGCAGGCCGTCGTGGACGGCGCCGTAGAATTTCTCCTTGCAGAGTCGCAGGCTGGCGCCCATGCAGCGCTCCCAGCCCGAGATGCGCAGCTCGGCCCGCAGCTGGTTCCGCGCCTCGGCCGTGGGGCCGGTGCAGGCGAGGATCGCGTTCATCAGGTCCAGGTGGCTGGCGAGGTAGTTTGTCGCCTCCCATTCGACGCCACCGACATACGGGGCCGCGGGTACGGGCGCCCGCTCCTGGGGAAAATGGCGGCCCATGTAGTCGAATTGGCTGCCTGGCCCCGTCGAGGATCCACCCTCGAGGGGGGGGCCCTGGCTCGTAAGCGTGGTCGGCTGATCAGCTGTGGTGGCGACCTTGGATGGCGAGGATGATGGTTTCTTGCCTCCTACAGGCGGCAGAGATACCACGTTCAGGTTGTGCAGGAAGATCCAGAAGACCTCCTTCGTCACGTTGACCACCTCCTTGCACCAGACTCGATACGGCCGATCCCGTCTCATCTCGAGGACGAAGCTCACTGGTCGCTCCTCCTCCTTGGCCTCGGGATCCCGCAGGTAGCGTAGGACTCTCTGCGCGCGTGACAGACGCTCCTGCCCCGAGACACACTCAATGTACTTGAGGAGTACCGAGGTTATGATGTTCCTGGTCGTGAACTCGCTCGGCCCTTTCTTCTCGGGGTCGAAGATCATATGAAGCAGGGCCGGGAAGAGGGTTTGGTGGATCGAGTGGAGATACTGCAGAGCGAGGGCGGTTGTACACAGTGCTTTCAGGCAGAGGAGGTTCTCGTGGAGAAGGGCATCTTCGTGTTCCTCCCTGGATAATGAATGGTCAGTACACTCACATGGTGCCACACCAGAAACTGCCCACTTGGGGTGGCATAAGCGCTGCTTACCTCCATTCGACCTCCATAATGCGATGCAATAGGTCAACAATCTCCTTCATGCCCCCCTGGCGGATGAATTCTTCGGTCCACGCCACAGTCTCGTTTCGCAGGAGGATGCGGAGCTTATGCAGCTTACCAACCTCCACATTCTCGGGCTTCTGCACCTTCCGCAGGTACGTAACAAATTCCAAAGGTCTCTGCTGCCCCTTGGCCTTGGAAAGGATGCCTGTGCTGGATGACGAAGCCGACGAGGAAGGCCTGTCGCTCACTACGCTGTCCGTGGACTTGCTCCGGAAGTGGCGGCCCAACGTACCCTCCGGCTTCGACTTCTTAGTAGGAGAAGGTAGGCCCTTGCTACTACCAGCCTTAGAGAAGGTCAGGCTCCGATGTTTCTTCTTCTTGATACCCGCGGGGTCCGGGGTAGCCACAGTGCTCGCTTCCATTGACGTATCACTGTCATTGGTGCCCGGCCGATCCGACTTGGCCGTCTTCGTTTCCGCCCAGTCCTGACGGATGAACTCCATCTTGATGGTGTCGGTCAGGTTCCGCATCTTGTACCTCTGGTTCTCTGGGATGTTGCGACGATCAAGCATGGCCTCGAGGTGCTTGTCGATATCCTTGGGGTCGATGAACGGCTCAGTGCTCGCCGACCCTGCCGACTTGGTCCGAGACCCAAGCCCCTGAAAGGCGCTGAACACACCGGGCCGCGCCGCCGTTCCCGTTCCGCCCTTCCCCACCGTCTGCCTCTCCTTGGTCTTGTTGTCCGTGCCCTGCTTCGACTTCCAGATACGGCCGCTGCGTGAACCGATCGATTGCGACCCCCTGCTATCCTGCTTTGGGACATGAGATGGGTGGAATGACGTCGGTCGCAGCTTCATGATGACTCCCTCTCCAGGGTTTTCATATTGGGTCGGGTGGCTTCCAAACGGGTCATCCAAGCAGTCGACTGTTGGCGATGGGAGGGGCTGGCTGGTGAATTGGGCAAAGATTGGAGGCGGGGGCGCATAGTCGTTTGCGAGAGAACTCGGCGGGGTTCTGTTCTCTTTGTCCTTTGTGGCTCGGGCTTCCTCGTCTGTCAACTTGGTCACGCTCTTGGATGCCTTTGGACGCAATAGCAGGCCAGCAAGGTTGGTGGATGACTTGGCCTTCTTTGGCTTTGTAGGGGAGGCGTCCCTGCTCTTGTGGACTTTGCCTGATTCCTTGACCCCGAGTGACTTCATCGACATAGTGGCAAATGCCCTCTTGGTCGGGGATTGCTGCTTGTCGTCTTGAGCTTTCTTGGGTGATCGAGTTCCCTGATCCTGTTGGTTTTGTTGCAGTTCACCCAGGGCTCTGGACTGCTGGGTAAAAACTGGCATTCCCATGTCAAGAGACAGTTCTGGCCCAGAGACGTAGGAAGTGGTGGGGATAAGTAGCGGGGAGCGTAGTCCGGACCCGTCCGAGTTGTTCTTTCGATGGCCTATGAATGATCGAATTACTGATGATTTACTGCGTTGGTGGTGTCGTGGCTCAGCAGCACCCACAGTAATATTGGGATTTTCAACTGAAGCCATGGTTGCGAGGGGAAACAGAGAGGAATGGGAAAGGGAAAGAAGTGAAGAAAGTCTAGCAACAGGTGGTACGCAGTCCCTCGCCAAGTGATGCCTACGCCATTGCTGTCAGTACTATGCTATGCGTTACGTGCCACCAAAGAAAGAAAATGTCTCTGTTGGAATGCAATGTAATGGACAATGTTGGGTATGGAAGATTGGCCTGTCAAGAATCCGAGCTGAGCTTTGTCGGTTTCCAGAGATCAGGCCGAGACCAGGGTCTGTTTACGGGGCGGGTTGTTGCTACAGTGACAGGTGGGGCAGCCTTATCCGGTTTTATCAGGTGCAGCCCCACATCAGACCCAATGGCAGGTGGTCTCTCCTTGCTTGTCATGTGACTGCAACGTATACCTCCAAGCCCTAGGTACTTTCCATTTGGGGGGAACTAGGGGGGCAGTTCTCTTCCCACGTTGCTGTCCAAGTGGATAGATATAGGAGTCGCTAATGAGGGTCTCAAATAGAAGAGGCGATCTCACACAAGCCTATATCCTCGCCGAAAGTTTTTCACTGGGATAGCAGTCTACCGAACTGCCATAGCGGCCGAGGCTTAGCGTGCGTCTCTATGAGCATTTGGAGTTTGGCAGCTTGATGGCTAGGTACCTAGTAATAAAGGCCCTTGGGGTTAAGTAGGTAGGAAACCTACCGCGCCTCAAACGTCTCAGATTTTGAAGTGGCCGATGCCCAAGAAGCTGTATGGCGCCTTCCTTCCATCCCCTCGCACAGCGCAATATTTCTGACGTAACATCGCAGTCTGGACTGGCCGGCTTTGTTTTCTTGACACTGCTCGGGCTATGGCTTAGCGAAGGTCCGGAAGCTCCTTCCCTCCTAGATGCTCCTCCCCCTCCCCCCAGGTACCTATCATCCACCGGCCATGAACCAGTTCCACATGTTCCTCGTGACAAATAGACAGATAGGCAGGGAAAGTGCTCCCCAATTTTCAATCCTTCTCGGTGCATTTAAGAGCCACTCCCCCCTCCGAGACCTCTTCTTCTCTTCTTCTTTTCTCCCCGGTGCAGAGGTCATTCTCTGGGGCTTGCCCTGGAATTGAACTTCTTGTATTGACCCTAGGTCAATGGGGCTGTTGTAAAACGGGGGGCTCGACCCGCCTGCAGCAGTTCCTGGTGTACATTCTTTAGAACCAACGGATGCTCTCGGTATTACACTCCCTCCGATCAGCGTCCAAACCTTGATTTTCATTGAGCTCATGGCCTGGTGCCGTGACTTGAAGAAGATCCGTCCCATGCTCCTTCTAGACACTCCCGAGTTGGGCAGAATCGCTGGACTGGGCAGTTACTGTTGTGGTGTTGAAAAATGGCACGTATCGTGAAACCAGCTTTGAATGGTGGCATCCGCGGAGACATAACGCTTCGGAGCGACTTTTAGGGTGCTGTATGATTAAATTACTTCCATACTGGATGAGCTATTGGATCCTGGACCTCAACGGGCTAGGTGCTACGGGGCTCGAACGATTTTCGCCCTCATCCTCGCCATAGCTGTACTGTTACTGTTGCTGCCACCTGGCTATTGCTATTGCTATTGCGGTTATCGTTACTTGTTGGTGTCGCAGGTCCTGATGCCGTCGCCCATCACCAACCCCTATCCGGCCTGTTACCACCAGTAGCGCATAGACTCCAAGCCCAGGTTAGAAACCGCCCGGCCCACGTAGTAAAAACCGGTCATACATCGTCGTCTATTTTGAGGGGGGGAAGGAGAGAGGGGTTGGCGAGGACAGGTTCCCATTTTTTGTTATCTAGATGACGTATCCGTATATTTCCTCGCTTTCTTCTGTGTCCTGTCGTTGTAGAATGAAAATGAACCGTTGTGCAATTTAGCAAATGCGTTGGTAAGCCGTAGCCCTACGGCCTCTATAAGCTGTTCTACAAAGGAGGAGTCCTGTTCTTCGGACACCGCATGGCCTCTGCACTCTGGTCACATGGGCAGGTCCTAACTTTTTACCTTTTTGTTGTCCTGAGCGACCGTGTTCGAACCCTATTGAAACCCCTCTCGCCCCCTTTTTTGGATTTTTTTGGTATTTGCAGGCGCATAGCAAATGAAGCACCTGTATTAATGCAAAGTGATTTATCCCTTATATAATAATGTAACTCTAAACTATTCTCTGACTTACTCTCCTAGTTAATATATTGACTAGGCTTGCTTACTGCGGGCAAGGCTAGGAACTGTGAGAACACAGCGCGCGAATCCACTGGGCCATAATGAACCAAAAGATTCCCCTCTCTTTTTCTGACTCTACTTCCTCTGTGTCCGGTTATCAAGAGTCACAAGGGCTTTCTGCTTCTGTCAAGCCTACTTAGAGTGCATGCTGAAATAAAAACGGGCGTTTGTTGTTGCTATGCTAGACCCTTCCTGTGGCGTTGTTGCCTATGCCAAAATAACGACGAGCGGGTATATCCAATAACCAAGATGTATGTACAATACGATAGACCAACCTCGTGAAACATCCAAAGGGGGTAGACATGAATCAACCCCCCATACCTAGCACCGGATAACTCGGGGGCAGGTCCTCGTCTCGCGACCCCCAGGCTCCCTCGACGCTGCCGACGGTGAACTCTAGGACGCCACCGGTGAGGAAGAAATCGTGCGTGATCCAGTTCCTCGTGTACGGCTTCCCGTTCAGCCTCGCGCTCTGTATGTATTTCGCCGCGTACGTGGGGTCGAAGTTCAGCACCCGGATGACTGCCCGGCTGCCCAGCTTGGTCCTGATGGCCACCTCGCGGAAGAACGGGGGCGTGAGGAGGTAGACGTCCTGGCCGGCGACGGGGAAGAAGCCCATGAAGGCGAGGGCGCTGAAGGCACCCATGGCGCAGTCGTCGTTGCCGGGGATGCCGTTGATGCTGGCGTTGAACAGGCTGGGGATGTAGCGGTGCGCCCAGTAGCTGCTGAGCCCCGGCCGGCCGGCGTAGTGGAACTGGAAGACAGGCAGGAAGGTCGGCTCGTTGCCCATGTACGCGATGCCCGACGTGTGGAAGTACGTCAGCCTCTCGACGAAGCGCTCCCTCCCGCCCATGGCCTCCACCAGCCCGCCCATGTCCTGCGGCACGAAGAAGCTGTACAGCCAGGGGCTGCCCTCGTACGTGTCCAGGCCCGTGTCGAAGTAGCAGCGGTGCATCTCGTGCACGGGGCTGCACGTGCGCGTGTTCTGGTACCGCCACGTCCCGTTCAGCATCCGGGGCATCATGAAGCCCTTGAACACGGTCTGGACCACGTCGTTATCCGAGTCTCGGTACAGGTCGCGCTGCTCTGGGTTCCAGAGGTTCTTCCAGTTGGCGCTGCGCTTGTGGTATTTCTCCGCGTCGCCCTGGTGGCCCATCCCGGCCGCCATGAGGGAGATGCAGAAGTCGTCGTAGGCATACTCGACCGAGCGCGAGATGGTGCGGCTAGATGGACCGGTACCGTTGGTGTCTTTGTCGTCCCAAGGTATGTATCCGAGGTTGTGCCAGCTCACCAGGTTACCCCTCCCTTCTAAACCCCAGTTGCGTGGTTCCACTAGTTTATTCCCCTGTCAGTGTGTTTGCTCCCTTACGGCAGGATAAAGAGACACCTTACCTTCGGCGTCGGACAGGACTGCCTCATAAGCCGTCTCCCAATCGATGCCTTCGGTGAGGTTCTTGATGTAAGCGTCGGCGATGACGATGTCTGCATTGGACCCTCCCTGAGAGAATCCCTTGCAAAAACTCATCCTACAATCCGGTAACTTTCCTATAGGATTGGTCAGTTCCTCTGCGTCCTTGCCACTGCCTCGCCGCTTCCAACGCGGGGTCCCATCCCATGCAAGCACTCACCAATATTCCTGTACGTGTCTATTAAAGCGCGAATCATCTCCGTCTGCGCTACAGGGTCGATAATCGTCAGCAGTGGGTGCTGTGCGCGGAACGAGTCCCAGATACAGTAGAACCTGCTTCTGAGTCAGCGGTCGAGTTCGGCTTCAAGTGTGTATCCAACTCAAAACATACGAGTCGTAATACGGCTCTGAGGAGTTCCACAACTGGTTCTCTCCCGTATAGTTCTGGGGCGAGAGCAGGGATCGGTAGAGCCCAGACCAGAACGTTGTCTGCAACTCGTCACTGACCCCCGCCGCATCGACCTTGATCACCGACAGCTTCTCCGCCCACTGCCGCTGTGCAGCCTTGTGGACGCTCTCGAATCCGAAATCCGCTATCTCGTTCTCCGCGTTGGCGCATGCCTGGTCGACGGATATGAACGAGAGGCCGACCCGGGCGAGAATCGAGTCGCTCTCGGGCTTCTCGAACTGCAGCCAGGCGCCCGCCGAGCCGGGTGGGATGTAGACACCGGAGCCGAGCCACTTTGGCTCTTCAGTTGCCGTGTTCGAGAGGAACGTTCCCGACTTCCGGAGCGAGGCACCCCTGAAATCGGCACAGAAGAAGGCGTTGTAGCTGCCCAAGCCAAATGACGGACCGTAGGTCCCGTTTCCGGCAACTCTCACAAGGTCGGGGAATATTTGAATAGCACCGCCACTTCGGCTGTTCGCAAGGTCTGCAAGGTCGACCACCACTAGCGGACTGTACGGCACGTCGACATCTTCTACTTCAACAGTTGGCGTCCCCGGGAATGTGAAACGGTAGAGGGCAGTGCGCTCAGTCGCTGTCATCTCGGCTTGGACAGAGTTGGTCAAGTTGATCCTGAAGTATCCCGGCGTGGCGTATGCAGAACCGTTGACGCGGTCCGTCATCCTCTCCCGGAGGGCATACCTGCACTGAACAAAGTCGTCCTCGGGACATCCGGGGTGGAAGAATATCGGGAAATTACCAAGAGACGGGTTGCCCCCAGTGCCGGAGTCATGCATGTGTGAGAACCCCAGGATCGGTGCGTCGTCCGACACGAAGCCAGCAGCATTCTCAGCCGGGCTCAGGGTGTCGGCAACCGCCTTGGCAATACCTTGGGACCAATGTCAACGGCAGTGATATCAAAGTGGCACCGGGGGCAGGCTATACTCACCATAGGGCAGCGTTGCCCCTGGAAAGACGTGTCCTGGCCAAAGCATTAGTATCTAGGCGACAAAGGCAATACGTCCCATAGGCAGGAGAACCAACCTCCATCAGTCGTCCCGATCAAGGGGTCGACATATTTTAGAATGTCCAGGTTCAATCCCTTGTGCCAGTCTGAGCCAGCAGAATCGGGCGAGAACATGAAGAAGAGCAGTGCTCTGCCGACATGGAGGCCCGGCTTCGGCAACAGGACGAGGACACAGAAGAGGATTAGGGCAAACAAAAGCACCCGGCTCCTACGGGGGAAGCCTGTCATTTGGAAAGACGCCATACTGGCCGTCGCCTTGGGATACGACGGCCCCGATAACCTCATTTTCTGCGAGAACAGCCAGCCTGTCTCCCTACCTGGGAGATATCTTTTTAAGGTGCGCTTGCCCTCATGCTCTGGCGGATGTTCCTTCAGTCGGGTCCCCTTTTGCTCATCTGAGTAAGAACCGGGAGAGGAAATCAGGACGCTGGAAACATCATGTTGAACCGTAGGATAATAGTAATAAAGACTACAACTGGTCAATGGGCGTTCAACGTGCAATCGGAAAGGACAGTTAAGAGGGTGAAACGCTGTACCGCTCCGGGCAAGGTGCGCCAGGTCAATGCAGTGAGGACCGTGTCGCCGGCATGCCATTGGCCAATGCCCAATCAATGGCGCATTTTTGGATGAAGTCCAGAGCCAAAGTTGCAAGGGAGGATCGACCTCCGACCCTGGGGAAACCATCCCTGCCGGCTGAATGTAACTCCTTGGCGCTACATTGACTGCTAATGACAGCATTCCTTGCCGCCCTGAACGTAGATGATCTACGTGTACAGACGTACAGAGCATGTCAAAATGGCTGCACCCTGCCCCACCGCGTTGCGCAGTGTCTCATTCCAAATTCCTGGCACCAACTCAAAGAGGTTACCAGGTTTTCAGTACAGAGGCCCGATGTCGCGTCCGCGTGTGCAACCCCGGGAATGCCTCCGACGTGGGACCCTACTCACTCCACTGCATGACACCTCCGGGCCTCCGGCCGGCGTTATGCTCCATTCCTTTCCGACCAAGAAATATCAGCGTTTTCTCGTACAATTGCACCGAAACTACAAGACCCAACATAGATGGAAGATTGGGCAGTCCATCATCCTTATTTCTACCGAGAGCCGCAGTATTTTAGTATTTCCCACCGTTTCCTGGCGTCATTACAGTTGGCTTCATATTGGCAATGCTTGCCCTAATTTTCGCCCAATGATCGATGCACGGAGGACATCCCGGTCGCATATCCACCCACATGATTCCGCTCCTTCCTCCGATCCGGCACCTCGTGCAACTCCCCGGCCTCGTCCTTCTGCGGCGTCATAACTCAGAATTAGATCAGATGTAATCAGCTAATAAGTCATTCGTTATCCGATTCCGATTCCGAATCATCCTGACCAGGATCAGGCATAACAATGTTGTTGAGATGCGTTACCTGCTTGACGATCAGCGCTGTCATATTCATGAAGCAATAACGAAAAGAAAGGAAGCTCGACTCACAAATCCAACCATAGCCCCGATTACCTCGGCAATCTTCGCCTGACCATCGGCAGAAGTCAAGTGAGTATCAGGGATCTTCTTCCCCACAGTGAAGTTTCGCAGTTTCAGAAGTTCAATGTCCCTGTGTTCTGCTACGAAGCCCTTATCATCCTCAAATCAGCTTCGCCCGGGAGAAGAAAAAGAGGTAGGGGGTGAGGGGAGAGGGGGCGACAGGAAAAGGAAAGGACCGGATGGTCGCTCACCTTGGGCTTCGTCTTGAGGGCATTCTCCGCATTGGCCCCGGCAAAGGCCTTCACGGCCGACTCCTCGTCGGCGTCCCGGGCGGCGGGCAGGAAGGTACGCCGAAAGGCTCCGTCTGCCAGCACCCTGCGCCACCGCCGGGGCCGCTCGTCGATGCTGGCCCGCAGCTTGTGCAGCGCGCCGCCGTCCGGGTGCCACAGGCCCCCCCCTACAAAGCACTTGCCCGGCTCCATGTGCACGTAGTAGCAGGCGTATGGCCCCTTCCTGCCGGTGCGAGACCAGGCGGCGGAGAAGTGTGGCTGAGAGGAGAGGCGTTGGGGGCGATTGGTCAGTTCCATCTAGTAGTCGACGGGAAACTGGGAAGCCAGGAAGAGAGGAAATGCTGCTGATTTGTAGCAACCATATCATACCTTATAAGGGGTAGGGTCGCTGCTAAACCGGATGTCCCTGTAAATGCGGAAGTTGACGTCCTTGAAAGGCAGCTCCGGTATGGAGTCGTCGACCTCGATGATCTTCTCCGTCATGGTTTCGACGTATGACTGCCAGTCCTTCAGCGCCCTTCTATACTCCTGGTCGTGGACTAAATCGAGTTATTATGCTTATTATCCCAAGCCATGTGCCATATAATCAACCAACCAAGCTTACATTTCAGCCACGATCTCTTGTTGTTTGCCTTGAGGTCCTTCAAGAAGAGCAGCGTATTGGGATGTGCCCGGTCATCCTCGTAGCCTATGCCACCATCGTTTCTCAATTTAGGAAGGGGTATGAAGGTCACTTTCGGCGGCGCATCCTCGTCGAATTCACCTTCGTCGTCTTCTACCTCCTCCTGCTGATCCGCGGCCGCTTGCTCCTGGTCATCTTCGTAGACATCCTCCTCCTCATCAGACTCCTTCGGCTTACGGCCACGAGACTTGCGGCCTGAATTTGTGGCATTTTTGCGCCTAGCGACAGTCTCTGTCTCTTCTTTTGACACCGAGTCATCTGAAGAGTCATTGTCCGAATCATCTTCGAAATAACGACTCTTCTTGGACGAGGAGCTAAGGCGCTGAGACCTCCGCCGAGACCCGGACACTGTTGGTGTTTCGGGAGCTTTACGCTTTCGAGCTGGCATTATGGAGACCGAGACAAACGGCGACTGGTCCTCTTAACGGATTGCTAAATGATTGCCGACCGGCGAACCTACGACCGATGATGACGCATGTTGAGGCCGGGCGCTCACTTGACGCGCTGTCCATTCCCCTCTCCACTCTCCTCCGCACGCGAAATCACGTGATGGTTCCTAAAAGCTATTGGACCCTAACCCTGGACATCGAAATTTCGATTATCAACCTGTCGCGAACCCCAACTTGAAATGGCCATTCTTTTATCTAGGCTTACGACCTATTGATGCTGGTGCTATGCTAGCCTACCTCTCCTTTGACGTTGTGCGATGATAAGTGCGTCTGGTTGTTGTAACTCGGAGTCCTCGATCACCCGAGTCGTCAACTGTTCGGCTCAAGCCCCGGTGCGGGCTCCTGAACCGCTGAAGACCTTCAGCATTACCAAGTGGTGTCTCCCCCGGCCATTCCTGGGTCTAGTAATCCAAGACGGCGGTTTGTCCGGACCAGGCCGCTGATTGTATTTCTTGTGTTCGCGAGCTAGGATTACCGGAAGACATGGTGCTCGACAGAGGCTCTATCTAGCAATCTAGAATGCGCCGACAAGTGCTCGATGTCCGAGACCGTCAGCGGAAATGCTCTCGCAGCCTAGAGTTGCATTGAGTAGCCTCTATGCAGTTCACATCGACTGTATTGCTCCTTGGTATCTTGACGCCGTGCGCGATCCGATGCTGCTGACTGAGACTGCAGGGGCGTCGCGATATCCGCTGGCTCACCTTCTCTTCACACCGTGGAAGACCAAGTGGGCCGAGTCCTTGATCTACCTTTGAACCACACAAGGAAGCCGGCGTCCGGGTGTTGGTGCATTGTGCTACGGCCCGTATCACCCATCCAGTATGCCCAATTGGTTAGCGAAACACTGGCAAGTGCCAGAGTCGGGAACACACAAGGCACCCATTTCAAGACTTTTCTGGAAGCACTTGGTAACACATGGGGATAGGGAACTCAACAGGACAACCTGCACATGGCATCAGATTGTACAAGAATCATGACTGATATCAGGGGCGCATGTTGTTACCGCCGAGCCGGTGAAGACAACAAGGCTCTTGAATGATATCGAGCTGGAGCGGCTATCAAAGGCAAGGCTAGACTGCCACCTGTAATCTCTATCAACCCGGGGTCCCTCGGGTAGCACATTGTTCTGGCGAGGAAGCCGGAGCGGAGTGAGGGCCAGTTCTTCCCATTTGGACGCATGAAGGGCCACAGTGACACTCCCGTACGTCAATCACCTCCACCAGCGGCTGTGCTATGTCCCAAAAAATGCCGTATGCTTGGTCGAGTTCGCTTGAACGGAACGGGCATGGTCACGTCGGGTAAGGCGAGACGGAACTAGGGAAGGAGAACGGTCTGTGAGTGGCCGATCCTGGTTCCTTGCCTTCTTTCTCTTTCTGTATTATGAATCGCCCCCTCTTCCTTCCTCCTCACGGCTCTTCGAGGTGGATGATATATCCGCAAGTTTGTATTCGCAAACAGAATAGGAGACCGTGCGTGTAACCCCCCATGTCATCACCTTGGGCGGATTATTACAATAGTTGCCGGGACAATGGCAGTCTCCCAAAGTGAGCCGGGCAATCTATCCCCGCATTCCCCCCCGGATTGCCCCTCAGTCGCTCTATCTGGGGATACCGACGATGGTATACTGCCTCGCAGCCAAGCGCCGCTTGCTCGGGTTCTGAAGAAAGTACGTATCTGGTTGCCTACTGGTGCGGCAAGAAGATAAAAATATAAAATAAAATAAAACCCCGAGGAGGAACGGGATGAGATGCAGATACCCGGTCACTAGCTTCGACTTTTGTATGCAGTTTCTGGCGGTGAAGTCAAGGCGGCGTGTCTTAGTATTCAGAACTAGTAGTTACCCGCTGGCTTGGCTCTTTCCCCCAGATCAACATGGAACTCGTTCCCCCGCTTCCCACAAACTTGGTGGTTGTCCTCTGCTGCACCTTATAACCTCCCCATTCTGGCTTCGAGGGAAAACAACGCGACTTAAGCTCTGGGGGGACTACTAAGTTATATTAGATGATGCCGCGTGATGACCAAACCACAGGCAGGTATCGCGTTCAACACTTTAGCCCGAGGCGGATCCTTGTTCTTGATGGTGTCATGGTTCTTGATGTTGAGCTTCGGTAGTTCTCCGTCGGTCGGCCGGGGGTCCTACCCAACGGCAAGTTCCCTGATCATGTCAACCTAACAAGTCGCCCACCGTCGCTCCAGCCGCGCCAAACGAAAAAAAAAAAGCAAGGCGGGCGTTGACATTGGACGCCAGCAGCCGTAGACCTCGCCAGTTTGAAAACAAGGCCACCTAACTTGCTTGGATTGAGCCGTGGCAGTTGGCACCAGCATCCAGGGGTCTCAGTCCGGGGGGCTGGAGAGAAGCTGGATCTCATTTTGCCTATTTTGGCGAGAGGGCAAAGGGATATTGAGCGGCAGTAGGCTCAAATACTAGCTGGCTGGCAACATCCTGGGGTCTCTTGACGACTGACGGCAGACCAGCAAAACTCCTTTCCGTCAAAACCCTCGTGGCATCTACGGCAATGGCTAGGTTTCAAGTTGCTCACTGTTTGCACCCATTCGTCCGCTCGTCCATTCGTGCACTATGTCGTGCGGGCAGTTAAGCACAGAACATCTGAAGAAGGTATATGGGTGGTGGAAAGAGGCGGTAGCGGAGGGTCCGTCCCACATCCAGAGACAGATTGGTACAGGTTTACATACCCCTGTCACCGTCCCTTCAAGGTAATTTTAAACCACCAAAAAGAGAGAGGGAAGGCGAGAGAAAAAAGTGAGAAAAAAATAAACGACTGTCCCGCCGCGTTCTCCGCTCTCCGCATCAAAGCCTAATGCCCCGCCACTGCAGGCGGCTGTTCCCCAGTTCCCCAACAATCCGGATCCCCACATGACAGGCACCTCCGCAGTCGAAACTCGGGATATTTAACGCCCTATCAGCGTCGTTTCACAGGGTTTCGACCCATTCAAACATTCAGAAGGGCCAGAGATCGCCCTGCCAAACTCGACAGTACGAGGCCTGTGCTCTTGGTTTTGCGTCGTTTGATCTCTCTCGCCTATTCAAGCTCTCATCGCCGTTGGTTTTGCCGTGTTTTCCTCGTGCGATTGGGCATTGCCGTCCCCGCTTGGGGGCGCCCACAGGATAACATGAGCCTGGCTGGCCCTGGCCTGTCGCTAGTACCCCACATCATAGCGGAAATGCTAGCGGAAATACTAACCGCATCCAAGATATGCTTCAGATCTTCATGTGCTCACTCGGATGGCCAATTTTTATCTGAATCTGGGGCAGTGCCACTCCAGAGTCGCGATTCCCCAAATTTGACCGTACCTCTCGGTACCGAGGTGTCCTCTTGGAAACTCCAACGGCTACCAGCAGGCAACTAAACAGCTCATGCCACAAAACACTGCACATGCAGCCCATCCTGTCCCAAGGATGGAAACTACCTACCTATCCAAGTAAGTGAGTACGATGTGGGTACGGATGCGTAGGCAGATCTTAATTAGGAAGTATGCTCATGCTTGGTTAGAGTACGGGTTTAGGCATGGAACTGTACTGTACAACCACTGAAGCGGTGGTTGGCTCGGTCGCTCAAACTCCTGATGGAAGAAGGAATGCTTACCTGGCTCCCAGGGCATCTTCCGAGGTTGCCCCAAGGCAAGAAGATCATAGTCTAAAATTGGGTGGTGGCTCATTGGCTCTCCCCGCGCCCCCCCACAACCACATAATTCCCCAAAAGGGAATAGACTTCGGGCCCCCTCCCTTTGGACTGGTTCTCCAATGCGGAGATGAAGTGGATGGCCCATGGGGCATTGAGATGGGGAGAAGCATGCACGCGTGCCGTGGCGCACCGCACCGTGTCCCTGGCATCATCTCTCGAGTTGGGCTTGCGCCAGAGACATGCAGTTGATCGCAAATCCCAAGCTTCGGTTTTACAAGTATTTTTATGATATCCGGACTGGTGTTCCATTCATTCCTTGCTCCTGCTGGCGGTTGACAATTTCCCCCATCTCCATCGTCCAATTGCTAGCTTTAAGGGCTCCCCCTGTCTTGCCGCCGCCTGTCAATCGCTCCCGGCTTCAGCGACGCCGCTCCATCCTGTTGCCGCCGCTGCCTGCAGGTGCACGACAACACGGACGACAGTTTGACACCACAGCAAGGAAGGTGCCCTTCGTTGCGACCTCCCGTCTGTTTGTGCCGTCAATGGTCAAAACAGCAAGACCCACTCGTAGAAATCTCCCATTTCCTGCTGTTGTTGTATGCATGTACCTCGTGCCTTCTCTCTTTATTCCCCTAGTTCACACTGTTTTTCCCGACTACCACCGACCCCTTCTTCCCCGCCTCCTGGGTACTCTACTCCTCCCCCTCTGTTGGTCCCGACTCCCCACGCGTCCCAATTGTCCTGCCCCTGTCGTCTGGTATTCTCCGCCTTTACCTCATTGCTCATCCCGTTCCTTCCTCCATCTACCTCTTTTCTCCTTCCTCCTCACACGGCGCCTACCCACCTGCATTTACCCAACCTTGGTCTGATCCGATTTCCCCATTCTGGGCTGGATTGGACTTCCGCGGGCGCGCGCTTTGCCAAAACTTACAAATTCGGCTGGACTGGTTGGCAGCAAACCCGGACGTAGGTAGGGTGCACACAGACTCGCATCGCACCCAATCGTCGACAAGACAGCCCCACAGCTACTCCGTGTGTTGTGAGCGACTGCCCTCCACTCCCGCTTCCAGCTGGGCTGCTTTCCCCGCTGTGTTACCTACTCCTCTGTCAAGTAGTCGCTCAGACGCCATCTTCCCGCCCCGGCTACCATTCGCCTCCACCTAGCTCCTTGGGCGGTCGTCGTCGTCGTCCGGTTGCTGTTGAATAGCCTCGTGCTCGTTGTTCTCAAGGACCAGGGATTAGGATTCCGACCGGAGGTACTCGATTCGAAAAAAAAAAGGGAGCGGTCCGGTACGTGCGTGGTTTTGCCTGGCCGAGGCCATCATCGAGGGGCCGCGCCTAAGGAGCCTGTCTTCCGGGGCTGAATATAACAAGACGAGGATGCTTGTTGTACCTCTCAATTCATCCATCCGCTCTCGCCAACGCACCCCACAAAGCATACCCCAGGCTTCATCCGACTAGTCGACCTCGTCCTCCCTCCGCGCCCCCCCACCTTCCTTTGAGACTGCGTAACTTTACCTACATTACCCATTGCGTACCCCAATACCGCCTGGTCCTACTTGTCCCAGTGCCAGTCTCCTCATCATGCTGCCGATACAGTCAATCGAGGCCTCGGCTGCCGATGAGAATGGGGAGACCCGCCATCAAAAGCCTAAGACTTTACCGTGCAAATACTGCAGCAAACGCTTCAGGTGAGCAAGGGACCCTCCGCCTTCCTCCGCTGTCACATATTAGCTTACATTGTTCCCTCATATTAGGCGTGTGGAACATGTCCAGAGACATGAGCGAACACATACCAAAGAGAAACCCTTTTCTTGCGGCTGGGTTGGCTGTGGGAAAACGTTTGGACGACGGTCAGTTAGCCCCGTTCCTGGCCCATCCGTGTGACTTATTCTGCGTTTCTTCGCCTTGCCATGCTTTTACCACTCCTCATCAACCCATCCTTTCATGCTTTTCCTTCTCCCACACCCCTCTCAACCGTGCTATGCTGTCCTGCTCCAACAAATTCAACAACCTCCACTGCCTTCGACACAACCCCCTCCCGTTCTTTTTTTTTTTGTTGACTTATTCCTTTCCTTGATGCCTCATAATCTGCGCACACCGACACCTCTCAGAGACACTTGAGAAAGTATGCTTATATGGACATCAGTGATCTCCTTGTCCGCCACGAGAAGCTCGTCCATCTCAACGAAGGCAGCAGGGATGGAGCTCGGCCTCGGAAACCATCTTCGGCGACCACCGCTACCGTCGGGCCTTCCGATGGTCGTGTCGACACGGAGATGCTGGGCCTGCAGCAACGGGCGCCACAACAGCATTACCCTCCCGCTAGCATGACCTCGTCCGTGGTGACCACTCTCCCGCCAGATCCGCGGCTGTCAGCGAGGGCGCCGGCGTGTAATCTGGACCTGCTGTCTGATGCGGCCACTCATTTAGCCTCCGGCGGTGAAGTCAGCACGATGCAGCCGAACATGATGCCTGGCTTGGCCCAACAGCCGAATGACCTGGCCCGTGTCAAGACGTACGACGGGGGGATGGTGTACGGAGACCGGAGTAGGGAGCAGGATCCGGTTGTCATGTCTGGAGGATATTCCCCTCACCATGCGCCAAACAGTCTCGATGCTTATAATCTCTTCCTGGACGATTACGGGTCCTCGTCCCATTTTCTACCCCCGTCATTGGAAGCAGAGCAGTCGTTCGGAATGTGGCATCGTCCTTCGGGAGACCTAGGGCCACGGGATCCATCAAAACCGGCATCCACATTTCCCTCGAGATTTCCTTCCCTGCAACCCGACCACCGAGATGCGGCGGATGGTGCGTCTCGGATGCATGACGAGGCCATGAGAGCTCCTACTTGGAGGATTTCCGCCACGGATCACACTGTCATCAAGAATCGACTCGATGAGTTCTCATCCGTGCTTCCTAGCGACTTCGTCTTCCCGTCCCGCCACACGCTCACTCGGTTCCTGGAAGGCTATATTAGCGGATTTCACGAGCATCTCCCCTTCCTTCATATCCCAACGCTGTCGCCCACTGATCTCTCCCCTGAACTATTGCTGGCCGTCTTGGCTGTTGGAGCCCAGTATCGTTTCGAAACCAATCGCGGCCACGCGCTGTGGTATGCTGCCAAAGCTGTCGCCTTGGAGCAGATTAGGAGGAGACACAGCCATGAAGTGCACGGTCTTCTACCCACGCCCGCAGCTTACAGCCCTCACTCAACCAGGCCATCCCCAAGTTCTGGATTTCGACATTCCTTTACTTCCGTCCACCAAGACCGGCCCATGACCCAGGACACGCATCGAGAGCCATAGTAAGTCGCTGGTACCTCCCATGGCTGTTCAGACGCATCGCTAAACTAGATCTTAACAGTTCGCCGAACACGCCCCAATCACGGCTTGAGACCATCCAAGCTCTGCTTCTGCTGTTCGCTGTCGGTCTCTGGGGCGCCAAAGCTATCTTGCACGAGGCTCTTTCTCTCCAGAGCCTGCTCGCTCTCCTGGTCCGAGAAGAGGGCCTTCTCGCTGAGCCGAATCAAGCCGTAGACTGGGACACTTGGATCCGACTTGAAGCCAGCGCCCGAACAAAGCTCATCGCCTTCTGTTTCTTCAATTTATGCAGCATTGCATATAACACGCCGCCCCTGCTCCTGACTTCCGAAGTCAACCTGTTTCTGCCAAGTCCGTCGAGGTTATGGCGGGCAGAGAATTCCTGGCAGTGGCAGGAAGCACGGCAAGCCTGTCCGAACGTGGAGATTCCGCTCCAAGACGCTTTTTCGAGGCTTTTGAACCGGCCGTCCCAAGGCCCTCCTTCTCCGGTTTCGTCGTTGGGAAATTATGTTCTCATTCATGCGCTTATCCAACATATATATCTCCTTAAACAGACTTCATTCGCGAGTCTGTCGCCGTTCGATGTCCATCGTGGGTTGAAAATCGACGATGTCGAAGAAGTCAGCCAGGCTCTTCGCATGTGGACGATCGGGTTTGAACAGCACCGCCAGGTCCGGGCGAACGAAGCCGGACAGCACCATCCTCCTGGCATCGACCACTACTCGGGGGGACCGGTCTCGTTCAACTCGACAGCGCTTCTGAGGCTGGCGTACATTCGCCTCTACACGGACCTCAGCCCCAGCAGGAGTCTCGAGACTCGCGACCACGTTCTGATCGCCAGATCATTCAGTGACGCGCCGCTCCTGGCGCGAAGCCCTCGCCTCCACAGGGCGGTGGTCCAGGCAATTCACGCGCTTTCCATGCTTGTCAAAATGGGCGTAAACTACGTTGCGAGGACGAAGTCGTTGGAGTGGAGCATACAACATTCTCGTAAGTGCCCTTTGCGATCCTTACGTGTTATTTACCTCTTTGCCGTCACTCCATCCCGCTCTTTATGCGTTTCAGCCACTGATGATTTTTTGCGCCTATACAGTCTGCAACCTCGAGTGCGCCGTTGTCCTGTCCAAGTGGCTCGTGACCCTGGCGTCGATCAGTCCAAACGAGCCGCCGTTGTCAGGAGAGGAAAAAAGTCTCTTGGATATGGTACGCCGCATGCTCGACGAGACAGAATTCGCCGTCCCAATTGATCCCTCGCTATCCGGACTGGGATCAGGGCATGGCCACCATCCTTCACGCTCTGTAGACCTGTCTGCGACAGACAGTACGAAGCTTCGCCAGCTCGCATCAGCTGTCATCCGACTGTGGGCCGAGACGTTTAAGGGGACACATATCTTCGAAGTTATTCGAATTATGGCAGCTGGCCTGGAGGGTTACGCGGACCTGTTGGAGAAGCCGAGGGATCGCACACCTCTTGCAAGGATCGTCCCGAATGCTGGACTTGGCTGAGCCATCTGTGAGATATACGAACCCGTCAACATCGTCACTAGAGACTTGTAGATGTCGGCTCGGGCCACGTTGAACCTCGCCTGTAGCTCCCGAAGTTGCTACGCAGAGAAAGGTATCCTTTTTTGAAATGCGCTATTACCGTGGCCCCGGGCCATCCCAGGGGCCAAAGGGCAGGGTCGGGTTTGGCACTTTCAAGACAAGAGCGTCGCGCTATACGCGAGGAAGCCGAGTCCTGTGTCGTCGGCATGCAATACCACACACATCTTGCAAGCCGCATTTCTGTGGTCTTGACCAGGCGCCGGAAATGCAACAAAACTCATGGCAGTGTCCCCACTATGCAGGCACGGGGGAGGAGATGGAGCTGTGGCCCAAAAAGGGCCTTCCTTCGTTGTATTCGATCAAATGCGGTGGCCACGCATTCTGAGTCAGTAAATACCCTAGGGCCCATGTTTACCTAGGTAGAAGAGCACAACCTAGTGTTTCTCGAAATGTATTTACCGGCTACGAGAGACCGATTTTGAGCACACTCAATCAAACCCTCCCCGTCAGGTTTGTGATCCGTTGGCCAATTCCCCGCCCAGCCTCTGCGGTACAACGGCCAGCCTCTGTTTGTCTAAAAGGGGGACAGGCTTTCGAACATGCTACCCAGGTAGTCAGTCAGGTGCAAGCGTCCTAGGAGACATCTTTAGCAGTAGAAAGTGGAGGGTGTACAGAGGGCTGGGTGCCATATCATTCCATCCGCTGGCCCTCTCAAAACCTATACTGGACAGATTTGAAGGCTTGTGATACAGTGGCTATCGGCATATATGATTGTACAATACATGCACATACATACATGGATGTTCTTAGAATCGACGTCCACTAACATCTGCCTCCCCGCGACGCTCTTTCTCCAACATGGCGTCAAATTCCTTCTGTGCCTGCTGCTTCGCATAAGACTTGTCTTCATCTGCGGATGAATAGGTGTACCCGTCAGAGCTCCCGCCATCCTTGGAATTCCTCTGGGATTCTGACCACGACCGTTGACCAATCCTCGGGCCGGCTTGACCGCCAGTGTTTCCCCCTGACATAGCCTGATTCCTTAACTTATCCCAAGAAGATCCGCCCGAGGCTGAAGTGGTGGCATTCTTGCCGCGATCTGACGGTGCCATGGGAGACGCATCGTCAAAGAGATGAGCATCATCGTCCTGCGACTGGGACGCGGAGTCTTGGGGCGAGGCGTAGGCTGGGCCTGGCGTGGGATATCCGCGATCCCGTGCCCGGGCTGCGCTCTCAGATTGACGGCGCGTTTCCTCTGCCTCCATGCGCCCTCCCGAAGAAGGCACATCCCCGGGTGTCTGACCATACGGATACGGGGCATCTTGCATACTCGGGTCCTCGCCCTGGGATGGGGACTGCCAGCCTCCTGGATCTGCCCCTTGTTCTCCGAGTCGGCGTCCGAGGCGCCCCTGTTTCCCCGTCTCCTCCATCGCCTTACGCAATGTCGCTAACCTGGGATCCAGCTTCATGTTGGCCACCCAAACCGACATCGCGTATGAGGTAAAAATTCCCGACAGGACCATATGGCTGACGAATGCATAACAGCTAAAGCGTGTGGCGTGCCATGCAGACCAGGCCATCCTGCCTCTAAGCAGCGTGAATATTTGGCCCGGGAAAACGTCTGGGTTGATCGTGGTGGGCTTCGGCTTCCAGAAGGGGAATCGGAAGGCATCACGTCCTCGGCGCTCGAAAGCATAGGCGGCCACGACCGCCGCGGGCGGCTCCAGCGCACGAGTAGCGCACTCCTTGGCGGCATGGAAGGAGACGGCATCCTTTTCCTGCTGCGAGAGCTCCCTTTTGAGTAGGACGGAGAAGCCGATGACTTTGGAGGCGATGTTCGCTCGATACCAGTCCTGCCCCTGCCCAAAGAGAGGCGACCAGAAGGGCGTCTGAGGGAGTGAATCGTAGTCTATGCCCAGCCGGTTGGCATTCCGGAGGACCCATGCTGCCTCGTTCTCCCCTGGGGGCGGCCTTGACGACGAAGGATCGAATTGCCCATCGTTCCATCCACCAAGACTGTCGTCATCTCTCGACATTGTGGTGCTATTAAGCGTGAGAAAACCCACGTATACGTTTGAGGTGTGGCAGCGCGGGGAATCGCATATGCGCAAGTACGGAGTGTGTGAGGAGGGCAAGAGCTATGATGACATGCGACATGCGAGTCGTATGTACCGGCTTGTGGGGGAGCTTGGGCCACCAGGTTACTCCCCCTCTCTCGCGCGTTTCCATTGGTGTGGCGCATATTTGCCTCCACCAACACCTGATGAAGGCCAAGTTTGTGCCGCGTCTGTCCGCCCTGTGATTCGTGGGAGGAGCCGGCCGCCTTGCAGGTGCCTGGCCTAATTCTGTTCTGTCATGTCATTAGATCAGCCAAAGTGGTGCTCAGTTAAAGCCTCGATGCGATCCAACCTTCATTCTGTAACTTTCAGACTTTCGACCTCTCTGCAACCCTTTCCTCTCATTCTCTAGAACATTGCGTTACCTTGATCGCCTCGAGGCGTGTAGTTCTCTCCTTACCGTCTACTCACCCAAAGGGCGCCCGCAATCCATTGCCCTCGCCCAGCATGTCGAGCCAACAACAGGCCCTCATCCTCGACACAATTGTCGCGATGAGGAAAGCCTTGAAAAGAAAAGCTTATGGTTAGCGTCGGGCCGTCCTAACTCTAGTTGCACTGCGACCACTAACAAATCTTTCCTCAGAGTCTGACTCTGACTCTTCGATCGAACATGACACCAACCGAGGATACAAGTTGAAAAGGAGAGCCAGATTCGTCAGACGTGGACACTTGCCTCCATCCATGGCGCCCGGGGTATTCAAAGAGGTATCTCCGCACTTCACTCTCACTTTAAGAACCTTCGTAACGCTGACTGGATCTTCCACAGGTCGTTGACCACGCTGGCTTCCAGCGTGCGATAATCAACCGTAACCCACCCCTTATCGACGAGGACGGCTACGAGATCGATAGCGACGACAATGAAGAGCGTATCCAAGAAGCCATGGCTGCCGTCGCAGATTCTAATCCATATTCATCCGTCCATCTCGAGCGTACGCTACTCCCTCGCATATTTGCAGATCTGCCTCTAACAAGTTTCTAGAGATTTTGGCACCACTCACCTCTCTGACCGAACTACCAAACCACCCCACGTTATCACGTCCCTTCACCTCGAAGGCGTTGACAGAGCTCGTCGCTCAGGGCCGCGACCTGATGCATAAGGAAAACGCCGCTCTGTGGAAGGTCAGGCCCCTGCTTACACGACTTCAAGGCGACCATACTTGGGCGCCTTGCGGCATGATGACGGAACCGAGCAATTTCGACCTATTCTCCGAAGACTACGTTCCGCGCTTTCACGGCCGCCCGGCGCAAGCCTCCACGGTGCGGAGCGCGGGCACGCCGACGATAAGCGGGAGTGGTCCTGCAGAGGATGGCGCAGCAGGCAACGGGGAGGCGTCTAAGCCTGCTGAAAATAAGAACAGCCCAAGTAACCAGGAGCCTGCGCCGACGGAGGGTGGTCCAGATGCAAGCCAGGATCCAGATAACGTCAGCAGCGACAAGCCCGTGGAGCCGGTCTCGGGAGAGCAGAGCAAGTCGGCCGTCCTCGATGCTACGAACCGAGAAAAGGACGAAAGCGAGGCGCAGACAAACGGTCAAACAAGTAACGAAACCAATAATGAAAACGGGCGCCGGCCAAGTCGCGCCGGCCAGACCACAACCGCAGCAGCAGCAGCAGCAGTAATGGAGGCCCAGGAAGCAGATGTGGAGATGGCTGAAGCCCCAGAGGCCGAGGCTGACACAGGAAAGCCCAGTAACCCTGGGTCATACCACAGCGGCAGTCGAGCCTTGTCCATGAATCCAGACATGACGGACGATCTTTTTATACACCCCCTATTCCTCGCACCCCGATCGGCCCTTCCGGCCCGAGACCAAGGTCTTCCAGAACCGGAAGCCGACGATGTCCGGCGGCTCTTGCAGCTCTACGTCCAGAAGCAGGAGGAGGTATGCCGGGGGACCACAAATTTGTACATGGGCCTGCTCAAAGCGGACAGGCGTCGAAAGACGGTGTTGAAGTGGTCCAAGGCAGAGGCCCACTGCGGCGATAGGCGGGACATGTCTGACGGTGAGGACTGGTACGACAAGGAAGAGTGGGGCCTCGTGGAGGACTTGAAGAAGGGCCAGGACGAGGAGGAGGAGGACACGGCCCAGACACAGAAGAAGACGAGGAATAGGAGGTAGTCGTCGTCTGCCTGGGTACGGGCGAAGGAGGGGGTTGTCCCTGGGAGCCGAGCTCTCTGATCTTGATATGAGGGTATTGGAAGCGCTCCGAATTATCATGTCTCTGATTTATCTACCTGTCTTCCTATGTTGAGCAAAATCCACCATTTTCCTTTCTCTCGGCGTGCTGCACAGGCCTCACTGTCCATCCTTAAAGTATTACTTGCTCCCGGCGTCAGCCACCAGTCTAGGGATCTTTAACAGCAACCGCACGCGAATTCTCCGCCCTATTGGGAGAATTGCAACGTCGGCAATCAGCACACTCTTTGACTGCCCGAGATGGCTGTCCTCCTCCGCCTATATCACAAGAGCTCCCAAGGGTTTGGACAAGCATGACTAACCGCAACTCGTGAGGCCGTATATAAAGTGGGTGACAGGTCAAATATATGAGATCTACAGTGTCGATGGCGAATCCTGGGACAACCTAGCCTTGCTGGTCGAATTGCTCTCAAGGCAGATGGAGTAATGTACCGAGGAGACAAGAATGTCTCTCCTTTGGCGAAGACCAAACTCACTTCCTTTAACTATCCAATTCGATCGAGTAAAGTTCAACGGCCACCGTACACATCGTGCCCAACCACCAACACAGGCTCGCTGAGTTTTTTTTTTAGTTTTTTTTTTTTTGGTATACCGCAGAAGAGCAGTGTCATCGCTCCTTAATTATAATATAATTGTTGGTCAACGCCCGCTCCCAAGTCCGGAGCCCACTCCTCTCCGCCAGGCAAAGTCCCGCCGCCATTGTCGGGGTCTTCATCATCTCTTCTAGTGTTGTCAAAGTCTGAGGGTTTCGAATACTCATCACCTGAGAAGTTCAGCCACAGTCGTAGCGTAGTGATGCTTCTGATGATGTTGGCGAGTTGTCTTTGGATCCTCGCGATGTCCCGGACCATGTCCTGCTGGTCGGCTGCGAACTGGTCTAGAGAGGCCGGGATGGCGGCGATGCCGCGTTGCATGGACAAAGCTCTGTTCAAATCTTGGTAGTCCTGGACCTCGCGGTTGGCATCATCGGTCTGTCTGCTCTTGTTCGACCGGTGATGCGCCGCGCACCGGCTTTGTGCTATACTCGCGGAGCTTGACAGACCTCGTATGGATCCGAAATCCAATTGATCATATGTTCATAGAGCTCCTCGGCCGCTTCGTTACCACGCATGCGAGTGGCCAAGTTCATGACAGCTGTGCTATACTCCGCCTCCAAATTTTGTCTTTCGTAAACAAGCATGGCCAGCTCTTCAAATCGCTGTTGATCCAAGACCGTATCTCTCGGTGCCTGACCACCGCCTTTTCCCCGGCTTCCTTTCTCGCCCTTCCCAAGACCACGCAACGACTTGGAGCTCTTCTTATTCTTGTCTGGCATGCTGGGGAGCTCTTGGACCAGGGCGCGCTGGATGTTTGGTGCACGACCGTGAAGGCACATCGCAAACGCCTCCCACGCATTATTCTGGACTTCAACCCCGCTCGAGAGGAGCCAGTAATAGGCTTTGTCAAAATACATGTTGGCATGGTTATTCCAGGCAACTGCTGCAGCCTGGAGCCTGGTGTTGCCCAACGCCAATCCCACCATGTTGCTGTTGGCCAACCGGCATACTAGTATCCGGCAACTACCTATCACTTGCGCGGGCACATGATGAGTCCTCCAGATCCAGGAGATGCTCAAGTGCTATCCATATCATGAAATCTTGGCAAAGGGCTTCATACTTTCCGGCTCGGAATGGTTGCTCGGTGACGAACATTGATGACGACTTGATGTGCGTGAAAGGCAAATAATACTGAACGAAACACAGCAAAAATCCAGGACTTCGAAGGACAACAACGCAAACTAGACTGGCAAAATAGAAATAATTATCACTTCCGATCAGTGGGCGAATTGGAGGTAAAGCGTGAGTGCCAACAGCCACCCCCTATGTTACACGGATTATTGTCAGTCACACAGTACGGATACCTGACCCCATAAAAATAAACACCCTGAAAACAGGGAGGACTATTTTGGCTGGATATTCCAGGGTTTCATTACAACAGATTCGAGGCTCTAATTATCTCTAATTATTCAATTGTCGGTCAGAACGACCAAGAACTATTGGCCAACAGGCAACTGTCCCCCATGGAAGGCAAGGTAGCTGGGTACGTCGGGTGTACCCTTTACTGTGTTAGGTCGTACAGTGCCAATTTTTCCGTGCCTAGCTAGCCCTTTGATCCCGCTATGCCTCAACCTCCCTGGCTCTCCCTTCCTCGAGGTCAATATGGAACATTCGACTTCATTGCCATATTGGTAGTGCCGTCAATGTCATAACGCCTCTTGCCACGATGAGGAATCGAGTTGTGCATGAACAGACCATCAGAGATCGCGAAGACTTCATTAAATCAATCGACCCAGGCGTGATTTGCAGTCTGGCTTCGTCATATCATGACAAGAGGCCGTGTAGGATCTTCAAGACAGCCACCCATGGATCGTTTAATGTGTGCCTCTTCGTCGAATTCGATCCTGTGCCAGCTGGGGGAGGGCTTGAGAGATGGGTAATCCGTATTCCATTCCCGAAACGGGTCCCGTGGGTTGATGAGAAAATTGAGACCGAGGTTGCGACCATGATGTTAGTCCTCCACTTGAATGCATATCTTGTCTGACTGTCAGTTACTTATCATCTTTATCTCTGCAGGTACGTCGCTGAGAATACGACCATCCCGATCCCACAGGTTCGCGCGTGGTCTTATGCCACAGAGAGCCCTATCAGTTTAGCCTTCATCATCATGGACTATGTCGAAGGTACGACTCTGGATGCCCTCGAGTTCTGCCGATCGGATATGTGGGGATACAGATGCGGACAGCGAAGTCGGCCTCTTACCCGTGTCTACAATCAGCTTGCAGATCTGTACATTCAACTTCGCAGTCTCGAGTTTCCAAGGATTGGTGCACTTGGATTGCCCACAAAAGAGTCGCCAGGTATCGCGGTCCGTCATCGACCAATGCCAATCGAGGTTATCCTCCAGGAAACTGAAGGTCTCGACCCTACAGTATTCTTTCCGCAAAACACGACGTTCACGACCTCCACGGAATATATTGGAGCGTTGGTAAAGTTAGCCAACAACCAGTTATCCAAGTCAAAAGACCCTGATTTCGACACCCGTAAACGAGACGCGCGGAAAGTTATGTTTGCGTATCAGCAATTCAGCCACTACGTTAACAACTACTGGATCAAGGGGGGATGCGAATCTAACAACGGACCCTTCGTGCTAATGCATGGAGACCTCAGCATGCACGGGAACAACCTCCTATGGGACCAGAATTTAAACCTCGTTGCAGTCCTTGATTGGGAATGGAGCTACACTGTTCCACAACAATGCTTTGTCCCACCAGTGTGGCTAACTGGCTTTGACCCGGAGCCGGTATTCCACCTAACTTACATTGGCCTGCCTCTGTACCAGATAGAGATGACGTATTTTTGTCAGGAAATCGCACGAAGGGCAGATAAGTATTGGCCTTTGTCGCCCTTATCGAAACAGTGGCTTGCTTTGGACAAGTGGCCGCACTACCTGATAGTGATGGCACTTCTCTATCCCGAGACTATCTATGATGTGTGGTGGCACTTCCTTACCTACAAGCTCAATGGCGTCAACAAACGCTCGGTGGAGAGCATGAAGCGACACAATGAGAAAGCCGCGGAGCTTGTGGATCGATATTTTGAGGTGTCGAAACCAGCCCAGGACTTGCTGCAGCGGAAGCTGTCTGAACAGAAGCACTTTGACAAAGAATGCGACGAATATATCGATCAGAACGGGGGACAACCCAGGGACTGCCAATGCCAGAGCTGCCAGAAGCAGAGAGAACATTTCAGGGTGCTACGTAAACTACCATCGCGGTCCCCGCTATCAAACACAATGACAACATCCGACTCATTTGCGTCTCTGGATGATTCCGGCGCCGACAACTCTGGGCTGGAGCAAAGTGGATCCAACGAGTCTGCATCTGCGACATATGGATCGCCGGAGCCAGAAACTTGATAGTCGCATTGCGATGGATATCATGGGGGGACCACCACTAGAAGCTCATACCCCAGCAGGACAGTCTTCGACAGTCCTCGCGCGGGTCAACCATGATAGCATCATGCATCTCGGCTGCGGGAGGGCAACGAGATATAACCCCCTTGGATAAATGATATGGACGGCTCTTGTGTAAAAGTCGGAAGTGGTAGAACCGGCGAGGTTACACGCAAAAGTCCGCCACGACAAAGGCTTTCCAGTGTTCAGAAGAAGATAACTGGGGACGACGCCGAGACCGAAGGCAAACGTGCTTCCGGTTCATGGCAGGGTGGTAGTGCAAGGGTCTACCCACTCAGCGAACCCACAGTCCTAGTGTACCTTGTTGAAGGATCAATTAGTGAGTTGGCAGATCCCGGCCCTTCTACCAATCCTTCAACATGTCGGCTTATGGGAGAGAGGAGACCGGGGAGAAAGTGCGATTGTACTTGGTTGGCTGTGGTTTAGGTTGATACCATTTATATGTGGGCATCATCGGAGCCACCACTGAAATAAAGTATGGCACGTCAGGAACGGCTAGCTTTGGTTACCTAGGTACTGACGTACCTGAATTCGTGGGGTAACCTCCCCCCCAGCACATCATCATTATTACTTGCCGTGAGCCGTGACTGGTTGTCCCCACACTCCAAGACCCGGGATTGGGGGGCAGCCTCCCCTGGTCCAAAACCCCAAGATCGCTTGGTGGAGAATCAACCAGTTCAATGAAGCTCGGTCGATTCCAACCCGACTCCATGTGGGATCGTCGAATCCTGTTTATCCTCCTGTTTACCCGGTGACATTTTGCATCCAAAGCACTGCGGGGCAGTTCAATGGATCAGCGGGGAGATATTGGGAGCTCCGATCTGGTGCCAGCAATCTAGAAACTTATTAATGGCGGAGATCTGCTTGGGAGGTTGGAGGTTGAAGATAGCAAGAAGACGCAGGTGATAATATATCGTCAGTTCTAGATCCTTGCATAGTTGCAGCTAGCTTGCCGTCTCCACGATGCATGCTCTCGCCGTGGTGGTGCTGTGTCTAACGACATTCACCCCCTTCACCCTCGGAAAGTGCCAGCAGAGGAACTCCACATTCTACAATCCTATCCTGCCGGGCTTCCACCCCGATCCGAGCTGCATCTTCGTCCCTGAATTGGATGACACCTTCTTCTGTGCTTCCTCTAGCTTCAATGCCTTCCCGGGCATCCCCATCCATGCGAGCAAGGACCTGCAGAACTTCAAGCTGATAGGGCATGTCTTGAGTCGTCGAGAGCAGTTGCCTGCCCTGGCCGAGACCAACAGGTCTACGAGGTGCGGATCGAGAAACCATGACCGACTTTGTTTTAGACACTGGTTGGCTAACAAATCATGTCGCAGCGGAATATGGGCCCCAACGCTGAGATATCACGAGGGGGACTTTTGGCTCGTCACCACTCTCGTGGACGATGAGCTTCCCCAAGATGACTTCTCTCGCTGGACCAATGTGAGCATGACGGTTCCCTGCGAGGTAGCAGACGATGGCTGAACAGATCTAGATCATATTCAAAGGCAAGGACATCTATGACCAGTCGTCTTGGTCCAACGCTATCCGCTTCAACTTCACCGGCTACGACACGTCGCCATTCTGGGACGTGGATGGCAAATCCTACATTACCGGAGCCCATGCCTGGCAGGTAGGGTGAGTCAGCCCACCGTGATGATTCCTCTGGATCTTCAGGATGCTCATAGTATTGTGTCTAGTCCATACATTCAACAAGCCGAGGCGAACCTGGATACGGGTGAGGTTGGCGAATGGCAAATCATCTGGAACGGAACCGGTGGGATGGTACGTTCTCTAGCCCCGACCATGCGGCTCCGGTCTCTTCTAACCATCTGAACAGGCCCCTGAAGGCCCTCACCTCTACCATAAAGATGGCTACTACTATCTGCTGGCCGCTGAGGGTGAGAGAACAGCGATACCCCTGTCTGCAACCCCGCGACTTACTGTGGCATAGGTGGCACCGGCTTGGAACATATGGTTACCATGGCCCGTTCGAAGAACATCAACGGCCCGTTCGAGGTCGACCCTTCGAACCCGGTCCTCACGAATGCCAACACGACAAATTACTGTGAGTCTGAGTCTGGCAGTGGCAATACAACATGATGATGAACCCGAGAGCTTACATTGCTGCAGTCCAGACACTCGGCCACGCTGATTTGTTCCACGATGCGAATGGGAACTGGTAGGTCCGAGCAATCTTTAGAGATAAAATTGGGAAACTGACGCAGAGAAGGTGGTGTGTCGCCCTGTCCACACGCTCGGGACCAGAGTATATCAACTACCCAATGGGCCGCGAGACCGTCATGACGCCAGTGACATGGCCAGAGGGAGGTTGGCCCCGCTTCACCCAGGTCCAAGGTGAGATGAGTGGCTGGAAGTTGCCTGCGCCTCAGAAGGACATCAAGGGGGATGGGTAAGGGCCTTCTTTTGCAGTTTCTATGTGGACATAAATTAATCTTCGCTAGCCCCTTTATCACGGAAGGCGACGATATCGACTTTGCCCCTGGATCATCTCTCCCGGCACACTTCACCTACTGGCGCTACCCAATTCCAGAGTCATTCGCAATATCTCCCCCCAGCCATCCGAACACTCTCCGTCTCACACCGTCGGTTCTTAATTTGACCGCACTCAACGGAAACTATGCCGGCCCAACGGGACAGACCTTTGTCGGGCGTAGACAGCAGGATAGCCTCTTCACGTATAGCGTCAACCTCGACTTCTCGCCCACCGTCAAGGAGGAAGAGGCGGGGGTGACTGTGTTCCTGACCCAGAACCACCATCTAGACATGGGAGTTGTGCTCCTCCCGGCGAGCTCCGCCACGGCAGCATTCCCCGGCACGAACAAGACCGAGCCTTCCGATCCTTCGGGGCTGATCCCGCACATCCGGTTTAGGGGCATCTCCTATATTCCCGTCCCGGATCCGGTCATTGTCCCGCTGCCAACCGCGTGGGTCGGGGCGGACTTGAGGCTGGAGATCAAGGCTGCGAACATCACTCACTATTCATTCGCAGTTGGGCCGGCCAATGCTTGGTCCGAGATGAAGACAATCCTCTACGCGTCCAATGATGCCGTCAGCTGGGGCTTCACTGGTGAGTCTTCCTCTTTCACTCCCCAGCCTCGTATCCACGGCGAGTCTGCTGGCTCCAAAAGCAATCAGGGTAGTCAGCAAACTAATTTCCCAACCCTCCCATTTGTAGGCACGATCCTTGGCATATATTGCACGAGCAACGGTGGTCAGGGGAAGACGGAGGCGTACTTCTCCGAGTGGTCGTATCTTCCCCAGGGGCAGTTCAGGAACTAATGGCGAGCGGGGAGGGCCAAGCGACGTTATGAGATATCGGGGCTGAAACCTTGGGCGCAACCTATGATTAATCGATTGGATCAAGAAAACCCCCCGAGCCTCAGCCGCAATGTCGCGGGCCACGCGAGGCATCGGACTTAACCGCTCGCAAAGCTCAAAATAGACTGTCACCGGACAACGATAGAAGGCGCAATCGCGCAACGCTTTGCTGTTGCTTGAACGCCAGTGGAGGCGGTGTCTAGCACTAAGTTCGTGTGTTGGGCTAATTCTCTCCCCTCGAGGGGTATCTCCCGTCACACACACACTGCCTTAGCCTGTTAGCTATTGCATCTAGCAACCACCTACATTCCATAGTTTCTAATGCCAGTTATCCTTAAAATGTTCAATGAACTCCCAAGGCTATGGCAAGTGGTAAATAACGACGGCCTAGGTGGCGTGGCGGTGTTGTGATTCGTGTCCCTACCAAATACGAACCAGGGTTGGGTGGAGTGGCATTGGTGAACCTGAAATTGTGAAGTCGTACAAGCAAGCCATTGCTGCCACACAAACTTGCCCGTTTGCGTCCAGCTTTGCAAACAAAGAATGAGTAGGACCTGATTCGATAGTTACGATCCCAGCCACAACGCCCCGGCGGCTTGGGTCCTGCACTTGGATGTCATCTTGGCTGGGTTTGGCTATAAAGCCCAGTCGCAATCCCCTTCTAAGTTTGGTTATGTACCTTCGAAGGTTTCCAACTAGTCTCTCGTTTCTCCATACCCCTACAGATCTCGAAAGTAACAAGACCAGCTTTTGTCAATCGTTTTACCTCTATCCGGCCCCGAATCTCGCGGGTCAATATGAAGTTCAGCCGGACTCTCAATATCCTCCTGGCTGCGGGCCCTGCTCTGGCATCTGCCTCCAGCGACGGGCTCTTCCGCCGCGACACTGGGAGCTGCAACATCCATCTCGCGACTAGCAATGGCGGGCGGAAGGTAGCCATTGTTCTGGACTCGTCGGGCTCCATGTCCATCACCGATCCGGATAATCTCCGAATCCAGGCCGGCAAGGCTCTCAACAACCAGTTGGTCCCTGCCTCTGCAGCAGGCGGTGGGAAGCAGGCTGATCTGGTCACCGTTGTCGAGTGAGTGACGACACCCCTGACCAGGAATCGAGGGAAATATCCCTTGCTAACTTGAGTAGCTTCGACGATACCGCAAGAGTCATCTACCCGCTTGGAGACCCAGCCGGCGCCGACAGCTCCTTTGACGAGATCGACAGCTCAGGAGGGACCTACATCGCCGAGTATGTACAACCCCAACCAACCCTCCTTTTCCACATACATAAACTCCAATACTGACAAAGCCCCCCCAACCACCAGCGGCATCCAAAAGGCCGTCGCGGAGCTGACCAAGCCCGGCAACGACCCCACGGCGGACCGCTCCGGCATCGTCGTGCTGACCGACGGCGAGGACTCGGACGTGGCCGGGCTCATCGTCGAGGTGGAGGCGGCCGGCAAGGCGGGGATCCGGGTATCGTTCGGCTTCCTCGCGCCGCCCGACGCCTTCTTCGAGCCGGACCTGCTGGCGGCGATCCTGCGGACGGGCGGCTCGTACGCGTCCTTCGAGACCGCCGACGCCATCCAGTCCTTCCTCTTCCTGATCCTGTCCAACGGCCTGACGGCCCGCGACCACGGCGCCGGCGCGGAGCAGCCGCTCCTGCCGGGCATCACCGTCGCCAGGCTGACGGGCGGCGCGTCGGTCGCGTTCGGCTACGAGGCGCAGGCGGGCGAGGCGCTCGTCTTCACCGTGGAGTCGCTGTCCGGGCCGCAGCTGGACGCCGAGCTCGAGGACGCGGCGGGCAAGAGCGTGGGGAAGAACAGTACCTCGGGGGCCGCGGGCGAGCCGGCGGCCATCACATACACGGCCAAGGCGGCGGGGGCCCTGAAGCTGGTCGTGGGGGCGGCCGAGGGCAGCGCCGCCGGCGGGGAGGGCGTCTTCCAGGTGTCGCTCAACTCGTCGCTCGGCATCTCGGGTTGCAACCTTACCACCACCCCGCCGCCGGACAACTCCACCGGTACCGATAATACTACCGTGACGGGTTCGCCGCCCACCGCGCCGCCCACCTCGCCGCCTACGCCGACTGCGACGCTCGTCGTCACCGCGGCTGCGGCTAGGCTTGGGACTGCCGGGTTCGTTGCCGCGGGTATGGCCTTGGCGGCTGCTCTGATCTGATGACCCGGTTCGCTGGGGTCTAGGTTCGGGATGGATTCGATGGGTTCTCACGCATGGTTATTTGTTTTGTCGTGCTTTCCGATATGCTTCTTTTTGGGGCAACTACCTTATCATGGGTAGTCCCGTTTGTGATTTTCCGGGATACAGATTGAACGAGGCAAATAAATGGGCCATGTAACCAATATGAAGTCGATATTACCAGCAATAGAAATTGTCCTATGGCTGGCAAGAAACCGTTCCAAATTGAAGTTGGGATGATGAGTGAGCGCGTGTCAGGTACCTGCGTGGCATCAATGGCATCCACGAGACTCTCTCTCTGTTTGGCTACAAACCCCGGCCCTGTAAGTAAATAAGTGCAACGCTGCTCATCCTTGAAGACGCGCCCACATGCAAACAGGTAAAGGCAGCCTTCCGGGCGGGCGTCATCAGATAAGAAGGATCTCGGTGAGATGATCGGGGAATTGTGGGGCCTCAGACGGTGACCGGTTATCAATACGGACACGGATAACAGTTAGAATGATACGGATTCGGAAGCATAGCATGGCGCCAAGGCTGGTGAGAATCGATGTTTGCCACTTGTGTGGAATCGCGTCTTGGAAGAATCGGATGACGAATGGATTATCCAATGCTCACTCAAGCCGAGCTTACAAAGACGCTTCACCCGACCGATACCGGTTGAAAGCCCGAAGTGGGACCATATAAGCTCCGGCACCAGCTCTTTGCGGGCCGTACCTCTACCATGCCCTGTTATAACGCAAACCACCCCCATCTCGAGTTTTCCCCGTTACTGTGAAGCAGTCGCAACATTCTTCTCAGAGGCCAAATCAGTAGTGATTCCTTCCCACTTGAAAAGAAACTCTTTCGTCAGCGTCATGGTCAACATTACCTATCCATCGCCATTGGCGGGGTATGAGAACTCACCCCCCCTTCCGGAAGAAAAGGCCGAGGATGGGAAGAGCTACAAGAACCCGCAGACTGGTGTTTTGAGCAGCGCCTACGAGAAATTCCCAGAGCCCCTAGATAATGGGAGGAGAGGCGGGTTGTAAGTAACTTCCCCCCTCTGAGTTCCCGTCCATCACCATCACGCCGCTCACAAGGGGCCACAGCGACGTGCACGTCTACTACCTGCAGAGCAACGAGAGCCAGACAAAGTACGCCCAAGAGCTATGGGAGCGGATCAGGAGGGAGTTCCCCGAGCTGCGCATCTACCGCGTATGGGACCGGCCGATCGGCCCCCACCCGGTTGCCATGTTCGAGGTGAACGTCCACACGCCGGCGCAGTTCGGGGCCTTCATCCCGTGGCTGGCCGTCTGGAGGGGGCCCCTGTCGGCCCTCATACATCCAAACACCACGGAAGAGGGGAGCCACGGGGAGATTGAGGAGCGGAACCATACGGAGCGCGCGACCTGGATGGGCGAGAGATTCCCGCTTGACACTTCGCTGTTCAAGAACCTCAAGTAGAGTCCTGATCATGTATTTGATTCCCGAGTTTATTGGCTGTTTCTAGGGCGAATCTATGGTTTAATAATATCAAGGCCGTTCCCGAAGTATGCGTAACTCAGTCTCAAAGAAACTCTTGCGAATCGCGTGCACCGCAGCCGAGGTCCCCCCAACTGACTACCTAGTCCATCTGACCTGCTGTATAGCAGCGGCAATAAGAGCTGATGACAGTGTGTGCGTACCCCAGGCCTGTGCACTGGTTCTTGACCATGTTCGGGGCCCCGGGGAAATCGTCGAAATACGGATCCAGGATGGCAGGTGGAGCGAGGACCGAAGAGCACCAGCTCGAGTAGCTCGGCTTCACCCGATCCGCAGCCTTCCTGAAGGCACGCCAGCAGTCATTGGTCGGGCAACTCGGCGGCGGCGTCGTGATCGCTGCAGGCGCGCCCTGCTTCTCGCCGGTGGTGGTCGCCGGTGGCGGGTGATGAACTAACGTCTTCCTTGGGTCTGCAGTCTGAGTCGGTGGCGGCGGCGGCGGCTCCCTGAACGGAGGGGCGAGTTCGGCGTGCATGCAGTACCAGTAGTCGGCGAAGAGGTTGCGGGGACAGTTCTCGTACCCGCCAATCTGTGGGTTGAGACTCAGAAGGGTGGGGGTGTCCAGACCGTGCTTCTGGGCCAGCGAGTCGCAGGTGTCGCCGGGGATGGCCATGGCGAAGCCCTCGCAGTTGCTCGGAAACCCAGACTGTACGGGCGAAGGCGTGAAGATGCCCGGCACGCGGCCAAAAGCCACCGAGCTGAAGATGGCGGAGATAATGTAGATTATGGTCTTCATCACGGTTGATGATGGTAATTTCCTCTTTGGAAGAATCTCTTGGATGTGATCAGTGACGAGGAATGTGTGGATTGAATATTGTGAACGAGTCGTATTGAGATTGAAGTCTGGGTCCGTCTTCTGTTGATATAGACATCGCCGAACCATTTTACCATTTACCAAGGGCAGATTGCAGAAGAGGTCTTGATAGCAAAAATAGATCGAGTTCATGGAGAGGTGAAAGAACTCAATAGCTATTCAGACTTATTTAGACCCGAAAACTGAACTACACAAAGAACCGTGCGGCCCAAATTGTGAAAGACAAGCAACTGAACCTAGAATGTTAGCCTGAATTCAATGTTTTTACCATATGGGTGATAATGGATTTCCTCGAGAATCCCTTTGACGATGCCGTCACGCACCACACGGAGTCATTTTGGAAACTGCTCTTGGGACCATGTGTTCCTGCCAGGACAGTAGTAACAGCATATCATTACTCGACTGGGTTACCTGATACGGTATGTCGGCCCATTTTCTTTGATATTTGTCTCATCGCGGGATGGCCAACTCGTATGGACGACTTACACGGGATCTTCATCAGTCGTCGGCGGCAATGGTGGTTGGAGTTGTGATATCAAGCACCCACCCAGACACGGATTAGTCAGCTATCGCGTTTTAAGGTTCTACCAGCCAAGAAATTATGGCGTCCTTGGCAGCATGTGCTCATTTCCCTCTGCAGCCCATCTATTTTTGAGTCTTGAGGGTTCGATGAGGCTTGACCGTTATGTGTACATCAGACGTGGAGAAGAACTCGGTTTCGAGATGTCGAAGAGCCTATTGAGTCTTGGTCGAATTGCGCATTCCGTGTAAGTGTCTCGTGAGCAGCAAATATTGAGAAAGATGTTGTCCAAGTGATCCCTGATCGCACAGCCCACAGCCGCATAGCCGCATAGATGGGTCAACCTTGCACTACGGAGTTGGCAGAACCGTCTTTGGATTTGGACCTCGATTCTTCCAGTGGGTAGACGGGTCATATATAAGCCCGCGACCAGGGCCACATGGCCCCTTAGTGCTACGCTATTCAGGGACGGTTCGGCTTGTTGCCAGGCTGGGCTGTTTGCTATCGTTCAACAGTCGTCCTGCCCTGCGAGTTCTCGCATTGGGCAAACTAGAATTCTTTCATGATTCCGTACCTTCGAAATCCATGATCCAGCTTTGAGGAACCCGGATCATGGTGTTCGCAGTGCAGTCGCGTTACCGATAGATCGCTGCGTCCCCTGTCAAGCGTCACTTGACTTCCTGCTTGCCTTAATGGGAGACATGGGGGCTTAAGGGCTTAGTTTTCCAGCTGACAGGGGTCCGACAGGTTCACTAGTACCAGATTGGACCATGGCTCGCATTTCCTGTGATGCATTCTCGCGTACCAGCGTCCTCGTAACCTATCAGAGGAATAGGGAGACTCCTTGTCCGTGTGGGGGAGATGGATGGGCTGGGCGTCTGAGCGACAAGGCAATACCGTAGGTAGCCCAGGTCTCGCGCTCTTCACCGGAGATTCCCCTCGCATTCCTTTCCATTGTGGACTTCGGTGTTGTCGGCTGCCATGTTTGCGGTATTGACCCTGAACGTTTTATCATCGCTGCTTTTATAAGACAGTCACTCCTTTGCCATCTCGCTCCTTCATTATCGTAGCCGGATCTCCAAGATGCGGCCTTCACTTGTCCCCTGGGAGGTTCTTCCCCTCGGGTTCAGCGCTGTAGTACTCGGGGCGACCACCGCAGAAATTGTCTACGTGACCGACTTGACGATATTCACCGCCCTGGTATGGTATTTTCTTGACTCGAATTTGGCTCGACCCTCTCCAGAACTGATTGTTGTTGTTCCAAGGCACCATGTGCGGCGAGCGCCCTCTCGTACGATGTAATGTCGCAGACATATTCCAACTGCCCCGAAGCCGTCTCGGACCTGCAATCATGTGTCTGCACGAAGAACCAGAACTCGGCTTCGATATTCACAGCCCTTTCCAGCTCGGTCAGCTACAGTTGTGGTTCGACTGCTAGTGACGACTTGGCTTCCGCCCAAACTGTGAGCCTCTCGGCCTTCGTCTGGCCGTTCTGTTGCTGATGCCCTGGCAGGTCCTCAGCGCATACTGCAATCAGGAGGAGCCGCAACCGACCTTCCCACCGCCGTCCGTGCTGGTTACCCAGTACATCACCGATTTCCCCGAGATATCCTATCTGGCACCATGTGCCGCATCTGCGCTTTCATACGCTATCCTGTACGTCGTGTTGCCCTTTCAATGGTGCCGTTCCGGCTGTGGCTTTGCGGAACTGAACTAACTGCCAACGTGTCCGTCCTTCAGGAGTATGGTGTGTCTTACCGGAGCGACCCAACCTGCTGTGTGCTTGGGTGCGAGACTGACCAATATCATAGACATACAATTACTGCCCGTCCGATGCCACAGCTTTAGCAACATGCGCGTGCGGGAAGAACCAGAATTCGTTGAAGGTCAGCCAGATCATCAACACTTCGGCAAAGTACTCGTGCTCCTCGCACAGCGCCGATATCGCGTCGGCACAGGCTGTTTTTTCTGCGTACTGTAACCTGCTCAAGGGCACCTCGTCCTTTCCCAAGGCGTCCGCCCCCCCAGGCGATAGTGAGTTTGGCCGCCTTTATCCCGGGGACCTCTTGCCGACCCAACGCTTCATACAGAGTCTCTAACAGCAACGCCTAGTGTCGTACTACATCACTGCCTTGCCACAGTTCAGCAAGCTTGCCCCGTGTGCTGCGTCGGCTCTATCGTACGCCGTTTTTTCGGTAAGGGGCGAGAAAAATCACGGGCGGGGCCCAGAGGTCCCGTCTGAGGCGTGTGTCCATCTATCTGACTTGGGTCGATCTAGCAAACCTACAAGCTATGCCCTCATAATGGGCCCCAGGATGTAGCATCGTGCGTCTGTATCAAGGGAAGCATGTCGAGCTCTATTACGAGCAGTATCACCAGCAACGTCAAGTACTCGTGTGATTCCACTGCGAGTGAAGATGTATCTTCTGCCATCGAGGTGAGCACGGCTTGGTTCAACGCCATTTCAGCCACACTAACGCGTTGTTAGGTCTTCGACTTCTACTGCAGCGCTGCAAGGGCCGAGGTCACAGCCGCCGGTGTGACAGAGTCGATAGCCGACAATTATCCCACGGCTGCGAGCGGGAATTCCGCAGGCAGTGGAGGAGCGAAGCCCACGGGCAGCGGCAGCGGTAGTGGCGGCGGCGGTTCAGCGGGCAACTCTAATGGAGGCGGGTCGAAGGGCGGGTCGAACAGCGGCACGATTGCGGGCGCAGTTATCGGCGTTGTCGGCGGTATTGCCCTGATTGCCGCCATTGTGTTGTGCCTCAAGCGAAGGGCGCACAAGAAGTCAGACGAGGACGCAGTTGCAGCTGCAGCTGCAGCAACAGGAGCAGCAGAGGCCGGGGCAGGGGCAGCAGCGTTCGCCGGTCCCTATAACCCGAATTTCCCACCGAACGCCGGCAAGCCGGAGCTTGGAGGAAGCATGGTCAGCGGGATGCCACCCCCAGCCAGCCCGTCACCGAGCACGCTCAAGGTCGCCGGCACCAACCGCACGGATAACGTGTCGCCCGTCTCCGCTCACACCGGCGGGTGGGCAGCACCCAATAGACCGGAATTGTATGGCCAGGGACAGGCTTACCCACCGATGCCGAATAACGCCGCCGAACTGCAAGTCCCAGCCGGCGCGTACCCTCCGCCAAATAGACCCGAGTTGATGGGCCAAGCTCCCGGGTATCCGCCATCGCCTAACAGACCCGAACTCATGGGACAGCAGGCCCCTCCGCAATATAACGGGTATCATGGCGGACAAGCCCCCCCCCAGGAGGCCTATGGACAGCAAATTTACGAAGTCCCCGGGCAACCCAGGCCGGTGTACGAGGCCCCGTCCCAACCAGTGGTTTCACCTGGACAACCGCCAGCCCCTGGGATGGGTTGGCAAGCCGGCCCGGTTGCTAACTACCACGAACTGGATGGAAACCACGGACAACCAAGGTGACATGGGCACACGTGACATATGGCGAGTCAAGAGCCCAGAAAACTCCCAGAGTGATATCGATATAGAGGAGGAATTTATACCTGCGGTTGAGGACCAGAGGGTTGTATTTCAGGGTCATCTGTATCATGTAAATACTTCGAGCACTTACATGGCGAGACTCCGGGGTAGAGAGCCGTCATTATACCATACTTTCTAATACCATCTGAGGTTCATAAAGATACAGGGCCAATGGGTTGGGTCAAAATCGTCCTCACCTTCGTTTGTATGTAGCCTTGCAGTGGTCGTGTCGTTTAGAGGCGGGGCCGGGCGCGAAGGGCTCGAGTGGATTGAGGAATGACCATATTACTTGCTTTCAATTTTTCAAATTCCTACTATCCAGGTACCTTCCTACATACCTACATACCTAGAGTTAGCCTCTTCGTTGCTATTGTTATTCGGATCAAATAGATAGCCACTTATCACTTATTCAACCCCAACCCGCAAACCCAACGGCGGCGATTCGAGCCTTCTGATTGGCTGCTAGTTTGTCGTTTCCTTAGACACCAGGCCAACAGCTCAAAGTGCCCCACAATAGGATAATACTAATAAGATGGACCCCTGGACATAGGTGATAGGTTCTTGTTTGTGCGCCCGTGCGTGAACCTTGCTTGTTTCTTCCTTTCCCCTGCTCTGCTTTCCCCAAGCTCAGCCTCTCGTCCGCTCTATATTCTATCCACCATCGAACGGAAAAGCCCAAAAAATTCGAGCTCTTAAGCTTGCGAATTTCCGCCTTATTTTTTCCCTGCGCACAGCATTGGAATCCCCTCCCATCTCTCTGATGCAATCTCACCAACCTATGCGATCTTGATCTCCAACACCATGGCAGCGGCCGACGTGGACTTGGGGCAACTCTCCACGCATCTTGGCGTGCCGGAGCCTGCTCTCAGCTCGCTCACGACCGAGCCTACCGTCGACCTTGTCCACGCTGTCCTCCAAGCCGTGGCAGCCAAGGCGCGCGAGTTTGAGGTGATCTACTCTGAAAAGCTGCAGGTCGACATCGAGCTGGAGAACGTGATCCGGAGCTCCGAGGCACGATGCGAACAATTCAAGACCACCACCGACAAGTCCTTGAAGGAGGTCGAGGAAGTTAGACAGAAGCTTCGAAACGAAGGTAAGGACACTTGCGCCATCATCTACCCGTTGCGCCGTACATTCGTTACTTACTCTTGCCCCCTCAGAGAATGATCGGCAAGCCCTCGAGAACGAACTTCAGACTCTGAGGTCTTCCAGTGCATCGCATCAGACCGAAATCGAGACCTTACGGGAGCGCAACAGTTCCCTGGAAGCGTCAAATCGAGATGCCCTTTCGATCATCGATTCGAAGAACGCTGCCAACGCCGACCTGGCCGAGGAGCTTCAGAGGCAGCATAAAAAGATTGTGCAGCTTAATCAGGAGATTGCGTCGCTGAGCCAAGCCGCCCAATCTGCCCAGGCCACAGTGAGCAGTGCAAAGTTCCGTGAAGAATCAATCCAGCAGGAGCTCGAGCTGGCGCGACGAAACAACGAATGGCTGGAAAACGAACTCAAGGCGAAGAGTGCCGAAGCCCTCAAAACCCGAAAGGAGAAAGGCGCCCGCATCTCCGAGCTCCAGCGACTGTACGACGACGCGAATTCGAATATCGAGTCGCTGACGCGCAGCGAGCAGCAGCTTCGAAAGCGGCTGGACGAGGCACAGAAGAAAGCAGACGAGTCCCTGACCAAGGTGCAACAACTCCAAGAATCGGCTTCTCGGGCCGAGGAGGGTTTCAAGCAGGAACTTGAATCGTCAAAGCGACTTGTCGAACTCAAGGATGAACAAGCCAAGACCCACAAGAAGAGGCTACAGGAGGTCGAGTTTAGACTTGAGCAAGTCAAGGACGATGTAGTCGAGGAGGTTCGGGCGATCCGGCAAGCGCTTGAGAAGGAGAAGGAGGAGCACGCGCAGACAGTACATCAGGCCCAGGAACTGCAATCTGAGATGGACCGGTTGCAGGCTGTCCTGTCGTCCCAGACAGTTGAGCCAGGATCCGCGCCGCAGACCCCCCGACCGAACGGCTCTGTTTTCGGCCGTGCTGCATCCCCCTTCGCCACCCCAGGATCTCTTCGCGGCAAGTCTGCCTTGCGTGCAAGCGATGCCATTGAGGAGCTGTATAATGTCAAGGGGCAGTTGAGCGGGGAAAAGCGACGGAACAAGAAGCTCCAGGAAGAACTCGACGACCTTGCAAGCATCTTGGAGGCCAAGGCACCCGAAATCGACGAGGCGAATGCCGAAGCCGAGCGTCTGAGGAACGAAGCCATCCAGATGTCCCAGATCATGGAGCAGTCCTACCAGGAACGCGACTTTGCAACCAAGGCTGCCAGAAAGGCAGAGGCGGCCGCCTCTAGGGCGCAGACTGAACTCAACATACTACAAGCCCAGCTTCGCGACCTCAGCACCCAAGTGCACGTCCTCATATTTAATATCCACGCCCAGGAGAAGGGCCTGGACCAACTCAGCGAGGAGGAGACGAGGCAGTATGAGCGTATCTCGCGAGGAGAAGTTGCGGAGGACTCCTTGGCAGATCTCTCGCCTACCCACAAGTTCATCACGGAACGATTCGTTGCCTTCAAGGACATCTACGAACTCCAGGCCAAGAACCAAGAACTCCTGAGACTTACACGCGAGCTTGCCGACAAGATGGAGAAGGAGGAAGCCCTGGCAGAGCAGCATCAGGCGGCCGAGGCCCATGAAGAGGTCGAGAGCCTCCGTGGCACAGTCTCTACCTTGCAAGACGAGGTCAAGTCCATCACTGTGCGCATGAAGAGCTACATGACCGAGCGAGACATGTTCCGCCGCATGCTGCAGCAGAAGGCGACCCCAGCCGAGATCCACGCAGCCCTAGGGGCGTCCGGCGACGGCAGCCAGCGGGAGGTCCTCGCAAGTATCGAGCAAAACACCGCGGCCGAGGAGGCCGACCTGGTTGTCGCCCTTCGAGAATTGCAAGGCCAGTTTGATTCTTACCGAAATGACCAGACTACCGACCGAAAGGCGCTCAAGGATCAGATCGACAGGCTATCGTCAGAGAAGTCCTCCCTGCAGGCCGAGGTTTCGAGGGTTGGCAGCCAGCTCACTCTCGCCACTGAACGATACGGCATCCTGCAGTCCAACTTACAGGCGATGCAGGTTGAAGGCAAGGAGCTGCAGAAGAGGAATCAGGCCCTTTCAGAAACGTCTGCCAAACAGGATATCCGCACCCAGCAGGTTGCGCAGGAGCTTGTGGAGGTTCGAGAGTTGCATGAGAGCATGCGGAATGAGAACGCAAATCTCAAGGCCGAGAAGACTCTGTGGAAGAGCATTCAAGAACGTCTCCATCAGGATAACGAGAACTTGGTCCAGGAGAAGGCTAGGCTCAATTCTCTGCTTTCGAACCAGCAGTCTCTACAGAATGAGAGAGAGCTGGGCGAGGCGGAGACGAGACGACGACTGCAGAACCAGACTGACACTCTGGAGGCCGAGCTGACCGCCACAAAACGCAAACTCGAGGCCGAGAGAGAGGAGTCGAGGAAGTCTCAGCTGAGGAGAGAGTTCGATGGCCAGCAGTCGCAGAAGAGGATCGACGAGCTGACCTCGTCTCTCGGACAACTCAAGCAAGAGAATGTGGCCCTCAAGACGAGCCGTGACCATCTCCAAGCCCGAGTCGATGAACTGACCGTTGAAGTTCGGAGCGCCGAGGAGCGTGCGCAGCGGCTGCGCCCAATCCCGACTCCACGAGCCGCAGCACCAGCAACCGCAGAGCAGGCAGGTGGCGACGATGATTCGGAAGCTCGCATCCAAGAATTGGAAGCCGAGACTTCTGAGCTCAAGACCAGCCTCGAGCTGGCCAACGTACATCTCGAGAACGCCAGGCAGCAGGGTGAGGAATACAAGCGACTCAGCCAAGAGGTCGAAGAGGAGCTGTCCAACTTCACTGCTTCCCAAGAGCAATATCGCGAGGAGATGGATGCTGCAATTGCGTCGAAGGATAACAACATCAAGGGATTGGAGCAACGTGTAGAGGCTCTGACAACAGAGTTGGCCAGCACCACCAGCGAGCTTAACGGGCTCCGCGATGCTCAGGCGGAAGTTGCACAGAAAGCCGAAGAAAGGGAGCGCATGCTGAATGAGGAGATTGGTCGACTGAAGGAGGACGAAGAGCGACACAAGGAGGCTGCCAAGATACATCTCCAGGACCTCAGAGACCAGGCCGAAATTGCGGCGCAGGCACAGCAGGCTCACGACCAGGAGCTGCTCAAGCATGCCGAAGCACGGAAGTTGCTGCAGGCCCTTCGCGTCCAGCACAACGAACTCAAGACGCAATCCCAAGGGTGGAGGGCCGAGGCCGAGTCCGCGAAACTGAGCTTGGCCCAGAGCGAGCAGTCGTGGGAAGAACGCCGGCAGCAGCTCGAACAGGAGATCAGCGAGATCAAGGCACGGTGGAACGATGCCAACGCTCAAAACAAGCTTCTACACGGGCAGCTTGAGGCTACCAACGAGCAGATTGTCAAGATCAAGCAGAACAGGGCATCTGCTGGCGAGCCGACGAATCACGATTCTGCTGCCGTTGCCGATACCGCGACCGAGGGCCTACGGGAACTCAACACTTACCTGAGGCGCGAAAAGGAGATCTTGGAGGTCCAGTACAACATCAAGGTCCAGGAGGCGAGAAGGCTACACCAGCAAATCGAAATCGCCGAGTCGCAGCTTGACGAGACGCGCCTGAAGCTCGAGCAGGAACGGAGAGCCCAGGCTGATAGCAACCGAGCCTCGATAACCCACAACGAGTTGATGGACAAGCTCAACGAACTCAACATTATTCGGGAAAGCAACGTCACACTCCGGAACGAGAACCAGCGGGCACAGGCACAGCTGGAGGCAAAGTCTGCCAAGATCGAGAGTCTCGAAGCCCAGATTCAGCCCTTGGAAACCCGCATCGCCGAGCTCGAGAGCAGCCAGGCTTTCAAGGATGCAGAGATCAAACAGCTCCAGGAAGACCGCGAGAGGTGGCAGAAGAGGACCGAGTCGATCTTGAAGAAATACGGTCAGGCTGATCCCGAGGAGATCGACAAACTTAAGGAGACAATCGAATCCTTGGCTGCGGAGCGGGATCGTCTCAAGCAAGAGCAGGAGCCGCTGCAGGCTAAGATCCGGGAGCTCGAGACGACTCTCGAGACCGAGCGGGCGGGCTGGAAGTCTACCCGGGAGAAGCTCGCAGAGCAGTTCAAGTCGCGTTACAACGAGGCTAAGACCCAAAGGAACGACGCCGTCACCGAGAAGAACGAGCTACAGAACCAGCTCAACTCGGTCAACGAGCAGCTTTCAGCTCTGGAGAGAAACCTGGAGACGGCTAGGCAGGACAAGTCGGCATTGGAGGAAAGGAATGGTCAACTGGAGCAGCAGGCTCAGGCAGCCGCTAACAACACGCAAGAGACTGCACCTACCTCTGCCCCTACTTCTGCCCCTACCTCTACCCCTGCGCTCGAAGAACTTGCGCAGCAGTTGGAGAACGCCAAGCAGGAGCTCGAAGCCCTCGCCTCGCAGAAGGCTGCCGCTGATGCCGAACTCGAAAATATCAGGCTCCAGCTTGCGTCAGCCATGACCGAACGAGATCAGGCCCTACTACGAATCGAACAGCAGGCGGCAAGCGGTGGTGATGTTGCCATGCAGGGCAACGCTCCTCCTTCGGGCAATGTTGCTCCTCTGTCCAACGAGGAGCGCAATTCCCTCGAGGCGAAGATTGCCGCGACGGAGGCGAAGATCACCGAGGCTGAGGAGAAGGCCAGAGCGGTGGAGGCGAACATGGATGCGATTGTGAAGCAGAGGTCTGAAAAGATGAAGGAAATTCTCAACAAACGCTTGAAGGAATCCAGAGAAGCTCTCGAAAAAGATACCCAGGATACCAAGACGAAGCTGCAGGAGGAGTTCGACCTGAAGTTGGAGCAAGAGCGAGCCATCTGGATGGCGGAGAACCAGGCGGCGAGACCCCCTCAGGGCAATGTGCCATCGACACCGGCGAAAGACGGGCGTAACCAGTCTATGTCCACGCCAACCATTGCTACTCCCGGAGGGACGAACGTCGACCTCGCCAACCTCACTGATGCGCAGACCCGCGACTTGTTGGCGAACAACGCGACGGTCAAGTCCATTGTCGCAGCCAATATCAAGAAGAAGATCGACCTGGAGACGAAGAAACTCCGGGATGAGGTCGAGAACTCGATGAAGGGGGAGTACGATCAGAAGATCATCACTGCCAAGGAGCAGGCTACGGCACTGACGGAGAAGAAATCGGCCCTTCGCGTCAATATGCTAGATCGGCAGCTCAAGACTGGGCTTGCCAAGCTCAGCATCGTCGAGACCGCGGCCAACGAGACACCACAGCGACCAGTCATCGAGGTCTGGAATATCGCCAAGGATGCGAAGGCACCTGCAACTGTCCCGACTGTCCCGGCTGCCCCCGCGCAAGCGGCGCCAGCGTCCAGTGTTACTGCTCCGCAGGTAACAACTGCCCCTACCGGTAAGTTCATCCACAATGGCTCAAGAAGGGCGGCATGCATGAGAACCGAAACTGACAGCATCCCCGGTGCAGCTACCTCGGTGTCCGACGATATGAAACCCCAGGAGCCAGCGCCAGCCACGCAACGCAACATTTATCAACCGACCAAGCCTGCGGTGGCTACCACGTCGGCGCCGCAAGCTACGACTTCGACTGCGGCTGCAGCACCTATACTTAACCCCTTCGCACCCTCCACTACCTCCCAGCCCACCCAGGTGCTGCCAAATCCATTCGCACCTGGACCCCAAGCGCAGCCCAGTCTGGCGCCACAGGCAAACCAACCCGGGCAGCAGCAGCAGCAGCAGCAGCCGCTGCCGGCCCGAACCGGCATCCCCGTGCCCTCTAGGGGAGGAGGCCCGCATGCCGGACGTGGGCGTGGCGCACAAGGCGTGTATCAACCGCCCGGCCGCGGTGGTGGTCAGGGCGGTGGTGGTCAGGGCGGCGGTCAGGGCCACCGTGGCGGACGAGGTTTCGGCGGCGGCCGGGGCATGAATCCCAACGCGGGTGACTTCAACCCCGGCGGTGGCGGTGCGGGCAACAAGCGGCAGCGCAACGACTTTGAGGGCGGCGGTGGCTCTAAGCGGCAACGTGGTGGAGGCGGAGGCCAGTAGAAATGGTCAACGCGCCCAGGGAGCCCTAGGCTGTGATGATGGGAACCGAGCCGGCGGGGGAGGGGAGTTACCGGTGTGGGTTGTAAGGGAAACGTGGGAATGAGGATACGAGAGTCGGAATTGGGCTATGGTTGCAGCAGCTATGTATCCGTGGCATCTCACACATGCAGGACGCAGTTATTTTCCTATGTCGTTTGATCGTTTTGAAATTGCAAGGGGAGGGAGGCAGGGTTGGAATGGTTCTTGGCCGGGCAGGCATATCTTGCGATGCACAGGCTTGTTTTCTTTGCATCTCTGTACTATTAGTCACGTGCCGAACCAACATCTAGGGTCAGCGGAGTTTGAGAGCAGAAAAAGCTTTGATCTGATTACCGGTTTCGTTGGCCATCATCATTCTCATCCGTGTCGGGCTGTGTCTTCGATACCATCCGGTCACAGATTGAGGTATCAACTTTCGAAGTTACGTTCCTTCCTTCCTTCCACCTTACCTGCCTTCCTAACCTTCCATGATAGGGAGGCTATGTCCATTCAGGGACCCCGTCCGTGCCTGCCAAGAGATCGACGGAGCTGTCAAGATGACTGTCAAGATGACCTAGCGGGTCATCAGCAAAGTACCCGAATCGATACGCTCAGGCAGCTTCGGGGCGGATCTCGGATCCAGTTACACTAGCCCCAAATCAAGCGAATACACGCATTTGGATGGGTAGCGTGGTCCCGTCTTCAACAAGGGCTACGACTACTGAAGAATCGGGAGCGGTCAAAAGATTGTACTCCGTACAAGTGACTCAATCGTCTGCAAATCAATTACGATTAATCCGTCGTGGCAAACGCGGCCTTGGACGGGAGGGGTGATCCCCCAGGCAGAAGGAATCCGTGGGGCTGATCATCAGGCGACGAGGGGAGCTCCCGCTCTCTCTGTCGCTGGACGATCAAAAAGCTACTTCGTGAATGCGGGGAGGGGTGGGGGGTATACTTGACCCAAACGCAGGTATTTCGCCGAGATGGTTAAACTAAACCATCTTGGTGTCCCCCCGCCTTTTCGTGCGGGCGTGGGAGTCGGACACTGCAAAAAGGAGCGGTGATGGGAATCGAAGCTCGCTGCACTGCGCCTCTCTCGCTTGTGTATGGGTACGTTCCACTCCCTCCTATACCTATATCTTGGGGCAGGGACACAATGGATGATGTAGATTAACGGGAGGCGCGCAATGTTCCCTAGCTAGGCAGGTACCCTGCCGCTTTAGGATACAACCGATATCTCGACCGACGAGTCCACCGGGCAAAACGAGACTGCCATGGAGATAGGTACTGTGCGTACACGTGTGGGTTATCAAAAATGTGGTGACTAATACCCACCTCCGTCAACCCCCAATTCCAAATATGATTTGCGGTCTACCTGGTTGCACCTCTTTCAAAGGAGCGTTCCATTGGCCCTGCCACGAAGTCTTGGTCCCGCTCCAGCAGCGTAGGTCGCCATCGATGCGTCAATCTGTCAGCAGAGACGACACGGATGACTGGGTGAGCTGGGACCACCTATCCACAGCTCCGTCCCTGATTTCCCGATCATTCTATCCCCCCTCCGATGATGCACATCTGGGCCCCTTCAGCCCTACGGCTGCTGCCAGCACAACCCCCCTCTCGTCAGCCAACCACGGCGCCGGTACGGCACGGCGACACCGACATGCGAAACGGGTCGCATCTCTTGGCATGCAGCCGTCTGTCACTCGGTCAAAGCAAGCAGGCCCTTCCGTCCGAACACCATTTAGCCAGTGGTCGGTATTCTGGTTTCTAGTTCTTTTGTCTGTGGTTGGTATCGAATATCAGGACGGCAATGTGCTGCTGAACTCCGGTTGATGGAGCCATCCAAGTCTTGCGAGGATATCCTACACCGCTACAGCTCAGGGCCTAGAGCCATCCATACTGCGTACTACCTTACGACAGCCAGGTAGTCGTGCGTGTTGGCGCAGAACCAAGAATTCAGGTGGACCAATGAGAGTCCGTAGATCATGCCAATCGACGTTGGTGGAGAAACCCACAGCCCTATGAACCTCGAAGATTGGCCCAACTTCCCAGCAGAACAGAGCGAGAGCTGGCGAGAGTATCTACGCAGTATGTCCGTTTCGCTGAACTCGTCTTGTTCCAAGCCCAACGTAACCGCGGCATACCATCTATCTCTATCTAGGCTCTAGCGACTACTCGTCTGCACTAGATACAGCTAGGTATGCGTAGTGCAGCAGATGAGATCGTCCAACGTGCTGGTGATGCAATCGGTTGGGATTAGCTTGGCTCGAAACACCGTCGGGTCGAAGCGAATAGGAAAAGCTTGTTGCTAAGAAGCTAGCGACGAAGCTACCACCGTTTCCACCCAAGAGCGGGGCCTGGCCCAGGGTGCCAAGGTGGGCTAATTCCCATATTTGGAATTATATGGCTTGAGAAATGATTGGTTCCAGGTTCCATGAGGACCGGGTAGTTTTGTGCTGTATCCGTAGTGTGCGTCGAATTCTGGAGGCTTGTGAGGAAATTTTGGCCGAACTGAAGATTAGCAAAACTCTTCTTTCTTGGCAGATCTTGGTGGCTCGAGTTTGGATGACGCCGGGACCGCGCTCACACAACTTGAATTGCATTCGAACCTATCCGGTACTTTCTGTGCAGGAGACCTAAGTTTCCCTATCGAGGAACCGAGAACCTATCTCCCCCTCCGTGTGCTACGGCAGACGGTTGCACCGTCCCAAGCCGGCGGCAGAGATGGTGGCGCATATTTTACACTTGAACAGGAAGCTGGGAACCTCAATCTCTCATTCAGACTTTGGGTCAGAGTGCCATTGAACAAGCAACACCTAATCTCTTAAAAAGTACCATGGATGAGTAATGGACCTACATCAGGCGAGGTCTGGTTCAGGGGCGCCAAGTCTAAGATGCCCAAACCAAATTGCTATGATGGCATCAGACAGGTGTCTATGCGTAGACCGTAAACGAAAGGGACAAGCGCTCATCTCGGTTATCAGCGAATCCTTTCCAAGATCCAGAGCACGTTGCCGGGAGTGAAGAACACTCCGGCAATAGGGAACTAGTGTACCTAGTCCGTAACGGCGCAACTGGCCGCATAAGTTGTGTAGACATTCGGCCTTTGTTATAACCCGATCGGTATCTGATCTTCCCGTCAGGGCTTCAGGACCGAAGTTTCCCTGATGAAAGCCCCTGGAAACGAGATTTGCATCCCAATTAGACGTGGCCTGCTAACCTTGTCGGGACCGACGCGGCCCCCAAGTGCATGTATGGGCAGATGCAGCCAGCAGGTCGGGGCCGACAACGTGCCAAAGTGCATCGCATGCGGCGAGACATGTTGGTATCCCGTACATCTCCACTGCCATCATCGCCGGGCGGCAGATGACGCCGTCTGCGGAAGCCCCTTGCAGCCACCCCGGCTACCGAGAATCAAAGATGGCGGCACCTCCTCCAACTTCTGTTAGAGATTGTCCAGCAAAGGGCGATCGTGCTACAGCGCCGGATATAGGCTTGCAGGATGCGGGCCACTCGGCGAGGACGTTTCAACTGCCTGCCCTCTTTGGTATACTGGTCGAAACCATGGCAACCAGCTTACGAGACAGCCATTGGCAATTCTTTAAAATGTGGCTTTCATCGTCATGGATCCTCGAATAGGCAAGCAACACATCGCCAATCCACCGACCACATTGTCGGGGCATCCAGTGTGAGGGTAAGTGGTCTCGAGAGCAACATGATAGGCCATATCCATTGGAGGCTTGTGGCAGATCCTGAAAAGGGAGGGTGGTTTGAGCAAGGAAATGAATCCCATGTCGGCATTGCCCAGAAGAACTAAGATGTGATTGGAATGCCTAGCCGATGGCAATTGGCAAACCGTACCCAACATTTTCCATTTTCCAATGCCCCTGTCGTCGCTACAACTGCCGTTAATAGGACATCGCATCATAAGAAAGATGGATCGAAAGAGCCCACGCAAAATATATCCTAATCGGGAAACCAGCTAAAGAAGGATTCGGGCGAACTATGGTCCCCCCAAATGCTTGCTGGCTAGATGCTAGTTTCTCGTTTACATATGTAGATCAAGGAAAGATTTGAACAAGCCATTGATCGACATGAGGCGCATGAAGTGAACAAGCAAACATACTGGTCCTGTTCTCGGGATTTTGTTAGAAGACAAGAGGTTCCTTTTTCCTTGGGGTGAAATCCTCGTGCCGTCATGCCGGGAAAGTCTGCAGTGCTGTGTACTAACGGCAGCCATCCCGACGTTTCGCCTCTTGGGCCGAGACCCCGAGTATCTACACCACACTAAGTAAGGCCAGGAGGAGGGCTCCCTTGCGCCTTGTCATGTCTCTGAATGCACCACCCAGGAATACGGGCTTGAAACTTTCCGGGATAGGGGCGTCGTAGGGCAGATTGCTCATGGTGTTGTCCGGCATTGCTGTGCTAGGACTGGTGGTTATGTTGCTGCCTATCCTCGGATGACAGGGTTCGGCCGCCGCCTGCCGTTTGCGGGATTCTTAACCTGATGTGGGCACAATCCCCGCGCTGCGGAACACAGCACGAACCATGCAATCCTATGTACTAGCACATGCCTGTACCCCCAGCAATATTCCAAATAGGAGCGCAAATACCTTATCTCTCCATACTGCCAGGGCCTTATCTTTTGTAAACTCCCGACCCACCAATCCTTTGGAATCCTTGTGCCTGCGTACATAGTACTTCCATAGGGTCGCGCCTCCCTACATCGTGCATCGGCGGCATTGGGGCCAATCAGGGCCATGTTTCTTTGTTTGGTTTGCCAAAAACAGCTCCTTGTGACCCGACGGGCTCGCCCTGAATAGGGACGTGGTGTCGCTCAGAAGGCCAGGCAATCGATTCTCAACTCTATTGGGTGCGTATCTCTCTAAGCCACCGGCGAGCTTCTGTTCCGTCCCTTCGGCGGGTTCAGCTAGCGGTACCTAGTTTGCAGATCACCATGGAGCAGGGGCATCTTCGAATTTGTCGATTTGCGAATTGTACGGTGCGATCCTAGGCCCCATGCATACGGAGCACTGTCAGTGTGGTGTATCGATGCTACATGTGAACCAGGCTATACCAGAGTACTACGTAGTGGTGGATATAGTTGGTGGAGTTAGTCCTCGTAGCTTTGCGAAACAACGGCGGGCATCCAAATATACACCCAGTGATCGCCATTGTCGCCGAGAGATGGATCATGATGGCCTCGTGTCGCCATTGCGATAGATCTTCCCGTGTCTGGGTTGTTTTCGTGCCCAGGCCTACATAGTTGTCCTAAATTCCCGGTGGTCACGGATGTTGCTCGGCGATTCCTGCCAGCTCAGAACGGCCATGACCCTGTTCTTGGAAGTCTTGCCCGATCTCTGGTAGGACGGAAGCCCAGCTGGCTGCTGTGCCGGCAAGAGCGGTCCTGAATGGCTCGTAAATTTGGGACACTGCGATAGTACGTACCACAGCCCTATGGCACACTGGGCTGGCATGCAGGGAACTTTTCGTTCCTCTTTGCCGCCCAGGCTCGTCATTTGGGTATAATTAGCCCTCTAAAACCGTCTAATTTGCCCCCAAGCCCACCGTTTAGCTCCGTTCTTGAGAGAGCCCGAGCGCGTACATGGATTGGCCTGGTAGTATTTCCTAGCGTTACCTGCCCTATCCCTGCGGCAGAACTGGGCTGCATACTACCTAGGGTGGGACGTAGCGAGTCCTGGTGGATGGGGGGCCGCCAAAAGTATCCGTACACCACCCAGCAACAATGCACAACCATGTCGTAGGTAGCCCTACCTATCCCTGGCCCTCTGGTCGCCAACCGGGTGGGCACAGAAGGGAATCGGTCGAGTCCTCAGGCCGCGCCATCGCTCCATCCTTCCCCCTTCCAATCTTCAGTCCATCAACTCGTGCAGGGCCCGCCCTTTCTTGAACGGATGCAACCCCCCTTCCCCCCTGCTCCTGCTTGTAGAAGGTACCAGGCTGGAACGGTGGGCAGTACATGGGGATCCTAATGCTGGTGCCATGTGTGGCTGTCTTGTGCCACCTACATATGTAGTATACATACTTGGATGCGCAAGCCTCCACACCTCGTAGTTGGGGGAATCACTGGGGTTCCTCTTCCTTCCCCAAGCCTTCCGAGCTGTCCCGCCATCTTGGATTGCCAGCCTTATATACCCCGTCCCTTCTCCCACCTTGCTTGTTCCAACAGCCGCCATCATTCTGCTTGTCTTGTCTTGCCTCAACTCTCAAAGACCTACAGGGGGATAACCTCGACACCTAGACTCAAGCTTGCCTAAGCTTCCCCAGATGTTCACCATGTCTCACCATACATACGCCTACGCGGCAGCACCCGCGCTGCCGCCGCCGAGGCAGTTCTCAGGCCACGGCACCAGCAGTGCATTCAGCAGCTCGGCCAATCCTGACGAGGACTGGACCAAAATCTCGGATCTCGCGGAGCGTAGAAGGATACAGAACAGAATTGCTCAGCGCAACTACCGTACGTAGCAACTTGCGCCGCGCCCCCGCCCACGAGGGAACATGTGGCTAACCTGTGTCGTTTCTTACAGGCAAGAAGCTTAAGAGGCGTTTGGAAGATCTCGAGAGGCGCGCGGCCACCTCAGACGAAACCTCGTCTGGTGGGGAGAAGCCGACCAAGGCCGCCAAGGGCAGCAAACAGCAACAGCAACAGCCACAGCAACCAGCAGCCAAGTCGCAGAAGCAGACTGCAGCAACCCCGCCAAAGCCGATGCCAATGCCGATGCCGCAGAGCCAATTCACGCCGCCCATGCACAGTGACGACGAGTACCTCTTCCCGTCCGCTCCCTACGACGACCGGGAAGGGTCGCACACCCCGCCCCTCTTCGCATATTCCACATATCCGCCTCCCCCAGAAGACCTTCTCCTCCCTTCCTATGGCGCCTCCCAGTCATACCGGTCCATGGTCACTGAAACATACCCCGATTATCTCGCCGCGAGCGTCTCCGTGGCACTCCCGTCCATGACCCACTTTAGCGATGCCATCAAACGCGAGCCGCCGAGCTTCCCCGCGGACGACTCGCTTTCCCCCTACATGGACTACGGCAACTACATGTCGGGGCTTGACATTACCGCCGGAGCCCCCTCACCATACGACCACTCGAATCCTCATGTAAGTTGCGCGCGCTACCTTCCCCCCCCCCTCCCCCTGTAATATAAAATAACCCGACAAGACACCCTCAACGATATGTTCGTGTTGCTAATGGAGTACCCTGCATAGACCCCCCCTCTGTCACACTCTTTCGACCACTCGGCGGACTGCTCAGACTCGGGAAGCCACGGGTACCCGGCGACGCCCCTATCGATGCCGGGTTCGCCCGGCATGGTCCAACAGCAAATGTGACCTTACCACTGTACAAGTCTCCTCTCTCTCACTCACACAGCAACGGACCTCGGAAGAATCTGGAGGCCGTGCTTGTCCTTTTGACTTTTATGCGTTACGTTTGAACTAACAGGGTAAGGGGCATATGGGGAGTTCGGGACGAAATTGTACGCCTGGTAGAAACTTGGGTAGAAACTTGCGCCAAGAGCAGGTAACACAACGGGGCAAAGCTTGGCTGGAGTGGCGGCGCAGCTGTCTTTCTTTTTTGGCTTTTCTTCCCGTCTCGTCTCACTGACAATTGGGAATTTGCTCGACTTATGAGCAGAAACGGTTCATGACTGGATGAGGCTAGAAACCGGGATGGCATATTTCCTTTTGGTGGCAAGCTTTTGTGGACGAGCGCTTCGTCTCTCGTTGAGTTATCTTCTCATTAGCTTTTCCGGGGCAACCTGGGATATCCCAGGCTCGATATGGGGAAATCCACGACAGTACAGAATCACAGCTGACTGGAATAATACCTTGACTATGACAAATACGTTTTCTCCGCAGTATCCAGCTGACAGCCCCCCGGGAATTGCAAGGTGTCGGTCGTGCCACCACACTAAGCCCTATGACTAGGACTAGAGGTAGCCCTTCTTCTCTCTGCCGACAGAACTATATAACCCAAAATAAAGATCTGACAAAGACCAAGTCATTGTCTGCCTTGCCTACCTAGTGTGAAAACTAACTTTCCCCCCACAGGCGCCACCCCAGATCGGATCGCCTTGGTTCCGTCCAGTTGGGTTTATTCTTGGCACTGGAGAATTAGGTTGTTCAAGAGGAGGCGAGACAAAAGGTTCGTCCACCCGGGAGGAACCCAGGTCCCACAAAGGAGCCTGATTTTGGATCTTTCTGTGATACACACACAACCCCCAATCCCACGCACGACCTTCCACGATTGGGGGCTGGAAATCCGAAACAACCCGGCACGCCTGGGACCCGATATCCGTGGCGTGATGGACATGGTGGTGGGGAGGATCGGATATATTCTTGGTAACACTCCGGCGCTGCAGCATTGAGCCGTATGGACGCAGATCGCGGGGGGGCCCAAGAGGCGCAGACGATAAGATGCCTCGCAGGAGCAGGAAAGTTAGGTTAGGTAGGTAGGTAGGTTGGGAAGTGAAGGATGGGGCGGTGGAGGCCCGGTCCTGTGGGAGACGGTGTTCAAGGTTCAATTAAACATCCGACGAACTGCGGTTCATGATCCTGTCCGCGAAGCCGGCGGAACCATGGGGATTCTCAACAGGGTCTAGAGGGGACAGAAACTGGGTCATGTCTAGAAAGAAATGTCAGAGGCCAGAAGTTTCTTGGCCCTACATATGGACAATCTATAACGCGAGGTTTCCGCCATGAATTAAGGAAGGGCATCTCGGGTAGTACAAGTGGCTAAGAAAGCCAATAAATAGCGAGGCAACGTTAACTGCAACTTTGACGAGAAGGAGCGCAAGCGACTCGTTCCCATGTTACTTCTCCTACCAGACGACTTTCACGCCGAAGGGCAGCTGCAGAAATTGGGATCTGAATGCCTGGCGTCCAAAACGCGGGAACCGTTGTGATCTTCGATTCATCTGGGCTTGTAGGATCCGGGAAGGATTCAGCGGACTGACGAATGATATTTATCCCAGCAAAGCCGGGCGACGGAGTGGCACTCGAGTTGTAGTGTATATACACGTCGAGGTACCTACCAACTTTGGTTAGCTAGGTACCTAGGTATAAATGAACAGCGAATGGCAGGGAGGCCCGTCCCCATGACGAATGCCACGCCATCGCCGCCCGGCCAATATCCGGAGCAGGACTGATGTTGATAGCGGACAAGTGGTCGGCTTCAATGTGGAGCTTACGCAATAGCAATAACTTGCTCACGAGGAACGTGGAAGCATATCCATTACCTCATTTGGGGGAAAGGAGTCAATCGAGAGCCAAGCTCTGCCTTCTTCATCCGATCACCAGCTTGTAGCTTGACGTATCCAAACGCGATGTTAGGTGCCGTAATAATGTTAGAGGAGGTTCTCCACAAAACCCTTTAAGGTTTAGGTTATTTATAGTATCGGAAAAGCGGGGCCAGGTGTGGCTGGTAATTGATCACAGCCACACAAGATAGGGGATCCGCGGCAGACGCCTAGTTTAGACGCGCCGGTCCAACGGGGTAATGAACCGCCTTGCATCTTACTTCCATTTCGGGAAAGAAGTCTACAAAGGATCCTAATAAACTGCTGCCTGGAAGGAGCAGGTTTGAAACCATCAAGCGAGCGCACTGACGGGAATTTCCGTGCCTTTCTCAAGCCTACCCACGACTGCGCAATACATGGCGCCAACAACGGCGAAGGACGGAACGAGGTACCTGTTCGGAGGAGAAGCGTAGGTCCCTCTTCCCCTTTCTTCCATGGTCGTCCCCGTCCCTTCATTCTATTTCTCGGTGTCCCACGGATGGAATATACGGCTCATAACTAACGGGCTTTGTCTATTCCACCGTCATAGCCTGTGGCAAGCGTCATCATGGACGGCATCCGACGACCGTGTCCGCGGCGGGAACAGCACCTCCAGTTTAGCCATCGGCCAGATGGGGACTTTTAACACGCCGTGCGCTTCATTCGAGGGTTTGTTGGATATTACAGCTCTCGGGGGGGCTGGCTTTGCCTCGTACCGCACCGTAGATAATTTCCCGGAGCTAGACCTATCCGGCTATGATGCCCTGGTACTGGACATAGCCAAGTCGGATCTCAAGAAGTTTACCCTTGTTCTCAAAGACACAGTTTTGCCCAAAAGGCCTGATGGGCGTGAGCAGAGCACCGTCAGCTGGGAGCACGACTTTGATTGTCCCGGTGATGGAGGGGGTGGAAGGGTAGTGATGAATCTTAATAATTTTAAAGCCACCTACCGTGGTCGGGCGAAGCCAGATGCCGAACCCCTGAACACCGGGGATATAAAGAGGATTGCCATAATGATAAGAAGGTATGGTTGTAATTGTGTCATATTCACTTCCCCTGAAGTGTGGATTTGGATTGTTTCTGTCTGGCCATACTGATTCGACTTGCAGCTTCTTCGGTGAACAACAAGGCCAATTCAGCATTACTATTCTCTCGATAGCAGCTATGAAACACGATCGCGGTCCATCTCCATACCTGCCGAAAACCCAGTAGGGCCACGGAAAGTTTAGCCTCGTCGTTACGCCAACGGTTGATTTTATCTGACTTGCCGTCATCTGTGGGCGGCGAAGATGTTGTCAATGACTTTCTACACGGCAAAACGGAAGGAATCGAGACCCCTCGGCATTTGGAATTGTCGGTTGAGTTTCATCAAGGCGCATTCTTTTTCGTTACAGAAGGTTAAGACAAGCCGATGGGGGGGTTGAAGCGCACCCCCCCTTGCCGCCACAATCTAATACTTCGAATTGGAGCGTGGCTAGATCACCTGTGCTTTTGCAAGTGAAACTCTTTGAGAGAATGCCTATCCTGAGATCCCGTCTTTAGATGCTAAAGGGGTTAGGGACCTACCTAGCTCTCCTTTTCCCTCACCACCCCCCCCCCCCCCCCACCTCCCTCCGACAAACAGGGGGTTAGAGGGTGCGAGGACAGTCCCGACACTGGGGTGGTCAAAGCATGAATAATAAATCCTTGGTGTCGTAGCTCGCGATCCAGATTCGCCGCCTGGGATTCCAGAGCTCGAAGTGCTTGCATAGAACCGAGGTGAGGCAATGAAATGTCACCGTTTTGCCTTGCAGGTGTTGCACGCCCAATTCCTAATCCCGCAACTTAGAATATACTTCGCATCTCACTCTATTTCTCAAGGTGGTGGAACTTCCAGGGTTTGCGGGTGTACCTACGCCGAGCAGTGCCTACCCATCTTATCTCGGGCCCCGTATTTGTAGGGGTTACCTTGTTGACATGATAAAGATGATCCTGACCCTGCCGATAGACAATGCCAATACGGACCTGGGTAAGAGAGCGGTGTAATTACCGCTAACTGTAAGGCTGGTGACAAAGACAATCCCTTGCCCTTTGAATTCACAATTGAGCAGACATTACTTATACCTAGAAGGCTAGGAAAACAACACCCCTGAATGATCACAAAGCGGAATTGCCCTTGACAAGATATGCGGCGTGATTGAGGGACAACTGACTGATGGGTAGCTAGATGTTAACGGAAAGGCGATAGGTACTCAAAGTTCCCGTTCTCAGCTTGCGTAATTAGGTTAGTTGTTCGAAATGCGATGCTCTTTTGCTGTCAACCATCCGGTGATGCCAAGGAGACGGCAAGTGGAGAGGTTGGCGCGGTACAGTGTCTTATCGTACTGTACATTCCACACGGTGCCCCACATAAGTAGGTACCTATCCTTGGAGCTCCAGCTCACATCGGGAATTGAGAACATCTCACAAGACGACGCATAGCGCCAGTGAGACCAATGGCAACGCAACAAGATCTTCAGGAGCTGCTCCGACTCCTAACAGTCGGCCGCAAGCTGCCTATGATGCAAGCCATGAGCCAGATCAAAGCCCTCCAGGCTGTCAACCTGCGGAGGTAAGCCAAAGCTGCGTGCCCAAACTGCCTTCGCGATGGAAAAGCCAACCCGCAACCCCCCGAGCGCGGTAGCATCAAGCAGATTGCCGAAGCCCCACCCCCGACGGTAGAGTCGGCCATCAAGGACGCGAAGCAGGCCAAGTCCCTCCAGTCCGCCTGCAAGGCGGCGCTGGCGAGCCCCGGCTCGGGCGGGAAGCGCGGGGCGCCGAGCTCGGCGGCGACGCCGGCGACGCCGTCGAAGCGGGCCAAGTACCCGGAGGAGCCCAACGGTTTCATGACGGGCCCTGTGGAGATGACGCCGGAGGAGCTGGAGGGCTCGCTCGAGCTCCCCGTGCTCGTGGACGAGGAGCGCATTGGCCGGACGGCCCTGCAGACGAACCGCGCGCCTCTGGTCTTGGCGTTCGCTGCCGAGCTGCTGAGGTACACCATGCCGGAACAGCCGCCGTCCAGTCGGCTGTCTCTCGCGCAGGCGGTCGTGAGCGCCAATTCGAGGTCCAAGGCTGTAAGTCTTGGCTTGGAGAAGGGCCTCAGCGCGGACGACGAGGGGTGGGGCCAAGGCCAGCCGAGGGTGCGCATCATGGGTAGAGATGTTGCGGTCCTCAAGAGGGGCGGCTATGAGTGGAAGGGCGAGGAGACCGTTGGTGGCGAGGAAGGGAAGAGCGGGACTCGGGCTGAGACGACTGAGCATTCTGCTCCAGAGACTCAGTTTGCTTTCGAGCCTACTTCCGCCAGTGCGTGGTCTGCTTCTCAACCTCTCTCTTTGAAACAGTCAACTTTTATTGCGCGTACGACACATATTACCGACGCAGCCCAAAGACAGGGGCTCATACGTTCTCTACTCGACGCAAACCCAGCTCTCAAGTCAGCGACTCACAACGCATGGGCCTTTCGTCTTAGACTGCCTGGCGGAAACGGAGGCTCGGCCAGGATTCGTGAAGAGTCTTTCGACGATGGGGAGACTGGCTGCGGCGACTTAATGCTCCGGATTATGAGAGAAGTTGACGCGGTGGACACGATGGTCGTTCTGACACGTTGGTTCGGGGGAATCATGCTCGGCCCAGACCGGTGGAGGCTGATGAGGAATTGTGTCACAAGCGCACTTGCTGAGCGCCTAAGGAAGACAGGCGCTGCGGTGAGCATCGGTGGCGAAGCGGTTTGGGGACTAGATCTAGAAAACATGCGGAGCAAGGCGACTGTCGGAGGGTTTGGGAGCGGTACCCCGCAACACAGCTCTACTAGTCTTGGTGGGCTGCAGATTCATAGGCCAGAGGCCGCAAGAAGCTACTTAATGAAGAGCTTCGGGAGTGCACCATCAGCCGAGAGGCTGGCCGAGCACGACGACAACGACCAGCCCACCAGCCCTCCAGAGAAGGGCAAAAAGGGAGCCAGGGCTTCGAAGGCTGCGAAGAAGACACTAAAGGAACAGGGCGCGGAGAAGGAAGAGAACCTGGGCCTGCTCCTCGGGGCCTTGAGGCTACTCTTTGACAGCTGGGCGGATCATCTCACCACGGCAGATCTTGATCGAAGAGCATGGAGTTGGTATGTGGCTGTGCGACCAGAGGTCGAGAGCGGTCCGTCTGGATGGGGCGCCAAAGGCTTGCTCAGGCTGGAAGACATTCTAAAGCTCCGGCGGAAAGAACAGAGCTAATTCCTTGTAAACTACGTTGGGCCATGGTTGCGAAGAGCTATGGCGTTCAGGAACGATTCTCGTAAAGCAATTCGTAACCTTTTCTTCAAAGACCCGACGGCGCGTCGTCACATGGCTTCCTATACAATTCGTAGCCGTTTCAGTGGTAGATGTAAAAAGGCAACTCAATCGAACAGATAATTAATGGGAGGAACCATTGATTGGAGGGATTCATTTGGTAACACAGTTGTAACCGGAAATCAGCTCAAACGAACACTTTGACCCCTGCTCATCAGTCAGTTTGAAGCGCTCGTGACCATTTACAAATGCAATTGGATAGAGAAGTGAAACTTGATTAACCAGCCAGATCACGAGTGAATAAGGCCGATAATCTCGGCGCTTGTTCCAGTTCTGATGTTCTGAGTGGTAGCATGCAGGATCAGGGAATTGGGGTGGTTGCCCCGCAACCAGGTTAGTCGTCATTAAGTAAACAAGTAATTCCCCACCCCAAGGAGCTGCCGCCTGTGTCCACCCCAATTCCCCGTTTCCATTCCAAGAGACTTACTACGGCCACTTAAGACTCCGCAACTGTACTATCACCATACCGGCCTTGAACTCTCGTCTTTCTAGCGAGTACCAACCTTCTAAGTACTTCTTCTCCGTACTTTGTCGCCCGCAGAAGGGCCCGAAATTCAAACAGTTATCTGTCGCACCTAGTCAACATCTAACGGGGCTCTAAGCTCTGCGGGCACACCATGCCGGGCGCGACGACCGATGGGCCGACCGTCGCCCTTTCCTGTACGCAAGCAATCCATACGCCGTTGAGGTCGTTGATGTGAGGCCGCATCTGGCTAACTGAGTTCCCGCAGTTGCCAACAACTTCTGGGGCAAGGAAGACGCAGGCGTCGGCCCCCTCCTCGAGCGCATGCATGCGGCGAAACAGACATGCGATGAGTTACGAGCTTTCTACAATGGTGTGCACAGAGCCACGCCGAATGTCGATTCGTTGTGTCCACGCTAATAGCAGCCTAGCCCGAGCCTCGATCGAAGACGATTACTCCCGGAAGCTCTTGTCGCTATGCCGGAAGTCGCTGGGTTCCCAGGAGATGGGCAGCCTCAAGGCTTCGCTTGACGTGCTTCGTGGTGAAGTCGAGATGATGGGGAAGCAACACCAGAACATTTCAGCACAGATGAAGAGCGAGCTGGAGGAGCCGCTGGCTGCCTTTGCTGGGGGGATGAAGGAGCGGAGGAAGATCGTGCAGAATGGGATCGAGAAGCTGCTGAAGGTGAAGATACAACAAACTCAGATGGTGAACAAGGTAGGACGCGATGATGGTGAACCACCCAGGCAAAGTGTCATCTTGTGCTGACATGGTGCAGACCCGAGATCGGTACGAACAGGAATGCCTGAAGATCAAAGGCTACCTTGCTCAGGGCCACATGGTCATGGGCCAGGAGGAGAGAAAGAACAAGGCAAAGCTGGAGAAGACGCAGATTAGCCTCGCGGCGTCCAACACCGAGTATGAGAACGCGGTCAAAGCCTTGGAGGATACGACAGCTAGATGGAACCGCGAGTGGAAGGCCGCGGCAGACAAGTTCCAGGACCTCGAAGAGGAGCGTCTCGACTTCACAAAGAGCAGTCTCTGGACGTTTGCAAACATTGCCTCAACAGTTTGTGTCAGCGACGACGCTTCCTGCGAGAAGATCCGCCTGTCCCTGGAGAACATGGAGGTCGAGAAGGACATCGTCAACTTCATCAGGGACAGGGGCACTGGCCAAGAGATCCCCGACCCTCCCAAGTATATCAACTTCTGCCGTGGCGATTTTGATGCTCAGTCCGAAGTCTCGGAAGACGATAGTTACGCGGTGGCGCAGTTCCCACGGAGTATCAACCCTGCGTTCCGCTCGTCGTCGCCGCAGCCATCAACCTACGAGTCCCATCACGACCCGAACTCGACCCTCGCGAGAAACCTAGGTCACATCGACCCGGGGACTCCGCCTAGTCGCGAGGCGACAGCAACTCCACAGAAGTTGCCCGTGATGCCCCAACAGGAACCCGAAAGGTCGAGACAGAAGCCGCCGTCTGGCTATCAACCGCCGAGGGTCAACAATCTGGAATACGACCCTTCTGAGTTTGCTCCAGTCCCACATGATCCCTACCCGCTCGAGGGCATGACAATGCTTTGTCGCCCCTCGCGCCCAACGGCGGCCGATATGCGACCGACGGGCTCTGATTTGAGTAGCGCACCTTCGTCGCACCGGCCCTCTAGCAGAGACTCGCACAGCGAATACTCGAATCCGACCTCGTTCTCGAGCCAGGATCCTCCTAGCGGAAAGGTCTCACCGGCGGCCAGGCATGTGCCACAAGCTCCAGTTGTGGTGCACGAGACGAAACTTCTTAAGAAGAAGAGCGGCTTCTTCCAGAACCACAGTCCCTTCGGCCGCAAGAAGAGCATGAAGGAGGTTGCTGCTCCTGCCAACAGAAATGGCTACCAGGCTCCCAGTAGCCAAGGTCGATCTCAACCTCAGTTGCATGGAAGAGATAGGCAGAACTTGCTTCGGGAGCGGACCGCCAGCCCTGACCCCATCGATGCCAATGCCAGCTTGGCGCTGAATGTCGGGCAGAATGTGTTCTCGGTCCAGACGCCGGATCGCCAGCCGAAGTCGGCTGCACAGCTGCCTGCCGACGATGACCCCATTGCTCTTGCCCTGGCGGAACTGAAAGGTGTGACTGTCGGCAAGCAATCTACGATGCGAATGTCTGCTGATCATTACCACGGCATAGCGACCCCAGCCCCTGGGTCGCAACCCCTTTCACGATCAGTTCCTGTGCCGGGAGGCAACGGAGCCGTGGGAGCAGCCACACGAGGAACTCCGCCGCCGTCCTACGATCAGCAAGTCCAGAGGCTGGGAGTGCCTCCGCCGGCAGTAACATCCAAGGCCATGAAGGAGTCGTCCCAGAGGTTCCAAGAGCAGACGCGCAACATGTTCAGTCCCAACCGTCCCGGGTCCGGTGGTTACGGCGGCGGAGCAGCCATATCACGTCCGGGAACCCGAGGAAACGATATGCCGAGGGCTGCATCCCCGGCTCCACCCAGGAGCACATCCCCACGACCGGGATCAAGAGCCGACTACCAGCAGAGCCACCGGTCCGCATCGCCAAATCCCTACAGCGGCAGCCAGAGGGGCGCGTCTCATGCGTCCGTGACTCCCAAGCGTGGCTCCGACCAAGGATACCGCCATGCCTCGCCCAACGACATGGCTCGCTCGGCCTCGCCGTCCCCCTACGGCGGCGGCAGAGGCGATTATGGCCGATCTGGAAGCCGACCTCCTGTAAGTCGGCCAGGTAGCAGCCATGACATGGCAATCCAGCTGGCGGCAGGACCAGAAGAGAATTACGGATCTCAGCGGGGGCGACACGGCAGGTCGAACACCAGCTCGGGATCCAGGGCGATGAGCTTCTACGAAGGTAGCGGGGCTATGCAGCCAGCCCCGAGACAGCGCAGCAAGAGCATTGTGGATCCGAGCCGCCAGTACACCAGAGATGGCCGTCCTATTCTGCACTTTGGTAAGCTCCCTTCCGCCTCTTTTGCTTTGAATACTTAGTGGCTGACCTAAATCATCACCCTAGCACGGGCTGCCTACATGTACCAAGCAGCCATCCCCGAGGAGCTTAGCTTTGGCAAGGGAGACGTCCTGGCTGTCCTCCGCCATCAGGACGATGGGTGGTGGGAAGCCACAGTGCAGGGAGGGAACGGGCATATTGGGCTGGTTCCCAGCAATTACTTGCAGCGCCTGTAAGAAAGGATGGAAGGAGCGTTGAGACCTGAGTCACAGAGTCTGCGCCATGTTGCCCATGTCAAAGCATCAAAGGGGAGTTGGGTCTAGGCCTGCTGCATATAATCTTTGACCTCTTTGTATTTCGATCTGGAACTTCTTGTTTAGGTTCTGTTGCACTGGGAAATGCATGTTTCGAGTGATGTACCTCTCGGCTTCAGGTACATACCTGGTTACGCACAAATTGAATGATGGCTTTGGGGTATCTATTAATATGTGTTCGCGAGACGCTCCTAAGTTCTTTCCAAACTTCTTCCAACCTGCCTAGTTTCTTCCAGTTTCTTGTGCCTAGATAGAAGGCAATCCGATACCTACGTACCTACCCACTTGCTGCTGGTGGGCCAGAATGGATGGGCCTGATGGGGAAGTGGCGGCAGACCCTGGGCTGGGGAAGTGGGGGCTGCAAGTGGCTGGGACACCACCACCACCAGTGACATACCAACCGATGACGAGACGCAGGTGCCATCATCAGGACCACTGGCATGTGGCCGAAGCTTTGTTATTTGTAGCTCCCTCCATGGCGGCAACTCTGCCAACGCTTCGAGCTTCACAACTATCCCCGCTGCAGCTGTGAGCAAAATCATACCAATTGGCATTCCCACTTCTAGCAACATGGTAAGGCGGGACGCTTGATTTGCTCCTAGTTACGCGCTAACATGTGATTGCTGGCGCAGGACATCGCCCGCGAGGGCGACTCGCCCAATATCAGGACCGCGAAGAGGTCTTTGCTCAACAGTATCCTGGTGGCTATTTCCTTGGTGTTGCTCTACGCTTTGGCGGCATTTGCCTACTTGCTCTTCTACCAAAACTACCTGCCCGACCAAATAACTACTGTTCCGATACACTTGCAATATGGGTATTTGCACCCTCACCCACTAAGTTCCTCGTTCCAGCCGTGCAAGCCAGGGGTGACTGACAAAACCGTTACCGAACAACCCAACAGATACGGCCAACACCCATATGGCATTGCCTCCCTGGAGGCTAAGAATCTCAAGGACAACCAACTCTACGACATCACCGCCTCGCTGACCCTGCCTCGCTCCCCCGCCAACCTCGAGCGGGGCAACTTCATGGCCGCCATGTACCTGCTCGATCGCGACGGCACCGCCCCGCCTAAGAAGCCGGAGACGACCGCGGCTATGTTAAAGCCTGTGGAAATGCCAGGCTCCCTGGAGATGCCATACCTGCTCACCAGCCCCTTTCCCGACCCTCTTCGCCTCTTTTCTGACCGGCGAATCCTGCACGCCTCAAGGCGGCCTGCCCTGATCCCCTACGCGGACCCGCTCGTCTCGCGGGCCTCGCGCGTGCTCTTCCTACTCTACTACCTGGCATTCCCGCACATCGCCGAGAGTACGGTCCTGGAAATTCCGATGGCCGAGGGCGTGTCCTTCTCCTCCGGCGGCGGCAGCGGCCCCCCGCCGATCCTCTTCCCCAGCTCCGTGTTCATCGAGCTGCGAGCCGGCCAGGCACTGCAGGTGTATGAAGCGTCGGTGACGTTGAGAGCCCGGCTGACGGGTCTGCGGTGGTTGATGTGGCAGTACCGCATTGCCACCTTCTTCGTCCTGACGACTGCCTTCTGGGCCTGCGAAGTCCTCTCCGCCGTGGTGATGTGGATGGCGCTGAGCAGCCTGGGTTCGTCGTCGTCGTCGTCGTCTCCGATGCCGGCGCCGGGTCCCCGGTCGCTGCTGGAGATGCTATCGGAGGGCGAGGACAGCACTGAGACCGAGGGGGGGAACAAGAGCAAGGCCAAGAGGCACGCCAAGGTCTTGCGGAAGGCGAAGGATAAGGCTAAAGGCGTGGAATGGGGAAGAGGCAAAGACTTCATGATGGCGCTCCCGGCGGACATCAAGCGCGACGAGATCGATGGCCGCAACGACCCCTTCCCCACCGACGCTCGTGGCAAGGATGTCGAGGACAGAGCCACCGCCGACGCCCCTCATAAGGAGGACAAGGACAGCGACTCCGCCGACGCTCCTCATAAGGAGGACTCGGGGCTTAAGGGTCTCCACGCAGCCAGGCTGGCGGACATGTCGCCCTTCACATGGGCAGATGCCTATGTCGACGACGAGAAGGATGAAGGGTATGTGGGCATGGGGACAGGTTATAGCGCTGATGAAAGAGTGATATCTCGGAGACAGCCGCTCACCCCGTGGGCGACCGCTTCGGCGGGGTAGCTTGGTTTCCTCTTTACTTTTTCATTTTTTCTCCCCCAGCGAATGTGTATCTTCGTGTTAATCTCCTGGTCTCTTGTGTTGTTTCACAAGTACAAGCTTACAGGAGCGGGCTGTGGACGTGGGAAAGTGGGCGTTATGGGAGTATTTGCATTTCTAGAACGATTTGAAGAAATACCCATATGGCTACAAAAGACGTGTAATCTACTAGCTACTACTCATGCACTTGTTCCAAGTCTAGGCTGCCTGACTGCGAGTAAGCTTCTGGATGGATAACCAAATATTGTTATTTCGAATATCAGTTCGATGATTACACTCCCTAAATATGCGGGCCACTTATTGCTGGGCAACAACCTCCAAGCTCGTGTACCTAGTTCGGGAACCAAAAGCGAAGGGGGGCAAACAAAACGAAAGGATAAGAAACAATCCAGCTTCGACTCCCAACACAGCCGCCAGGACATCCTCACTGTCAATGTTCTTCGACCTTGGTAGGCTCGACCTCGTCATGCCGTTCGTCCACCCGGAGGGTTTCCTCCACCACCGGCTCGCCGGCCATGTTGGTGGCTAGGGACTTGGTCTCCTCGACCCCGGGCTCGGGCTCGGCTTGTGCTTCCTCGTCCTCTGGTTCTGGCGAAACGGCTCGCTCTTCGGCCCTCTGCTCCGACGGAGGGGCTTCTGGTCCCTCGTTGTCGCCCTGCTCTGGCGACTTGTCTTTGGGCCTCGCCTCATCGTCGGGTTGCCGTTCCTCCCCTTCCAATTCGGCTTTCTCCCCGCCTGGCTGCGTGGTATCTGGCGAGGCTGCTTTCTCCGGTGAAGCTGCTTTCTCCACAGCAGCGCCGCCTCGGCCGCCGCCCATGTTGACCTCGCCACCCTCAGGGTCGATTTCATACACTGTGGACGGCAGGGTGAATGCCAGGGCCGGCTCCACCTTGGGGACCGTCGCGGGGCTGGGGCTCTTGGCCGGGGCTCTCCGCTGGGGGCCCCTCGCACGGCCCTTACGCGCGTCGCTCAGGGGCACCTTCTCCTTAGGTTCGACGAGGCTCTCCTCTGCCGCTGGCGGCTCTTCCTTCTTGGGTGCCTGGGGGCCGAGGCCGAGCTTCTTGTTGAGGTCGCTCATGAAGCCGGCCTGCAGGGCCGCGAGCTTCGAACCCATGGGCCTGGCGGGGACGGCGGGCTTCCGCTTCGGTGGAGCCGCGGCCTCCCCTGGTTCTAGACCGCCGGATGTGGGTCCGGCCACGACGGGCCTGACGGGGATTTGGGGCTTGGGTCGGTCCGGGATCGTCGGAGGGCTTGGCGAAGATAACGTTGCTGAACGGTTGGAGGTTACGTCATCTTCGCTCGACGACTGCTTCGGCTTGGGTCGCTGTGGCACTGCCGGCCGTTCTGAGACGGGCGATGGATCTGTGGGCTTCCTTACTGGGCGTGCAGGGACTTCAGGCTTGGATTCAGCGGGAGAATCGGCATCGAGGTCCCTTTGGGGGGTTGAAACTGTGGTCTCCAGCCGCAGGCTGTCAGGCGTATCCTCCCACACATCCCGGCTGGGAAATCTTCGCGCTGGTGACGGGCGTGCCTTCTCGGCCGCAAGGTGGGACTGGTGGTGGGCCCATATCGGCTTCTGTCCCTCCTTATTCGGCGGAAACGAGTCTGCCCCGTGTCGGCGAAATTCCTTCTCCGCTAGCTGTTCCTGATGGCGGGCGAACGCCTGCGCTGGAGTTTCACCGTCCCGGGGAGGCGGGGAAGTGGTTATTGCGGCCTTGGCAGACTCTTCAGAGACATCTGGAGTGGAAACGTGGGCGGTATAGTACACGCTGTCAGGAGCATCTTCCCAGATATCGCGACTTGGGAAGCGTTGCTTGTGAAGCTTCTGGGTCTTGGTTTTTGGCTCCTCTGTGGGCTTGGTGGTGTCTGCCTTTGCGTCGTCCGGGAACAGTGGCTCGTACTCTTCGACGTCTTCGAGCGGAGTTGACTGATGCTCCATCGACGTGACCCTGTATAGACTGGGCCGGCTGGACGGTCGGCTAGTGCCCTCCTCTGCCTCGAAGGCGCCTGGGGGCGGCTCAACTGCAGGCTGATGGTCGTACGGTGAAGGGTGCTTGCGGACCTCGTCTTCAGCCAATATGGGAGTGCTGTAAACATGCTCCTCACCAGCGTCGTTGGGCGTCTCCTCACTGAATATCACAGACCTACGGCCGGGCTCGTCCACGTGGATGGCTCCGTCCTCAGAGCTTCTATGTTCGCTGAGGTTTGTATGTGGGACGGTGGTTTCTGGCTGGAAGCTCTGCTTCAAAGGAGACTTCATGTCTGCGGGTTGGGAGCTTGTGGGAGCCGCATGTGATGCCGACTCCTCAATGGCTTGCCAGCCGACCTGTTCGCTGGGGGTTCCAATGTGTTCAGCGGATGCTCCTAGATGTTAGTGTACAGGAAAGAGGATCGTTGGGCCATTGAATCTCACCGTAGCCAGGCCCTTGGCTGGCAGTATCCCGGACAATATTGTTGAGATCCTCACTGCTCATCGAGAAGTCGTAGGGGCGATCGTGGTGGTGGGGAGTGAACTCCCTCTTGAGCAGGTGGGGGTTTTTCTCAAAGTAGGCTTTCTCCAACCGGTCCTGGGGCACCAAGCCGTGGCCATGTAAACCGTAGCTGCCCGGCGGCAGGCCGCCGAGACCCGAAGTCCGTCGAGTGTGGTTTTTCGACCTCCGGCCCTCGGGCATTCCCGAAGTAGGAGGAGCTGGAGAGGGGGCCTGGACATCTCCAGCATCGGGATACATTGGGACTTGCTGGCCGATCTCAGGAATGCCTTGCTCGTCTTCGATATGGCTTTCGGGGGTCGACCGCTGGCTGATGGTACTTGCCTTCTTCCTCAAGCTGTGGTTCGACGATGGGCCGCGCTGCTCTTCGCTACTCGGCCTGCCGATGCCAAACGAGGCGGCCTTGTCCGAGTCTGTCCTGGTGACAGTCATGACTCTCTGCTTTGCGCTCTGGGCAGGTAGGGAAGGTCTTGGTGCATGCAGCTTGAGGTCTTGGCCGACGGTATGTGTCTGCTCGGGGCTGAAGTTCTGCTCGCGTGGGGTGTGTAGCTCATCGGTCAAGAGCTCATATTCCCTACCCTCCTCGCCGACCGAGGGCAATTCGACGGATTGAGGTCGGTCAATAGGATCGCCATGTTGGCCGGTGCCGAAGCGGCGCGCATTCGAACTCTTCGACTGGAAGGGGCTCTCGTTGAGAGGCGACGGGGCAAAGCGGTCGGGATTTGGGGAGAGAGAGCGGTCGATTCGGCGGTTAAAGGGCCTCGGAGGGATCTTTGGCATCGAGTCCCTATCTTGACTCCTAGAAGGTCGAGGAGGAATCGCCGGCGGTTGTTGTTTCGTCGCAGCAGACATTTTGAAGGCGTTGGGGAAGGGGTCGCAGAGCTCGAACACACAGAAGTTTGGAATACGAGGGCGTCACGATGATGCCTTCTGAAGGGATGTGATGACAGATATACTGCTCTCTTCCTCCCAACGGGGTTAGCAGGCGGTGGAAAGATGCGGTGAGCAGGTTCAATAATGAGTTTGAAGCCAGATACGAGATAAGAACACGGACGACGACGTCAAGACGCAGAGACTCATCCCTAGACTGGGATTTATGTGCCAATGCATGCAAGTTAAGGGCCAACCCATGCCAGGGGAACCATGGCGTAGAGATAAGGCGTAAGTTGCCAACGTCTAAGCTCCGCTGTCATGATAAGCACGTCCGGATAGCAGCGATAGACGAAACTGGCCCTGGACAGATGATGTGGTTACATGACTGGAAGTCCAGAAGCGTCTTCCCCGTCTACTCTATATACCAAGAACTAACGGAGTGGCACTGGAAGAGGAAGATGGGAAACACGAATTGACTGAACATTAACTGGGCAGACCAGCTTACCTGTGTCTTGGACACTCCTCTGAGCGGGTTGATGAACTAGACGAAGAACCAGAAAAGATAGGAAGAATGGGTTTAATTGAGTGAGTTGATGGACAAAGGAACAGTGAGAGGGAGAGGCAAGCTCGGATCTGGTTCAGTGACGAAGCTGTTGATGAAACTAGCCGGGCCTGAGCCGGGCGGGAGTCTTGACCACTTATATCGCTGGTATTAAATGCCCGCCTCCTCCGTCATCAGGTACTCCCGATGTTGGGAAGTACATATACCTACCTAAGGTGGTTGCTCCGCTGCGACTAGTGTACGACATAGCTCCTCCATTGCGTGGTCTAGCCTCTCGTGGCGCATTGTCCCTCGATCTGAGAGTGTGAAATAAGAATTCTGCCAGGCACGAGACCTCCCTTGTTGGAGATTCCACACAGGATATGGATAGGGACCTACCTGTACCTACCTACCTAACCTACCTGAGGTAAGCTCTGACAGTCACTCTCAGCTCGGGCCTCCAAGTCTCGACTGTTGCTGCACGCAAAGACCTGGATTTCTTGAACTCAAGGGGCTCCAAACTCTGAAGCATACATTTTGCCTTCCGTGCCACCCCTTTCCACTTGACCTTATCCCAGCCATTGAATACCAATCGGTGATCGATCTGGGCTGGCCTAACAGGAGTTGCGTCAACACAGTGAGGAAAGGGTACTCCTCCCACCAACCCCACCACACTACCCCACCATGATAGGCGAGGGGTTAAGCCAGACAGACCATCACGCTTCCACTCGCAGTGGAAGGGCTTCACGACCGCTCCGTTACTATGTATGCTCTTGCTGCTGCTGTGTACAAATACCGTTCGTCCACCGTCCTAAAGACACTCTTAGCAAGGCAAACACACCATCCAATGGCGACCCATCTCGAGCCCATGATGCGTACATGGTAATTAGGTAGAGCTAACAATGGCGGCAAGTCGTAAGGCCTATCTATGCCCAACAAATCATACAAGGTAATCCCTTCCACATGACTGGCAAACGGCCAACGAAGCGGAACCCAGCGTGATCTCCTGTTTCCCAGGTTCTCCTAACAATAGGGTTAATGACGCCATCACTGTGGGTTTCCTGCGCCGTGCTACACAGTAGTCTTATCTTCATAGACCCTGGAACAACAAAAGTAGTCGTAAAAACCAACCCTTATGCCTTCCCTCCCTAGCAACGTACTCGAAGCGGGAGGAACAAAAAATAAGCAAAAAATGAGGGCTCTGCCGGAATTGAACCAGCGACCTGATGAAGACATCACTGCAGTCATCCGCTCTAAGCCACTGAGCTAAGAACCCTTTTTGAAGGAAGGTTCTAAAACACAGCCTATATACTAGACCCCCCCACATCCAAGCACAGATCAGCTACTCGCAGAATTTGGAACAGAAGATCAATCCAGCATCGAGCCCGAAACCTCCTGACGCGTGGGACCAACCCACATCCCATTGAAAGAACAGTTGGGCACGTAGGTACTTCCATGATACATCCGTAGTGCAAGCCCAATGGGCCTAAAGGTGAGACTCTTGAATCTAGGTACGCTTAAATCATGTGGCCTCGGTCACGGGACACCTTGGTACGTATCGATTCTGGCGTTGACGTAAAGATACCTCCATGTACGTACCTACCTACTCTGCCGTGTGAGCCTATGGAGGCGGGAACCTATGGTACCTACCCGTAGGTAGTTAAAAGCAAAGACGCAGATTTGTTCTTACATGATAAACCGCCGCGCTTCTCGGGGACGGTGATGATCCAGACAGTTAGGAGGCGGGTGGGCTGGTTGGAGACGCTATACAGAATTGCAGATGCATGTATAGTGTCCAGTAGGTAATTTACACCAAGCAACATCTCGCCGTAGCCTCCAGAGTTGAAGGTATGGTAACAATGCAAGGCACCCGATCCATTGAACAGTGATGAGGAGTGGGATCCTAACGGCCCTTCTCCGTACCTATATATATACAGTCATCCCCCAAGGCAGGGGTATCAATCACACTCGCGCAATGAGAAAACATCCATGAGAGATGGAGAAAAAAAAAGTTAGCAGGTCAGCTAAGAACCTGTCCACAAGCCGTTCGACGCCGTAACCCTTACCGAAAATGCTGGCCACTGCTAATTCTCCTCCGTCTAGTCGGTTGAGGAGCTGATATATCCTTCGTTCCTCCTTCGTTCCTAGTTGAGCCCTTTTCAGACACACTCGAGGCTGTCCTCGGTACCAGATCTAGTATCCTCTGCGATAATCCACTTAACTCAGTTTCTTCTCTAGGGAGTTTCCCCCTCCCTTTCTCCTTGTCCGCGTGGGTGTTACCACGCTTAATCGTTCTCTGTCGTGTTCCAAACACAACCGTTGATCTTGTTTGTGTCTCCGCCCTCTCGTCTCTCTCGCCCCCCATCCTTCCTGTCAAGCCCCTTCCCACTTCACCACAGCTAGGCGCCGTAGCCTCATACAATCATCTGCGCAATGCCCGCTCCACCCAGGGTCTTGCTTCCGATAAAGGCCTGGCCCTTCGCACCGGCGAGGAGGTAGCAGATGGCCGTCAGGGAGAGGAAGACGGCCGCGGCGATCAGGCTGGTCGCCCGCTGGATGAGCGACAACCACTGGACGACGGCCATGATGGCGTAGGCGGCCGCGCGCATGTAGTTGGTCGAGATCCGGCGGATGAAGGTGTCGAACCCGGCCGAGGTCGGACAGATGCGGAGGAGGAGCGGGACTTCGATGAAGAGGATCACGAACGAGAATACCCTGTGATAGGAAAGCAGGCGGCGCATTAGCAAAGATAAAGGGGAAAAGGTACTTGGAGAATCGGCCTGATGTGGGTTTGGAAATTGGCTTGGCATTCTCGGAATGATGCCAGGTTGCGGGTTGGTTAAACTTACAGGCAGATAATACTAATGATGAGTACCAGGATGAAGACGGTGAAGATATTGGCGATGCCGAGGGCAAAGCACAGAATCATTGATAGGATACCGAGCCTGGGAGAACCAGCGGGTCAGCAACAGCGTTCGTCGTCGACGAACCCCCTTTGCGATTCGCAACGGCACGGGATTGACGGGTATCCAGCCAACCAGGCCGCAGAGCATCTCTCTTCATCCCTGAGGATGCCATAATCGCTTCCAATTCTGTTGATCCGGGGAGCTCACCATTGTCCATAGATACCTAGGAACCATTAGCAACCTTGATGCACGGAAGAGCCGGTCGGATGGTAGCAAGACATACTGAAATTGCGCTGTGCGAACTCCTCTTTCAACGTCATCTTGCGGTATGTGTCTTGAGCAAGCGCCCCGTGTCGTATAGCTTATTCTTGTTGGTTCTGAAGAGAATAGATGCTGCGGTTCGATGGCCAGCCGGAGCTGACGTATGCGGAGCTCGGCGCGAGCTTCTTAATGGCTTGCTAAGGGAGGAATCGGCAGGCGCGTAGGGAGGATGTTCGCTCTCGGATAGGCTGAGGATTGGCTTTCTAAATGCGATCGTGGTCGAGGCTGTTGCCGGGGAATGAGCGCATGTGGTCTGTGGTGGCACGACTGGGCGATGTTTGTTCAAAGGTAGCAACGTTGTCTTTTTGGAGTCAGATCCGGAAGAGAGGCCTTGTCCGAACCCGCAAAGGTGATTGGGTTACCAGGGTCCCCACCTTGTTGACAGGGATGGGAATGGAGGATGGCCGGCTCGAAATTTTGGGCTGGGTCTTTGGATCGAAACAAGTTCCCAAACACGGAATGCAGTTGCGTTGCTGAGGCGGCAGCATAGATCTGAGGGAGGGATACGATACAAGCGACGGCGATCCAGCCAGCTTTTTCCATCAAGAGGAAGCAAATACTATGGGCTCAAATATCATGCAAGCCGGTCCAAAGTAGATATATAATAGAAGCCGTCCCAGGCAGCGACTTTTCACTAGGGGCAAATGTTGGGAGTCTTACGTGGCTGCCACGCCTTCGAAGCCAGGGCCGTCGCAATGCTTCCACTAAAGTTTACCATTAGTGTTAACTACTGCTTGAATCGCACAACCTTTGAGAATACAGCTTCCATATCTAAATTGGCAATCAAGGGCTGAAAACAGTCTTCTCAAAGCTCTACCTAGATTGGCCCCCCATCTATAAGGGGCCTTCCGAAAAGCAGGCAACGTTCCCATTCAGTCACCAGGAGGGCAAGATATGCAAGTACCCTTTCCCCTCACCTCGAGCCATCTGGGTATTCATCACAATCGGTGGCTCAACTGTAGATCAACTTGAAAATGTCGTTGAACACGAAATACTGCTGAGACGCGTCTCTGAGCAGCTGGAAGACCTGGGAGTAGTTCATGGGGCGTTGCTCCTCGTCAACCTATCGAGTTGTGTCATTAGATGAGTACGGTCCGATTTTAAGCTTCATAAGGATCCATACCAGGAGTTGTCCGGTAACCAAGATCAGGATACCGCCTTCGACAGTTGGCTGCGCATCAAGGGTGGACACTTCATGCTTTACTTTCTGGAAAGGGAGAGACTATGCCGAGGGTGTTAGGGCATGACCACCAGGATCCCGGAGGAGATATGCATCTTACGGCAAGCTTCTCGACGATGGAGTTGGTGCCCATGACCGAAGCCGACTCGAAGGTGAGCATGGACTGCTCTCGCTACGCATCCAATGTTAGCGACACTGATACGCCTCTGTTCCAGGCCGGCGTCTACCCACGTAAAGTGATCCGAGGTTCTTGCGGTCGGCATCGAAGGTGTTGTAGTAGAACTCGACGAATTGCTCTGTAAAAACACCACTTTAGCACAATCGCCTTGTCTCCCTTTCGGAAAAAAGGAGGATCAGCCTTGTGCTGCTCGAGCCAGTTGGTCAGACTTACTCGCGATAGTCTCAAAATCTGAAGCAGCACAGGTGAGTTAGCAATCCAGCGCGAAATTGAATGGGCGCAATGGCGGGGTATTGAGGGGAGCTTGTCGACGTACCGGTTGCCATCTTGGGCGGTTTGCGATCAAGGCTTGCAGGGAGACTTTTGGAATAAAGTGTCAAGAAAAAACCGCTGGCAACACGGTTAGGTAGATAGATGTCTTCGGACGGCAGTAGGCACCCGAATGAGTTGATGGTTGTCCAGGCTGTTGACGATGGGAGCTGGTAGGAGTTAGGCTCTTTGGCCAGCAAAACAAATGGCGGGGCTCGCACATTGTCTGCGGGAACTTGAGAAAGGATTATGTAATCTTGGTGCTACCAAGGTTGCTTTCTTTTTTTCCCAATTGAAATTCTCTCTTTCTCTTCCCCAATCTCCGACAACCCAGCTTCATCCAAAAACTTTGCCCACTCAAACATAGGTACTATGTAGACACAAGGTATGATATTCCATGTTTGCTCCTTATTCCAAATCCCCTTCTATGATGACACACTCTTCTTCACCTTTTCTGAAGTTACTATACTATGTTGATATTTCAAATATTTCAAGCTCAACAGTCTGATTCAAGCTCTATCTCAAAACGTTCTGCAATGCATGCTTTTGCTTGGCCTTAGCTAACATGCAATACAGGAGAACCATACCTTTCCCCTTCTCAATTCGACGACCACTTGGTCTGACTGCCTAACCTCGAGAAGGACAAGCGGGAATGCAGTGCCGGCACTTCCTGGGATGCATCTTGTGAGACGCTGAATGAATAAGGGGCTTTAAGGCAAAATGGCAACAGAGCCGAATGGGGCCGAGGTGCCCTTACTACCAATGCAAGATTCTGGCATCGTGAACAGTAGTAGGCTCCAACCTACTTCTGTCATGCTTAGCCTGGCCTAGGAGGGGAAACACCGGCATACTATCCTCAGCAAAGGATGCTCACCAATTCCAAGGAATTCCTGAAGCCATGGAGCTGTGGCTGAAGTGGTAGGTATGATGTTCTGGTGGAGGTGTGTGCATATGTGAATTGGGGATGCCGATAACTTGCCCAATCGCAAGTGCTGATTGTGGATGAGAATAGACATGTAGCCTTCTGTTTCAGTTCTGGCACATGCCACTGTGTACTTTCTTGCGACTAGCTACCACGATGTTGGGAACCGATTACCATGGAAACAAATAAGTGCAAATCCCTTTGGCAACAGAATTCCGAGACGTGATCTGAGATGTATGTTCTTTATTGGAAGACTCCTTAGTGCCACGTGAACCTAGAGCCAACTTGGACAGGCCAACGGCTGCTCTAAGCAGATGCAGAGATCTCGGTCAGTGGCATTGAAAGACTACAGGCTATGTAGCAGGTTGTCTGAGAGGTCATCGCCTTAATAGGTACAAGGATATTTAGTGAATACAAGTTGTGAGACTGCCGCAGACGACTTAGCAGGTGATGTTTGACGATTCTTCATGTATCTCTGGCACCTAGGAATTTTGTGTTGTTTTCGGACCTGGCTACTCCTATCCTCCCTCAACACCCTCCTCCCCCTCACACCTCCATCCTCTTAACCCACAATGCAACAGCGCCGAATATGCCATCAGGCCAAAATGCCGAGGTGCCAGCCGTGACCGCCGTGACCCCAAGGACGTTAATCTCGCTGTTGGACTACTCATCCAAGTACCAAAGATAGGAGGCCAAAGAACTACCGTCAGCATAGCCACTGGTCCCCAAGACACATCCTGGGCCCAGGTCGCCGGGTAATGTTCTGAAAACCACCCCTTTTCGATCCTATCAAATATTGATCTGCCAACAAGGGGATCCAAGCTGTGCTTCGTCTCAGGAGATAGAGTATGCTTTATCTCCCCCCACCTTAGACGTGGCCAAATCATTTGAAAGCCAAATATAGACTTGTACATTGGGCATCAAGGGTAGGTAAGCAAGTGGATTACCCCCCAATCCTCTTGACCAAATCATAGCTCTTCCTCAATCTCATCAGTCACCGCCGCCGAAGAAGGCTGCTCCTTGCTCTGAGCTGCCTGAGCCGCCTCAGCCTTTGCCAGAACATCGCCGAGTCCTGGGGGAAAACTCCGGGGCTGGCTGGGCTGGCCATTGTCGTCGATGCCGGACACGCTGGGACGGGCTTTCTTCATGGGGCTGCCAATCACCGTGTCATCCGGTAAGCTCCGGCCGAATAGTGAGGCTGATGACAGACCGGGGGTTGGTTTCCTCCCCTCTGGAGGGGTGCTATCACCACCAAAAGGTCCGGCACTTGGGGACATGCCGGGACTCGCGCTGGCGCTGTCCTGGTCTGCATCATACGCTCTCTTAAGCTGGATTCCCAGTGGTATTAGCTGACATATCAGGGAAGGCCGGAATGGGACAATTAAGAGGGCTTACCTTGATGCGATTGACACCGTCAGCAAGCTCGCCAGAGAACTCAGCTTCCTCGGGGCCGAGCGGTTTGGACTTGACGTCCTTATCGTCAAGATCCTCCATCTTGCCCAGGATTTCGCTATCATCGTCGTCATCGTCGCTATCCTCGTCCATCGTGCTTGGAAGACCACCATTGCTCTTCTTCCGCAATTTCCGCTGCCTGGGGGCGGACTCGGTATCACGATCCCGGAAGGTAGAAAAGCCCACGGTCCCAGTCGTCTTCAGGGGGCCCAGGGTTGAGAAATCCAGCTGACCGGATCGTCGCTTGATGGCAGCAGGAGTAGCCTGCTGTGTCTTTGAAGACGGCAGCACGCCCATCTTCTGGAGTTGACCTGCACAAATCGAACAGTGAGTACGGTCTCGAGGCACGGTGTTACGTGGGGTGACTTACGCTCGCCACGGTAGAAGAAAGTAAAAGTGGCATAGGGCTTCTCGGGGCCGTCGATGCCCGTCACTGTCTGCGTGCTTATGGTCTTGGGGTCAAGCGTTTTCGGCTTGGCAAAGCTGGTGGTGTGCTCGACGTCGGCGTCAATGGCGTTCCCGTTGTTCCGATTGCCGCCTTCGGACTCGTCATCGTCGTCGTGGGCATCGAACTGCGGCGAGTATTCCCCCTTCTTGATTTCGCCCGACGCAATGACACGGAACATGGCAACCTTGATCTGGCCAGTGGCCTCTGGGGGCTCGTCATCCGACTCGGACACGGAATCGTCTTCGTCAAAGACTGCTTCGACGGGAGACCCGTCATCCGTGCCGTACCTCAACGTATCTCGGGGTCCTCCCGCCTTATCCGTATCCATGTCGGCCCCCCACTCGGTTAAGCTCTGCTGTCTTCGGCGTCTCCGCTCGAATTTTTGCCTGCGGCGCTCGAGTTTCTCCGCAGCGTCGTCTCCTTGCAAGTCCAGCCCGTTCAGCCACCTCTCGAGACCGACTTCTCGGAACAGGAACTCCCGCTCGGCGAGACCTCCACCCTCGGAGTCGGGCACCTGGACCCACCTACTATTCACCCAGGTTTCCTCACCAGGGCGCAAGAGGGTGGCCACCTCCTCCTTACCTCGTCCGTCAAAGTATATGTAGGCGGCAATGGTCTCGTTGTCATTATTGGTCATGGGGATATAAGGGTTGACCACGCCGTGGTACTTTCCCCGCTCTCCCGTGGAGGAAGGTAGAGTGCCGACGTATTGCGGCTTGGGCTGCGGGTTCGCTTCGGTGGTCCGCGGGGTCGAGTAGGGGATCGCGAGGCCCGGGGTGAGGAGAGTAATCGAGATGGCGAACTTGGCTGGCTCGGGTTTGTTGGAGTCGGCATTTAGTTGGGGCTGCGGGACGGGAATGTACGTGTTGATTCGCGAGACTCGGGACTGCTTCTGTATGCCATACTCGGCCAGCGGCGCCCCATTGGCATGGATGCTTACTGCGATGCCCTTGAAGCAGGGCATGATTGCTGGTGTTTGGATGCTTAACAGGGCAATCGAGTGTTTGAACCGACAGGATATCTCTAGACGAGCAAGGCGGTGGGCGTTGTGCTTGTGCTGGACCCAGGGTTTTAGGAAGGGATAACAGGCCGGTATCTCCAGTGGGAAGCCAGCGTAGGTCTCCAGTAAGCAGGGCAAGCCCGAGAGACTTGATTGGGGGCTGGTATTGATGGAGATATGATGTTATCGACGCTTTGGTGCTCGACTCAGGTTCAAGGCGAGAAAGGCATGTCCCGAGGCAGGTGAGCACCTGGAGGAGCAAAGTGCCGGCGAAGACGGGAAAGAGGCTGTGGGAGCTCTCCGCTTCGGATGATCTCAGTTCAGAATTATTGCTGCATGAGGCTGAAGCGAGAGAAAGGTCGGGCTTGGAGATGAGATGCTGGGCTGCTCCGAGACCGACACCGTCGATGGGAAATGGCGCACAGGCCACTACAAGGTCCCCGCGCCGGGCGATTTGGCTGTCAGGCACCACGGGAGTCTGGGAGATTATAGGCTTGCTGACTAACCTAGGTTGCTTAACATGGATGCTGTTCAAAGCTACCTAGGAGGGAGGTAGGTATGTGAATGGATAATAGCAGCTTTCATATTGGATGAAATAATTCACAGGAACAGTCCAGCTAGCGAATTGGGTTAGTCTATCTTGCTCACTCCTACTCAGAATCCTCTGGCGGCACCCATAACGAAAACCCGTCTTTATCCAGCTTCATGCCCTCAGTCGGTATGACCCGCAGTACCTTTTGGAAGTACTTGTCCCTCACAACCAGCCCCGGCTTGATCCATGCTCCCCTGACCAAGGGCAGAAGGCGGTATGTTTCAGACCTTCGGGAAACAGGCAGCAGGTGTAGAGTAGTCTGCTTCGCGCCGGAGAAGGCAAACTCGTCGCTCGGCTCCATCGTCAGCCCGAAGGTCAGAAAATGGTTGGACGGGTTCTCGATCACCACCTCCAAGACCACGAGGTGATGGGGCTCTTTCAGGTACGAAACCGATGCGAGGACGCGCGGCTCTGGGCCCAAGACGTTGAGCCGCGGGACCGGTAGAACTGTTGTGTTGACTGCCGCGGTCGACTCTGCACCGAGGCGGGTCCATTTGATGATGAATGAGACATCTAGACTCGCTACACCCCGGTCGTCAAGGCTATTCTTTTGGGCCACGATGTTGAAGGCGGCCTCCTCGATCGTCTTGGGCCTAACCTGCCGCCCGCCGTCCGGCACGTGGTCCTTCTTGGTTGTAAAACAACGTACGTTGGGAGGCGCGTGGATACTGAGATCCAACCCTGTGACCTTTAAGCCTTCAGACGCAAAGGATGCGTATCGTGTTATAAGGCACCAGGCTTGCGACAGACCCTTGGGCGCGATGGCAGTATTGTCTTCTCCGCTGATATCCTGAATGCCCTCGTAATCGAAGAGACTTGGCCAGGGGTCAGGATGTAGACGGGGGAGAAGGTCGTAGTTTGCCTCGAAAGGATTGACGATATTCAGTTGAAAGACAGCGGTTTGGATGATGGTTGTCGCCAAGTCGCTAGTGAGGTGATATGTTACTCGCAGAGCGAGCTCGTAGCGTGTTGGTTGATCAATTGGTTGGATTTGGAGAGTGGTCAGAACCGAGCTGGATGTCTGGATTGTTCCAACGGGCGTTGCCACCACCTTGGACTCCTCGGCTTCCCGACTTGCGGTGTCCTTGCTGTCATGACCATCGAGTTGCAAGCTGAAGGAAGGTGGCTCGTCTCCAAACAAGGCCACATCCAGCTTGGCACTGGCTTTTTCGTTTTCGGCATTAACGAGCTCGAACCGGAGTTCGATCGCCTCATTTGTGTAGTATTCGTCCTTCAGAGAAAGCTGCCTGATCTCCATCTTGGGCGGCCTCGGTAGGATCCGGATAGAACGAGCATTTGTCCTTGAAACTCGCTTTCTGGAAGACGGCGACAGAAACCAAACATGCGCGGCACTGGATTCGCGGAACGTCGTCGCATGTTCCAAGTCGAAGTCCTCACATGATACAAACATCCTCGTGGAGATTGCGCTGGCCTCACCTGGCTCCCTGAGAGGGATCTCCATATTAAACACAGAGGTATGGCCAGGCAATAGGCTCAGGTTTGCACTTCCCACCAGCCCCGAGACACCATCAGCATCGCCACGGTCGGAATCTGTCCCCTCGGTACTCTCTTGAAGAGACACGGACGACATGGTGACATTTCCATGCTTGTGCTGGGCAGCCGAATCTTCGTGCTGCAAAACAACCGTCTTGATAGTCCCGGCAAAGTCAATCTCGAGTCTGCTAAGCCCAACAGGAACAGATTCCTGACGAGCGTTTGATGTGATAGATAGCTGGACATGTGCAGTTTCTCCGGCCTTGCCTTCTTCATTTCTGAAGATAAAGGACGCTGATAGGAATGACAAGACAACGCTGTCGTCGATCTTGATGGCCAGGTTCGGCGTGGCAGTCAACCCTTGAAGAGATTTGCCAATGTCGTAGTGCCACTTCGGGCGCCTCGTAAAACCTGGCGTGAAATGTCAACAGATATCCAAAGACTTAAGGCGTGATGTATCAATGGGAAAGGCTGCCTACGTCGGTTCATCAACTCCCAGTCAATGGCAACTACGAGGCCAGCTTTGTCGGCGTGGGAGGCCGCAGTTCTGAGACACCAGCTGAGGTCTTCAGCGACATTGAGCCAGCCTTCTGCCCTAAACGACATGTCTCGCCAGAGTGGCTCAAGAAGTTCAACAGTCTCCAGCCAGCGTTTACCGGATGCCAACTCCCTCGCGCATTCGAGCGACAGTTCGGCGCAGAGTCGAAGCTGCTGCCTAGTCCGGAATTCAGATCTGGCTCTCATGAGGCAGTCAAGGATGAGCCGTGAATGATCAACTCCTGCAGCTCCCATGCCGTCTAGTGGGTATTCCTCGTGAGGATCCGGACACATGTATGTGTCGTAAGTGAAGGCTTTGCTGGCGACATACGATGCAGGGGATGAGCTGGGCGGTCTCCTATCGTCTTCGGGCATCGCGTAAGCATAAGCCCTCCGGCCATACAAGTGCTTGGCTGACAGGCGGTACCAGTAACCGGTATGGTGCAGCAGTTCCCATGGCTGGAGCCGTTCAGCCATGACACTCTTCTCCGGCTGCAGATAAAGGCCCAACGTCGAGGGCGTCTGGTCTTGGATCCCTGTTTTGTCGATGAGATTGGCCATAACCATGGCCCACCGCGCCTCCCATGCTTGCCAGCCATAATTTTTAGTTCCTCTCCCCCGCCGGTCGACAATGCTAGCTATTCTGTCGCGATGATACTGCCAGCGGCGAACCGCCCCTGTGGGCTTGCCGTTCCACAAAAGGCAGCGAATACACCGGATGGAAATCACATCGGCAAGTGAACGTGCCTCGTTCCACCGAGGGCTCCAGCTTGGTATGATTTCGAGGAGTTCCGAGCCGAGCAAGTTCTCGTAAGCCTGCTCGTAAGAACGTAGAGCAATGTCCATATCCTGTCGATATTCAGCAAACACTGCGGCTTTGAAGTCATATCGGACATTCCATCCCGGAAGGGAGAGAGTCTGAGAGGTGCCGGATGTTGGCGGGATCGTCGGCTGGGGAACCACACCCCGGCTCTTCTTCTTTCTTGCATGCCGGGTCAGGTCCAAGTAGTAGTCGACCGCATGGGAATATATGGTCGCCAGGGTGTTTTCGGCAATTCGTTCGAGGTCTTCCTGTGTCTCCTGTGGCGGTACGAAAAAAAAGGCCTTGGTGTCGACTCCACAGCCCTTTCGAATGCTGTCTAGTCTTTCTTGTAACCCCTCCACCGAGGGAGTTCCCTGGTCGCTCAGAACCACAACCGCAAGTCTCGTTCTATATCCTGACTGGCTAAGTCCATTTCTAATGTTGTTAATGTCGACCTTGATCTTGTTATCATGCAGAGTAGCAACACTTGGATCTGAGCTGAGGCTGTAGAAACAGAGAAGGATGCTCGGCACTAGCTCCTGGTGCTTTTGTAACCACCGGGCATTTATAACACCGTCCGGGTAGAGAGGAGACACTGGGCTCAATGGAGAGAACGGAGAGTGCAGGATCGGGGGAGTCTGAGGTGGCTCCAGGTTCTCCAGGTTCTCGGGGAGCGCTACTCGGCGGGGAGGCAGGAGGAGTGTCTGTACGCGGTGATCAAAACTTCTGAACCCATGTCTCATAAAGGGGTTGTTCTACCTACTCTGGCGGCCGTTCTGACCCGAAATTTATACCTCCTAGCCGTATCCTGCCCGTTCCATGGCAGCTCCGAAGCATCATGATCCTGTATGTATTTCAGGAGAGCCTGGGCTTGGCCGGACTCAAGACTGGGCTCCTCGGAGCGTAGAAGCACAGCTTGGGCCTTGAGAGAGGGATCCGGAGTAAAATCATAGGCTGAGTTCGATTGGACACCTAAAGTTACCAGCAAGGGGATGTTGTGGTCCAGGCTGAACGGTGGATAATCGTCCATACTGGCCAGTGTCCAAGGTCCTCCGCACTAGATCAACCTCGCCAGATCGTTCATAACTCAGATCGCAGAGACACAATATTCGATATGAGGGTAAAAATCATGGATCATGCTTTGAGGCCAACTCATGTCTTAACAAGTGGCACAAGTTCTTGCTCATGTGCAGACAGATTGGTGCAAATGACGAGGTCTTGCCAATGAAGGGCCTTGATGAACCGGGTGGGGCTGAGCCGACTGCGCGGGATAGGAGCGTCAGCCACAGAAGAGGATGGACCTATCTTATCAGCGCACATGTGGCTGAAGCTATCTACCTGCATACCTAGTAGAAACCTAAACGCGTCGAATGACGCGACCCCGCGGTACCATGTCAACACGCATTAACCCTTAAACAGTTATGTTCCTCCACTGACTTACAACCACCCAACATTCCCAAAAACATGGACCAAGGCAGATGAGAGAGGTTTTGTTTTGTTCCCCTCTCTTTCTTGGATCTCCCTACCATGATTAGGTGCAATGCCTCTTCAAAAGTCATTTTCGGAGCAACATAAGCTCTCCAAGGTCAGCAATTCAACATCCAACATACTAGCTACAGTGGAACAGTGTCCTAACAAGTCGCAGCGGCCCCAATGGCAGAAATCCAAGAGCTATTCCGCCGCTGGCCCATCTGCCCGGCCTCGCCCTCTTGTTCCAGTGTCAGAAGAGACCAAGAACAAGCTTCAACGATTCCAGTTTCAGCCTCCCAGGGTTAATACGCAAGAATTCCCAAGCCCAGAAAGGACGATTAACAGTGAGCATGACGGCGATAAAGGTCTCGATTTGACTACCATTGCCTTGGACGGCTCAAATAAGGAAAACCACGGTGGTTCGACGCGAGAGGTCGAGTGCTCGCTGCCGTCGGGGAACCTCAACCATGCCAAAACGCCAATTGGCAGGCTTGCTTGGCAAGATCTTTTGGGGGAGACACGTACGCCAAAGAAGGACGAAGAAGCCTCCCCGACCGAGAGGATAATGTGGCGTAATGACCGAGATAAGATATCATCCGCCATCTTCCCAATGATTTCTCGTCACGGTCGGAAACGTGCCCGAAGCTCGTCGCCAATATCATCGCCCAGCAATTCCAAGCCGACGACACCCGCTGTCAATGTGAAGAAGTTAACGCAAGCATTGAAGACGCCGCATGCGGATCCTGCCTTGGAGCTCTGGGACCGGTTCTCTCTCCCCGGAGAAGACCGGGACACGCCATCAGGGTTGACGAATCCTTTGCTTGCCCAGCTTATGATCTCCTCATCTCCGCGACCGGTGAAAGATGGAGGCACAACAACACATGGCGAAAGCAGTTTGAGAAGAGCATTTAGCTGTGGTTTACATTGGCCAAAGCGCCGGAAACTCGACCGCTCGGGCCAAGACTCATCCGTGACCTTCCAGGGAAGCCCCCGAGGAGATTCGAAATCGTCAATGGTCTCAGCCTTGTTAGAGACGGTGACTGGGGAAATCAACAAGTCGGACGACATGGAAGCACGAAGCAGAGCACCAACGTCGCCGTCGCCGTCGCCGCAGAAGAAAAGCCAAACAAGGCGAGGCAAAGGCCGGGCCCGGGCATCACCAACTAAGCTGTCTGCAACCTCGAGTCCTGTATCACTTACGGAGCCGAACTGTAGTGGTGGAGACGGAGACCCTGGTGAACGCGGTTCGGCTGATAAGCAAAGTTCCGACTATGGAGATGACGACTTCGACGACGATACTCTTTTTGAACTTGACGCAGGCATGGTTACCTTGAAGGGCGATGATGCGACTCTCGTATCGGAATTGGTCACCGCCCAAAATGATATCGGGGACGCAGCTCAAGGATCTGCCAAGCCAACCACATTAGATGACGGATTTGACGAAGTAGATGATGATCTATTTGACGTTGCTGAGGATATGTTAGTCATGGGGCCGCAGACTGCATCAGAAGCCACCGATCAAGGCTGCAGACATGGTGGAAGGACTAAATACGTCGCAAAACAAGAGGAGGATGATCCCTACGGCAATGCTTTTAGCGGTGACTTCGACTTCGAAGCGGTGGAACTCGCCGCAACACAGCAGGCAAGCCGTACAAGGTCATCATTACCATCATTGCCCCATGTACGTACGGTCCCGTAGAAAATAACGAACATCCGCTAAGACATTTCCGGACAGCCGAGCCAGAAACCGAAAGCAATCCAGAGGTATTTGGTGACTAGCGTCCTCGAGAGCACGTATACGGACGATTGGGATCGTGAAGTTCCTGAAAAGGTAGGATAATCCAAGAGAGCAATATTATAAGCGGCAGATGCTGACCACATCGACAGATCTTGGTTGTTCAAGCCGAGAGGACGAAGACGATAAAAATGATCCATCTGCGAGGAGACTGGTATGATACCCCGGCGAGTGTCAAGGCCTTTGTCCATGTCATTGGAGACCTCGAGTCCAACGGCCAGTGCATCGTCGACAACGCTCAGAATATACTTATCCTGCATCCCGACCAGTTGATCTCGTCGACGGTCATTGCGGATTCTTTCAGCTGCATGCGTCGAGCAGTGCTCCAAGACAGGGTCAAGGCGAGCAGCACGCCCTCTGCGGCTCTGATCTACGGCACAATTCTCCACGAGATCTTCCAGGAAGCCCTGACAACCAACAAGTGGGACCCAAGGTTCCTCGGCTCAGTCATTGACAGGGCCCTTCGGAAACACGTCGAGGACCTATACATCATCCAAGTCACGCTTGAAGCTGCGAGGGAGCATCTATTGTCCAAGATGCCAGAGATGAGGCACTGGGCTCAGGCATTTATTTCCCCCCAGCCTCGAGCAGATGCCGTCGTCCAAGGTCGAAATGGCGAAAAGGTCAACATGTGTATCAACAAACTGCTTGATGTTGAAGAACACGTGTGGTCTCCGATGTACGGCTTGAAGGGAAACATCGATGCCACCGTCCAAGTCACCATGAAGGAGGGTAAGAATACCAAGACCTTGACGGTCCCATTCGAAGTCAAGAGTGGGAAGAACGTGAGCAGCAACCACCAGGCGCAGACGGCCCTGTACAACCTACTCCTTTCAGATCGGTACGACATCGAAATCGTGTACGGCATCTTGTATTACATGGAGACCTCACAAACCTTGAGAATCCCTTCCGTACGGCACGAGCTCCGGCATATGATAATGCAGCGGAACCAGCTTGCGTGTCACATCCGGGAGCGGAGTGTCCAACTGCCGCCGATGAAAAAGGCCAAGAATGCTTGTGGCAAGTGCTTCGCCCAGGCATCATGCTTCATCTACCACAAATTGGCGGACGACGGGGACGGAGAGACGAGCGGGATGGGCTCGGTATTCGATGATGCAGTTAGGCATCTAGAGCCGCGCCACAAGGAGTTCTTCCTCAAATGGGAAGATCTTCTGACCAAGGAAGAGAGGGAGAGCCAGAAGCTCCGCCGAGAATTATGGACAATGGTCAGCTTCGAGCGGGAGAAAGTTGGTAGATGCTTCGCCAATGTCATCATTCAGGAAGGCTCGGCATCAGAGGACCTCGACAAACCCAAGATCTTCCGCTTCCAGTACACCTTGATTAAGGAGAAGGCCGTGTCAGGCTTTTCGTTTCTTGACTCGCAACTGACAGTTGGAGAACCAATTGTCGTCTCCGACGAGCAGGGCCACTTCGCTCTGGCGCTCGGCTATGTGATAACGGTCAGAAAGCATAGCATCAGCGTTGCCGTCGACAGGCGGCTGCATAACGCACGCATTCGTCAACCAGGGTTCGACGAGGTGAACAACCAAGTCTTCGCCGGCATCATGGACGTTGTTCCCGAAGGTGCCAGACCCGAGGAATCGCAAGGCAGGATCGGGGAGGCTCCAGTCCGGTACAGACTTGACAAGGACGAGTTCAGCAGCGGCATGGCTACCGTGCGCAACAACCTCGTCCAGGTCATGACCGACGGCCCGCCGGGACCCCGACACATCCGGCGACTAGTTGTTGACCTAGTTCCACCGAGGTTCAAGTCCGCCGCTACACAGTACGAGATCACGGACGACGACGACAGCCTAAACGTCGACCAGAAGAAGGCGATCGGAAAGGTCATGAGCGCCATGGATTACGCACTGGTGCTGGGCATGCCCGGAACGGGGAAGACGACTACCATCGCACATATCATTCGTGCCCTCATCTCGCAGGGGAAGAGTGTACTCCTGACATCGTACACGCACACTGCCGTGGACAACATCCTGCTCAAACTGAAGAAGGATAGCATCCCGATTCTCAGACTCGGCGCAGCTGCAAAGGTCCATCCGGAAGTCCGCGAATTCACGATTCTCGATGGTCAGCCGAAGACTTCATTTGAAGAGATCGAACAGGCCTGGCTTGGGACTCCGGTTGTCGCCACGACCTGCCTCGGGATCAACCACGCCATCTTCCAAAAGCGGACCTTCGACTACTGCATCGTAGACGAGGCTTCCCAGATCACCCTCCCCATATGCCTCGGGCCGATCAGGATGGCGCGCACCTTCGTCCTCGTCGGCGACCACAACCAGCTGCCCCCGCTGGTGCAGAACGAAGAGGCCCGCATAGGCGGGCTCGACGTCTCCCTCTTCAAGCTGCTGTCCGACACACACCCGGACTCGGTCGTCAACCTCGAGCACCAGTACCGCATGTGCGAGGACATCATGACGCTCTCCAACACGCTCATCTACAGCGGCCGCCTCAAGTGCGGCACCGAGGCGCTACGCCACCACAAACTACACATCCCCAACATGGCGGCCCTCTCGCAACTACACTACAACGCAGCGACCTTCCTCTCGGCCTCCCAGGCCGCGGCAGCAGCAGCCGCGACACCCGGACAACAGCGACAGCCCGGCGTGCCGCGATCGTTCTGCGCGTCGGCGCGGCCGGGCAGCTGCTGGCTGCGCGACCTCGTCGACCCGTCGGCGCGGGTGCGGTTCGTCAACACGGACGGCCTCCTCCCGCTCAGCCGCGAGGAGGCGCGCGGCAGCCGCATCGTCAACCCGTGCGAGGCGCGGCTGGTGGCGCGGCTGGTGGGCGCGCTGGTCGCGACGGGGGTGCCCGCGGCCGAGATCGGCGTCATGACGCACTACCGGTCGCAGCTGGCGCTGCTGAGGCACCACCTGCGCGGCGGCGGCGAGGCCGTCGAGATGCACACGGCGGACCGGTTCCAGGGCCGCGACAAGGAGGTGGTGGTGCTGAGCCTGGTGCGGTCCAACGAGGCGCGCGGCATAGGCGAGCTGCTGCGCGACTGGCGGCGCATCAACGTGGCGTTCACGCGGGCCAAGACGAAGCTGCTCGTCGTCGGGAGCAGGGACACGCTGCGCGGAGGGAGCGGCGGCGACGACGGCGGGATGCTCGCCCGGTTCGTCGAGCTGATGGAGGAGAGGCGGTGGGTCTACGACCTGCCCGCCGACGCGCTGGAGAGCCACGTCTTCGACGACGACGCGGCCGGGGGCATGACTACGCAGGGGGCGGGGGCGGGTGCGTCGGTGCCCACGGCGTCGTCGTCGTCGTCGTCGTCGTCATCCTCGAAGGCGGTGAAGTGGCCCACGAAGAGGGTGGGGGCGAGGCTGGTGTCGCCGAAGAAGATGATGGCCGCGGCTGCCCCCGGTGGGAAGGAGAACATCCGGCCCGGGCCGAGGAGGGCTAGGATTGGGGAGAGGGCGCTCTTGAAGGGGAAACCCGTGCTGCGGGATATACTTAACGACATGATGGGGGGCACGTACTAGATCAATGTGTCTTTTGGGTTTGTTTTTTAACTTGGCATTGGCGGTTTGGGACGTATGGAGCATTCACATTGCATACATTCATTGTATATGGTTCCCGGACACACAAGTTTGTATAGATAGACGAAGACAAGTCTCTCATAGGGTATGGCGCCGTAGGAGGTACGGATACATGTACATGATTGGGTCAGTCCTCCTTGTCGTCAGAATCGCTATCCGATCGGTCGTCGAACCTGGCCATTCCGTTGAAGTAAGTAGATGTTCTCGACCGGAGTCTACATGGTTCGGGAAGGACTCACCCTTGTTCGCCGACAATCAGCTTGGTGTACCTCTCTAGCTCTTCGAGCTGCGCCACGCAGCCGGTGAGGCTCTCGTTGTACGAGAAGCTGTAAATCTGAACCCACTTCTTCCTCTCTCCTATCTGGGGCACGTCGAGGTTCTTGCTGCCCTCGTACTCGGCCTCGAGCTCGATCATCTTGTCCATCAGACGCTTCCGGGTCGCTGCTGCGCATGGCAGATATTTCTAACGTTTCAAGATTGGTATCAATAAGTGAAAAGGGGACTGGGCACGAGGGACAACGGAGAGGAAGAAGAGCGCAACAGCCAGGACTGGACACAACTTACAGGTACCTTATGGGCACTACGCAACGCCCCGGCCAGTGTGTACAGGTTACCGAGGATTGAGGCAACCGCGTCCCTACGGTAGATCAGCAGCCTCCCGACGGCCTCGTCGTTGTCCCGGATGAATTTGGGGTGAAAGTAGATCGCCGACTGGCGCACCGCCACCAGGTACTCGAAGAAACGCTCGCAGGAGTCGGCGAGCGCGGAGTAGGGCAGCGGGTCGAAGGGCGCCCTTAGGCGGATCTCGTGCCGGGTCAGACCCTGCCGATGTGGTCAGTCACGGGAAGGGGAAGACGGAAACCGGCTGGAGAGAACTTGCCATCAACTGCCGAATCCGGACAAAGCCTTCTCGCAGGCGCCCTTCCAGCACCTCGGAGCTTTCGATGTCTTCGGCTGTTGGTTTATCGCCCACATCATAATATATGTACTGGGCCATAATGGCTGTAGAAGTTAGTTAGCTAGGAAAGCACATTTCTAGTCTGGGCATGTGCCTACTTCGGTAGAGAATGCTGAGGAAGAACATCATTGCCGACATGGCCTTCCTCAGCTCGTGCCTTGCTATAAACGGCCACAGGATCCAATTTATGACAACTGAGGCGACAACACCGACGACGATTGCCCCACCGCGGCCGGCGGTCATGATTAGAGGCGAGTGGTGCCCCTCGTCGGTGATGAGGGCAAGCGATGTGACGATGAAGGACAGGCAGCCAACCAGGCCCGATCTCTATACTGCCATCAGTCGGTTGTTTCATGCCAAATTCGTACTCGGAGGGTTCAGAAATCCGTCTTACAGGATGGTGACTCTGGGTGAATCGATAGAGCATAGGCAGCAGGAAGAGCAAGGCAAAAACCGCCATCACATAGGGATTGCCGTTTCCCGCAGCAAAAGCCGCGCCGCCCCAGACAGCACCTAGAACACCCATGAAGGCCCGGGTTACGAGATCTTGAACGTTCCCTCCCACCCTAGTCGTCGCAATCAGCAAAAGGGGCACACACGTTCTCGGCACCGGGGAGACTCACCGAGGGTGCATCGTTATCCAGGCCATGACAACGGCCCACCAGCCGCCGTACAAATTCCACCAGTCTCTGCTCTGGTTCAGCCAGGCCGGGATGGAGAGGCACGAAGTAACGATGACGGTCTTCAAGGCGAATCTCATCTCGAACCCTTGCAACCCGTGAGCGATTTCCCATAGCCGATGCCGGAATGTGCTCTGTTTAAGCAGAGCCATGCCATCATGATCGTCTCCAGCCTCGGCATTGGCATTGGCATTGGCATTAGCATTGGCAGTCTCGTTTAGAGCTGAGTTCGAATCGGACAAGTCGGAATCTTCCCGTAGCGGTGCGCTCTCCGATGCCTTGACCTTCTGTATTGCGCGGGCGATGTCTGCAAAGCTCCTGTAATAGGATCCTATAGAAAGTTCAGCATGGAAGTGTATGTATGTACGGTACAAGAAGCCAGGGGGGCTGCATACCAGCTGTGACTCCCCCGCGGTCGTGCCGGACCTGTGGGTTTGTCCGATTCAAAGCCTTGCGCCAGGGGTACGACGGGGGATGTATCTTGGGCCAAGACGGCTTTCGTTGTTCCATCTCGTTGACCTTTACCAGAACAGCCTCGACTGCGCCGGCAGCTTGTCGTATCGGACGGCTATAGGCAAATCCCTGGACCACGTCGTGGATGAAGATAGTTGGCAGTTCATTCCCGTTAAGTAGTGCGGCTTCAGCATCATCGAATTTGATCATTGCTTTCCTCAGCTTCACCAGAACCTTGAGAAGATCGGAACTGACCTCCTCGCTAGGTCCGAGGTACTTGCGATAGCCAGACATGTCCATCAACACTGCGTGGCAACTTCGTAGTGACTCCTTCATGCGACGCAGGAGGAAACTTGTTGGGTCCTCGAGGCGGTGCCTAACCAAGCGAACGGCTTTATCCCTATAATCGTTCGTCCACGGCAAAAGCGGCACCCATGTCCCGGACGACTCGGCATTTGACCAAGCTGGATGAAGTTCAGGGGTCGGTACGGCGGGCAACTTTTGCAGAACAGTGTCATCTGAGACCCCAGGGGGTTTAAAAACGCTCGGCTTTGGTCTCAAGGCCAAGAGTCCTCGTACAGAAGCCTGTAGCAGATTCCGAATCACCCGGACGTCTTTAGGGTCGAAAAGGGTGAAGGTGAAGTCGATCATAATATCTCGATAAGCCTGAGAGAGGTTGACAAAGGTCTGGGCTAAATGCTGCCGAGTCGGTGTCGTTCCCGTCTTCTTTTCGTCCAGGCTATTCTGCGGACGTCAGTCTCTGCGATTAACGGGATCAGTAGAACTATTGGGAAGACCAACTAGCATTGTCTCGAAGGCGTCGTTCCAGGAAACCGCAAGGCGTCTGGCCCCGGCATCTGGAAACCAGACGACACAAGCCAATAAGCAGATGCCCTGACCCAGGACCCATGGGACGCCGTAGTCGACCAGCTTTCCCCAAACCACCGAGCTCTCGGATACTTGAGCGAGGCAGGCATATGCCACGGCAATTCCAGCACAGATAACAAATTGATAAAGTCTGATGAAGTACGACCGCACAGCAGCAATTGCAGCTATGTATAGCGCAAGAAACATGGCTAGAATGGCGCCGTAGCCGACTTTCGCATCCGGTGTCGAAGTCGACAGCCACAGTCCAAACGCGCCCCATCCAAGACCCGTGAGGGATCCGAGTATCGTTGAGACAGCGCCGTCGATCTGGGCCCCGACGGTCCGGCCGGGATGGTTGATCACGGTTGATACGACCATGATATAACTGTACTGACCAAGCCAGTGCCGCACCGGTGGTACCAGGCACAACACATATGCCGCGAAGACGGCTATGAAAGACTTCACTAGCTTGATGCCGGCCCTGGTTGTCGTGACAACATGGACGACATGTTTGATATCATACCATTGCCTGGGCAGGAAGCCTGTCAGTGAGAGGGGGTGCCGCTTCCGGAAGGCCGCAGGGAGGGCCTTTTCTGCCCGTTTATCAAGCTCCTCCCGGTCAACTGGCCGGGGCTTGAGGAACAAGGCGTCGAAGAAGCCATCTCGATACTCGGTGAGCCCGTAGGTTTCCAAATCAAAGTCTTCGTCGTCGATGAGCCGGTTCAGGTCCGACGACGCCCATATCGAAGCACCCCCGGCGGCGGCTTCTGACAGCTCCGGAATTGACTTGTCGGGCCGGTATATCGGAGGGGCTTCCTGGCCCTGGCTAAATGTGAACCGACGGCGAAATCGAGAAATACCGCCGCCAACCCTGATCGGCCTTTCTTCGGCTGATGGGACGGAGATGATGGCCTCATAGTCACTAGGAACGGACGCCATGTTGGACCACTTGATCCCTGGTTATCGAAGAATTCCCCTGGCTAAGTAACCACAACGCCATTGCAACTGAGTAGCTTTCATGGATGTCAAAATCAACTCAAGTGGTCATGTTTGGCGGGCCTGGAGAATTCATAGCGGAAAGAACCGAGGTCACAAACATGGTTGTGTGGAAGTTGAAGATGAGTGGAACCCATCCACACTGCACTGCACGATCCCACCTATTTAAGAAAAAATTATTCTATAATTGCCTCCCCACACATGCACACTGACTGTACCTAGGTGAGACCATGATGTCAAGCTAAGCTTGCCGGATTTCCCCTCAACACCAAGCGCCTCTTCACGCTTACCTATTATGGCAAAGTCGCAACACCCACAAAATGGTGATAGACACAGAACCCAGATTGAATGATTGGACACGGCGATTAGCTGGTGATCGGACTTTACTCACGTTATTCAATCCCACAGCACACAGTACCTAGTAATAAGAACATGGATGGTATTCTATCCCACTCAGAAACTATAAGCACAGAACGCCCCGACAAGATGCACAGACTATCATGGAAGTCGACATGAATGACCTCACCTAGTCATTCCTGCTCCTCTTGGCCTTCTTCGCCTTCTTCTGTTTCTTGTCTCCAAATTCCTCCTCGTATATCTCTGCAGCTGTAGGGCCAGCTTTCCGCTTCGCCTGCGACTTGACGCTCACCACCGGGTTCACCTTTCCGCTCTTGGTCGCCTTCATAGCCTGTTTCTCTGCTTCCTGCCAGGCTGAAACGTCTCCTCCGATCTCGTATCTAAGGTGAAAGGGTTAGCTCATGTCCTGCGTTGTTGGGGTCCGTGTCGGCCCCCGGGAAAGGTGCGTAACTTACTGATCAAGCGGTAGGGAGTCGATGAGTTCCCTCTGCTTCGCTCGCAGATCTTTCAACGCCTCATCCCCAACCTCCTCCAGCTCGTCCTCCAGGTTTGTCTCCAGAGGCGCAAACTTGCTCTCTTCTATTTCATGCGCTCCGGAGGCGTTCTCCCGACTGACCCCAATCGACTCGGGCCTGGGCATTTCAGCCTCGATGGCCTCGGACACCAGCGCCTCGAAGTGCGCGGTTATCTTTCGCAAGATCTTGATGAACATGGCCAAGAGTTGCGACGACGGCACGGCAAGCTCCGCGGAGACCACGTCTATGTCTTTCCGCTGTAAGCCAATGGCCAACAGGATCGCTTGTTGCACGCCACTGAGTTGGATATTGGATTTGAGGCGGCCCGTGAAATAGAGATCGGCGAGCGCCGGGATCAAATCGAGAACGACATGATAATCCAGCATATTGTTCGCATACGATGCTAGGCGCTTGAGGTCGAACGGCGTCAAAATCCTGTCCAGCTCGGATTTAGTGAGCGGGGCAGCTTGGTTCGAGGGATCCAGCTGAGCACCCGAATTGGCTGATTCGTCGATACTCAGGGCCTGGACTGCGTCGAAGTTGCGGAATTGGTAGGATAGGAGGGAGAGGAACCGGCGTTGGAAGTCGTTCGCGAACCCCCCAAGCCAGCTTCCATCCTCTCTTTCACGGGTCTTCAGGGGTCTGAGCATGACGCAGGTGTGCTCGCCCGTCAGGTCATTGGCTGTTTGCCTCTGCGAACTATGTGAGAAACGTCCAACAGGATGATTTTGGACCCTGGGTGGAGTATTGCGATATCTCTTTCCAATATTTCCCGAAAGGGCAAGGGAGAAGTTTGCTTACCAGATACACAGGTGAGAATTGGGCACGCTTCCAGAACTTGTGAAGAGGCTTCGTGAGGCCGTAGCTTACACCGACGTAGTCGAGGTTCTCTGCACGACGCTCGGCCAAGGTCGCAAAAAGCGGAGGCATCTTGTTCATGTCCCGAACCTTGATATCCTCGTGAAGGAGGTCGGTGTTCGCCAGTTCCTCTGGTTCCACGGCCCTCGTCTTGGTGGTCGCCTTTTTGGCGTCTGCGTCCTCGGATAGATTCGTGAACTTGCCCTCGTAGTAGTCGACCAGAAGCTCCAGCGCCCTTGAGCCATAACCCATCGACACATAGTCGGGATTTGTCGCAATTCGGACTACACGCGCGCCTGAAAGCGAGGCAAACTCGTCATCTTGGAATTGCTGGCTGACGAGCCATGGAATGAGATCTCCAGCAGGCCGTTGGCCTCGGCTTAGACTGTTGACGACGCTCTGCCGACTGATCCGCCCTTCGAAGCTGACCTGGACAACGCAGAGAGGCTCTGGCAGGCCGCCGCCTTCGGTGATAGGAGGGGTCAAGACGAAGAGCTCGTGTGCCGGCGCATCGCTCATGAGCTGGAGATCGTCGGGGGAGTTCTTATAGTGGCTGGCAACGTAGAGGGCAATCATCTGCCGCAAGAACCGCTCTGATACCGGATGGAAGGAGAAGAGAGTATCGCGGTTGACGTTGAGCAGTTGACACTGGGAGGGATCCGGATACCCTTGTGTGTTGATTTTGGACTTTGGGATCGTCACGTCCAAGCAGAGAAGGGTATTTAGCCACTTCTCGACTTCGTCTCCTGGACCGTACCGGATAGGCTCCGTCAGGGTGATTTCTTTCAGTGACCGTCCGCTCTGGAAGGCCGAGTCTTTTGCGACCTTCCCGCTCGATCTGTCCACCTCGACTCCGGTAGTCCCATCTGTCACGACGCCAGCTCTGGACTGCTCCCTCAGCTGCTTGATTAACTTCAACGACAGGGATCGTCCTGTTCCCTCATAACCACTGATCGTGGATGCCATGAATACCAAATAAGGGCCCATCAGCTTTCGCACAAGTGCTGTTGGACGTGGAGTTAGCATCCGACCTGAGGGTGCACGGGAAACAAGCTCAAACTGCAGAAATACTTACGAAGGGGGATCGCTGCTGCCTCGTCAATGACAACCAGTTCCGCCTGCCCCAAGACGTGAGCGTCTTGAGGTCTTATATATTGGATGGTTTGCCGATGGTTCCGGTGGATGTTCACCCTAACAATCGCCTTATTGAAGTCTGGGTTCGTGGACTGGAGGATGGAATAGTCGGTATGATCTTTGTAATCCAGAGTGTCAAATGCTTTGAACACAAACTCAAACAAGGTCTTGAGGTTTTCAGGAGAGGGGGATGTGATGAAAATATTGCTGTAGCCATGGGCCACGGCCGCCGCAACTGCAATGCCCACTGATTGAGGTTCACTTGTTAGCGTATGTCGTTTGGCTCATGCTTCGAAAATACGTACTCGCTGCCGATTTGCCTCGGCCACGCGCAGCAGTCAGCGTGACTGTATTACGCAACGTCTTCTCGGCAATGGCATCGACAAATGTGAGCAGAGCTTTTGCTTGATCGAGTGTGCGAGCAAGTTGGACCAGCGATCCTACCGGCGGGGTATCCTGAAGAGACTCCTTGATTTCTGACAACTCCTTTTGCGACGGAGTTTCAGGCTCATCCGAGGGAGGTGGTAGGGGCTTAACCCCTTTCCCGCCCGATATGGGAAGGACGTTTAACTCGTCGTCAATGACAAGGCACGATGCGCAGCTGCCTAGAGACAATATGAAACGCTCGTTGAATCTGGCGGCAACATCGTCGTGGGCTTCTGTCCTGTATCGAGAGTGCACATCCATGGATAGGGTGTACAATTGCTTCAGACTGTTCATCCCCTTGAGGAGGAGGACGACCAGGCCCCCGCCTTCGACTGTCTCGATGGTGCGCGCAAGGATGTTGGGAGTGATGGCCTCGAAGTCTTGCAGGATACACTACAGCAGAAGTTAGTAACTTGGACACTGGTCTTGTACAACAAAGTAGTTCCCCTTTCCCTTCCCAAGAGGAGTTTAGGTGCATAGAGAGGGCGAGCTCAAACAGAACATCCACCCAAGTTGCTTACCATTCCATAGGTATTCCCGAGAATCTTGTCCGTCTCCTTGTAATACACATATCGGATATTATGGAGAGAGACGAACAGTTCGAACGGATCCTCCTGATTCTTCTCCCTCGTGCCACGCTGTATCTCTTTCTTGATCTTGTTTTCTCGCTTCTTACGATGGCTGGTAAATCCGAGGAGCTTGTTCTTGTACGCCCAGAGGACCGACTTGTTTTGCCGTACGTCCATACTCGACATGATGTAATGTACTGAATAACACAGGTTAGCAACCGTATTATTAGTCTGCCGAAGCCAGTCGCAGCCAATGATCCTTCGAAGTCAAAGTCTTCTTCGCATAACTCCCCCAAAAGTGACATACAATGGACTATGGCATCTTTGGAGCGATCGCCGACCACGACGAAGAAGCTTCGCTTCTTCTCTTGGAGCCCATTGCGAATCAAGGCGGGAATCCGGGAATCACTAGAACAGGTTGTCAATAAGGGTAGTTCGGAGGGTATGGGGAAAAGAGAAGTTCTTACACTGCTTTTTGGACCATTTTCACTATTTCCTGTCCCAGGTGGCAGGACAATGAAGTACGAAATGGCGATCTCGATGTCTGCTCTAGTGGGGTGCATGGGAGGGAAAAAAATATTGGCCGACAGCTATTCTGCCATTCTTGGGCGGTGAGAGTTACTATGTAGTACAGTACGGGAACTTGAGCTTATCTTATCTCATTGTGACAGGGGTCATCCCCATCCACACCTGGAAGAGCCGCCTTCCACGTGATCCCGCTGTGGAACCAGGCTCACAACTCCTGCTCCTTCATCTACAATTACCTAGGTACCTACTTAGTAGGTACTACAGAAAAGCCGACTAAAACGATCTCCGTGGACGTCCTTTGCGATTAAGGATGCGGTCGCTTGCCAGTCCCAAGTGCCTTTCGTAACGTAGAGGAATCCTCATCGTGGGACTTATCACTGTCAAGAAATTCCACTCCGCGTTTTCTTGTAGAGGTGCGAGGCGTCTTGTCCGGGGCTGGCACTTGATGTGCCACGTTTAGGCGATTGTCGTCCTCGATTTCTCGATGGGTTCGATCCTGTCAATGGCGTTGGTGGCTACTTTGAGGGGTGAGTCTTGTGAAGGGGTGTTGGAACAGCTAGGGGAGGAGTGGTTGGAAGGGGTGTCTGATTCATCAGAAACTCGTCGAAGCTCTTAGGGTCGTGGCTCGTGGGTTGTGGTTGTTTAGTGCTGAGGAGGTTGCGCTGGGTGGAAGGGGAGACGAAATTGAAGAAGGGGAATGCCACTAGCTGAGGCGCAGAAAACGTAGTTGACTTGTGGCGGAATTCAATGGATCAAGTGCACCAATTCATGGGGGTAATCTCTTGATCGTTCTTGATTTGGAGACCGTACCCCCTATTCTACCTAGACCATGGAAGCATCCATTTGTAAGTCGACAGCCGAACCTGGCCGAAGTACCCAATGCTTTTCGAAGAGTATACCCATTGAAATAGAGCGGTCCTTGAAGTTACAAAGCTTCCCATTCCACGATCCTTGTGGTGACACAGTTGCCTCCAATGTCTATTTAACAATAATCAAGTCGTCATCGTCGTCATCGTCATCATCTAATACAACCTGCCTCCCCCTTGACGTGGCTGACAGCGGCTCCCCCAAGCTCTCCCTGCCGGCCTCTCGGATGCCCTTCTCGGTCACGAACCGCGTCTTCTTGCGGACCGGCGACTCATCCAACCCGCCGCCGGGACCCCGTGCAGGGCCGGAGTTGCCCAGGCTGATGGCCGACGACGCCTTGGTCCCGTCCAGCTTCTCCCCCTCCTTCATCCTCGTCAGCTTCTTCCCCAGCACCGAGCCCCATCCCAGAGCCGCCCTGCCGCCGAGCGAGCCCCCGTTCGCCGTCGAGCTGGACTGGGAGCTCTCGGGCCGCTTGCGCTTGGCTCGGCCGAGGTCGACCTTCGGCTGCCCGCCCCTCGGCGCGACGAGGCCGAGGGCCCTGGCGTCAGCCCTGGGCGGCCTCTCCCCGGGCAGCGAAAACAGGCTCGAATTCTGCGACGACGACACACCGGACCCCGGAGCAGCAGCAGCAACCGCCTCCGCCGCCGCCGCAGTGGCGGCCGCGCGCGACATGTACTCCTTCCCGGCGCCGCCGCCGATCTCGCCCAGGCGCTTCGCGATGTCGCGCTCCCGCTCCTTCTGGGCCAGCCTTCGCTTGAGCGCCTCCCCGCGCTCAACGCGGTCGGCCAGCCCGCCCTCCCTCTCGTCGTCGCCGGCGCTGCGGCTCGCGCCGCTCACGAACCACCGCGACTGCGTCTCGCGGTCGTAGGTGCCCCTCTTCCGCTCCTCTTGCTCTTTCTTCAGCTGCGCGTCAGTTTTCGGCGGTTGCACGCGGTACGAGTTGGCCTTGTACCTCGTGCTGCCGCCGCCGCCGCCGAAATCCATCCCGTTCAGCTCCACCCGGCTGTTCCTGACCTTGCGCACCGCCTCGTTGGTGTGAAACTCGCAGTACTCGGTCCTCTTGGAGTTGACCCAGCAGTGACACAACTTCCCGTCCCTCTTAACGCTCTTGCAGTAGCCCAAATCGCGAGCGTTGCCGATCTCGAGAATCGTGTCGGCGTCGCTGTTTATCACGAGGGAGAAGCGGCCCGTCGCCTCGCGGCCGGCCGGCGGGGGCAGGATGGTCGGGTTCAGGACCGCGACGACGGTCCCCGTGGTGAGCTTCCAGAAACGGTCGAAGCCAGTGTTGAAGAGAAAGAGGTCGACTTCGTAGGTGAGGTCGACGAGCGTTATGACCATGTACTTTCCACGGTCTTGCTGCTGCGCACCCCCGGCTGAAGCGGCTGGTCTGTGATGACGAGGGTCGGATTTGCTGGCGACGATGGCCATCACCACCACATCCTGCTCTATGTCGGGCAGGGACCAATCCGGCGACTTTACGTGCCGGAGGAGGTCTTTTATTAAGTATGTCTTCTTCCCGGAGACAGCCCTGGTAAGGACTTTGTGTGGGAGAACCCGCTTGGAGAGATGTAGGCCAGAATACGGTTCGAAGGCTGAGGCGTCGCGGTCGGCAACCTCGGCGGGTGGCACCTTTTTCTTCGTGACTCTCGCCGCTGAGGCCGGCGGAGGGCCCTCTGCATCTGATAACCCTACTCGGGAAGTTGACCGTATGCTAGGAGCTGTGTTACTCCTCTGCAGACCCCCATTTTGCCTGTTCGCTGAGGCTAGAATTTCTTCTCTGCTGAACTGCTCGGGTCTCGCTGCTATGTCCGGCAGATTGATAGCCGCGCTCTTGTACTGCTCCATTTCTTCCTGCCCGACATTGAAGGCGGTACTTCGTAGTTTCTGTATCCTCTCCTGCCTCTCCTGTCGGCTCACCTCTTCGGACCGTGCCGACGCCAGTCTTTCGTTGAAGCTAACCGGGCGAGAGGCAGGGAATTGTTGCGCTGCGTCGGGATTCGGCGTTTTCGACCTCCGCAGATATCCCCCCTGCTGGCCGTTCTCTTGCAACTTTCGGATGCTGGGTGCCCTCTTAAGCGACACATCCGCAGCTCTGCGTCCCTTGTCAATGCCCAGGAGTATCCGTTTCGGCGAGGTCTGCAGGTCCGCCGTGCTCTGGGCCTTCTTGACCGGCGAAGCAGGAACCTGAGCCTGCTTCTGAGATATCTCCCTATCCATACGTTCCCTCGCAGCCGCCAGCCGAGATTGAAGTGGCACTTCCCTGAGTCCGGCAGCACTGGCAGGTGCGGACTCGGGCCCTGCCCTGTGGCATTCTGTAGCTAGCCCTGCAGCTGGGTTTCTCTGGGATTTCGCAGTCTGCAGTTTCTTCAATCTTAACCGAGCTTCGATCGCTTGAAGTTTGAGTTGTAATGTCTCCTCATCATCGTCATCTTGGAGCTCGTCCTCTGGATCCCCCCCGCGAGCGCCGTTGACAGGCCTGGATGCTAGCATGGATGTCGGGCGAGATGTTTTCGACTTCGAAGGCGACGGTGACGGCGAGCTGCCGTCGTAGGCACGCCTGACCCGGTCGCGGCCACCAGGAGTGCCGAGAAGGGCTTCGTGGGGGGATCGCGGCGGCCACTGGGAAGCCATTGCTATGCGAGATGTCAGTGACCGGTTCTCACACACATCTGGAACCAGGTCTGCTTGCTCACTGAAAAGAGGGTAGAATCCGAATGAAGACGGAGGAGCCAGCTACCCGGGCAACGTCGCAGGATGGCGCTGTTTACCACTCTCTGAGTTCCGCCTGCAAGACAAGTCGAAAGTAAGGCATGTGCAAGGGTGGCCCTATAAAAGCCAATTAATATGGCACAGGGGCCGCCAACCAGTGCAACCACAGATGCTGTGCATTCAGCGATAGGACTTCGCTGGCGCCACCTCAAGCGGTATTTGCGTCTGTGGAAGTAATTGCAGTTGGCTCCCGTGCAAGTATGAGCTAACTAACGCAGTACGTAGGGAGCCACTCAATTTAGTGATATACGGAGGTACGGAGGTGTGTATCGAAGTTGCAGGCCGATCGGGACGTTTCAACGCGTGTGGGGAAAGAATGTGTGGCGCGTCTTCGAGGCTAATGCAGTAAAAGTTTAAGTGCGACGCGACATTGACGCGTTTTCTTGACAGGGGTCCCCTTTCCTAGCTATACTATGCGTACTTGGAGATGCTCCGTACCACAACATACCGTCCATAACCCGCAAGACTATCAATTGGCGATGTGGGCGATTCCTCCCTCAATTGATACTTGCTGATTCCATGGCGAGAACAACAAGGTCGAAAGGCGGCGCTGCTACGGGTAGTAGCGCGGGGACAAAAGGGAAGACAGCAACAGCAACGGCAACGGCAACGGCATCACGTTACACTCTCCCCAAAGAGTCGGCCAACCCACCACAGCTCTTCGTTCTGCCAAAGAAGGCTACACAGGAGTCGCGAGTCGTTACCTTACGGAACCCCCGCTACTTGAAGCCTACGAGGTATCTAGTGTGCCCGGAAAATGGGATATACGAGTTCGCCAAGATAGCCGCGCCTAGCTCAGCTGCTCGAAGCTGGCTCTTGGAGAATTCGCCTGCAAAACTGGTTGCAGGAGAGACGGAAGAATCGACCGACAATGGCAGCAGCTTTAATGCGCATATCGTGAAGGATGCCGATTTATACGTCGCTTCGCCCATCGACCCATTGTTCCTGGTCCTGCCCGCCCTCTCTGCCGCTCGTTCGTCCAAGTCGTCAGATGCCCCGAAGCGCATGTTCCTATCCAGCGATGATCACTTCGACGTCATTGCCGAGTCGTCTAATCATCTCTCCGAGATCTTGAGGTGGCCGCGGGTGAGGGATCTGTTGGAGTCAAGGATGTCTGCGATATGCGACACAGTCGATGCAGGGGACGAGAACATGTTCCGGTTGAACGAAGGGAAGCTCTTGGCTGAGATTCTGTCGAAGGCACAGAAAATGAGCGAGGGCGGTTTGCCCAAGAGCATGGAGGAGAAGTTCGTCACCAAGCCGTTGGAGGCTCCGTTCCTTGCCTCGAGAAGCCAGCCTGCCTTGGGTCCGACCACAAGCCACGATGCGTCTCCATTAACCACCGACGGTGTTACAACACCACAGACCGAGGCTACAGAGTCTCAAGAGTCAACATCCTCTGTCGAGTCTTCGGATAGCTTAGCTTCTGCCGCTTCTGCGGCATCTACGGCGGCAACCTCGGTCACGAACGAGCTAGCTCCTGCTGTGACGGAGGAAATTGCAGTGGCAATGATAGCCTCTGAGGAGGTTATCAAACTGCAAAGGCTGAGAGTCGCCTTCAACTTCATATGCTCAAGTTATATTCCCCCTTCCATGGCAGACTCTCTGAAGGAAGGACTGGCAACCGGCGGCGGATCCGTCGATTTTGCACCCCTTGAGGATTACCTTGGCCGCCTGACACAGGTGCGGCAGGAGGCCATGGCAGCGCGATCACTCACCGACTATTCTCGCAAACGGACATTAGACGAGGAGGAGGACGAGAGGGCGGAAAAGAGGCGAAAAAAAGAAGACGAGGAAAAACGGAAGAAGGCGGGAGAGAGTCGGGGAGTCAGGGATCTGAAAAAGGTTAATGTAAACGGGATGAAGAAGTTGAGCGACTTTTTCAAGAAGAAATGAATGCGGCTTCCTGCGGGTGCTGGAAAGACGGATTACAAGGAATGGGGATATGGAGGGTTTGCATTTCAGGCCTCAGCGGTCAGTGGTCAGTGTGGACGGAGTTTTTGGTGGGTATCGTCGTTGCATTCATGATATGTAGGGGGTCTATAGGTAGTTAGGCAGTGTATGATGGCGTCGTATATGTTGGATCATCTCACTCCTCGTGACCTTCCCGCCCTCGTACTCGTACTCCCAAAACCACGACCGATGCCTGAAGTATTCCGTGAACCGTTGGTGCTTGACGAGGTGCCGCTGGCCGAGTAAACCGAGGTGCCACCACGGGTAGTGCCCCTTCCCCGACCTCTTGAGCCGCGAGCACCACGAGGCGCAGCAGCAGGGGCAGAGCCAGCCTGCCTCTGTCTCTCTTCATCTTCCGCCCTTCTCCGCGCCTCCTCTCTTCTCCGTTCGTCCTCCGCAGCTCTCCTCTCGGCGGCCTGCTGCTTCAGTAACACCTCGCCCTCGATATCGGCCATATCTTGAGTCGCGCCCTTCCAGTTAGGGTTCAAGATCAAGCGCTGGTTATGTTCGGTCTGTGACAAGATGCGAGTCCAGGTATTGAGCAAGGTTGAGGCATTATTGACAGTACTGGAGACAGTCTGGAGCGGCACAGTTAGTGGTGGAGTGCGCCACGAAACGGATCAGAGATGCGATTGAGCGATGCCCTGGCAGCAAGACCTACATTCATGTTGCCCTTTGCCTTGTCTAGGGTCGCAATGACCCCTTCGATGACTTGGTTGATGTTGCGCACTCCTTCGAGCTCCCTACGGAGAGCTGCTTCCCTTGCTTCTTCAGCATCAAATCGCGCATTTTGATTGGCTGGTGTCTCGGGTCTCTCTGCGCTTTCGGGTTTCTCTGCTTCTTTGCCACGATCGCCCTTGGAGGAGGGGGAAGCAAATAGGGCTGTGGTGTCTGACTCGTCCATTTGGGCAGTATTTGGGCAGTATTTGGGGGTGGCTGGTGTTTCTTCTAGGAGATCGTCAAGTTGGTGGCTTCAATGGGTGCCCGCTCTTTAGTGTTTGTCGTTGGGAGGGGTAAGGGGTAGGATGACGGATGACGTTGATTGTTTTTATTCAGTGTGTTGTGTTTGGTACCTTATGTCTGTGTGGGCAAAGGTCGGTAGTGGGTACCTGCTTGAGACGCGTCTGGCAATGGATGAATTGTGGGGGTGCCACCACGCGTCTCGCTTAGCGCGTATGCAATTAAAAGCCCCGAAACAAAACAGGGGGCTGCGCAGAGTATATGCGTGTGCCCACTTCAGTGGAGGCTGGGTGTTGGCAAAAACAAGGGTTAACCAACACCCAGCCTCCCTGTTCTCAGTCTATCACTTCATTCAATCTAGACAACCTCATAGCCCAATTTCGGCCCGGACATCACTCTTCTTCATCTATGAAGTTTTCTACTATCCTTCATTGCTACATTTCCCCAATTCCCCGAGTCAAGCTGCCTAGTGCCTCTTGTTATCCGCCAACCTATCCTGACCGCCTCCAGCTCTGACAAGGTTTCAGGCCCAAGCCCTCGCAGCACTAAGTGACAACTTCGACAACATCGCCAATTCATGGTTTGGGTCATTGGGTCATTCTGAACCACTTGTTGGAAAACCACCATTTCTTGGACATCGATCCAGACCAGGTCCTCCAACGCGGGTCCTCCAACTCTTGGCCTCCCAACTCTTCTCTTCTCGAATTTCTGGTTACCTTTGAATTTTTGCAACTATGGAACTGCTCGCAGCCTCCACCCCTTCACCTGCCTCGGGCATCCACACTCCTCCCACACCAAAACACGGATACGGAGATTCTTGGGAGCCCTACTCATCTCGTAAATCTGCGCGCCTCGCACAACGAGCCCACAACCGGACACCATCTCCCCGGTCAAGCACTCGACGTTCAGATCATCGCAATCCCTCCCTTGGATCACCACCAGCCAAGAAAACCTACCCCACTACAATGGCTTCGCCTGCCACTTCACCCCAGAAGAAACGTTTGCCCGCCATGGACGGTTTGCGCCGCGCCTCAGGAACGCTGACGGCGGAGGGCACAGCGCATGCCGCTGCTGCTCTCGGCCTTGCGGACAAGACCGAGTCTCGCTCTACCCGCCCCGCTGTCATGAGCGCCACTGGCATGCTTCCGACTCCCGCCAAGACACCTCAGAAGCCCCCAACCGAGCAGAGCAAGGCGAAGATCAAGTCCATTGCGCGCAATCTTTTCTCCCACGACGAAGACGCCATGCCTACCCCAAAGAAGACTCGCGCCAAGAAGCACCTGCTTGACAGCTTCTCCGTCGATGAGGTCGACGAGCCGATTGCCATCTTCACCGACTCGCATGAGCGCGTCCCCGAGATTGATACGAGTGCTGAGAATCCATTCTACGGCCCCCAAACCACTCCTCTGCGCGAGCCGGCTAAGCGCCGAAGCAAGCGCCAGCAAGTGACAATTCCGGGTGAGGGCAAAGTGAGCATCGATGAAGCCATCCGTCGCGAGGACGGCATGCTCACTGTTTTGTACGTACTTCACCTTCCATTCACTTTGACTAGTAGCCCGTTAGGAGTTGACTAACCTGTATTTTACATCAGCCGTGGAAAGAAGCAGTTCCGCAAATTTGCCGATATTGACGAGATTTCCGGCAACAACAGCGAAGGCACAGATGAAGCCGACGGCGGATTGGAGGGTAGCGGGTCTCGTCCGAGACGCCCCTTGACTCGATCTTCGATCAAACCCAGACTACTCTTCCCGGTGAAGCCGCAGGAGGGAGCTGGTACTCTGGATGAGGATGAGGAGGCAGTTACTGATATTGAGGACCATGCAATGGCTGAGGCCGAGGGCGATGTTCCCCATACCCCAGTGGACTTGATGGAAGAGACGCCCGGCACGCCAGTGGCCCCCAAGTTTGCGCCCGCCTCGCCTCCCACGACTAGCCGGACTACCCGACATGGCAACAAGACTACCGACGAGACTACGCCTATGAAGCCTGCCCGAGGTGGCAAGCGAAGTCCCTTCGACGGCTGGCGCCGTGTCAAGAACAACGGTGCCGAGAGTCATGGCCACAAGCGGTCTGGTGACGACCTCGCGGCTGACCCTGCCAAGCGAACCCGAGCTTAAGGGTCTGGCGATTCCTCTCTACCACCTGGATGCAAGCAGCGGAGGGCAGGTGGTGGGAGTTTGTGTGATTACACGTTGTAATGTCCTTTTTACCTTCATTTTAGTACGCATGACTTTGCTTTTCTTTTGTTGAAGAGGAGCTTCTAGGCGAAAAGGCTCCGAATCAACAGGCTGCTTTTAATTCGGTCATGCCAGAACCGTTCACGAAGGACATGAGGGTGGTATTGGGCGTCTTGATATCCCATGGACTAGGGGGATTACAGGTTTTAGGGGGTTCCCGGTTTTAAAGTGTCAGAGTTAGGAATGCAACGAGATAGTCCCAACGCACCGACTCGAACGATCTTGACGACTGCCTACCTAGATAATTGTGATATTGCCCGCGGATGTGGATGTGGATGTGGATGTGGATGTGGATGGGGGGGAACCTACCCAACTACTCTTGGTTTGTCCCTTTTTTCCCGTAAAATCTTTTCACGGCCAAGCCTTGAGTCGGGTGTAGCTGGTGCATCATGATGCCTTCCTTCGATACCAGGTAGCAGCTACCAAGGTAGATAGGTAAAACTAGCGTAAGATTTTGCTGAAGCCAAGGTACCACCTGCCTCCCACGGTCGTGACGATTCGACGACGACGAACATTTTGCCCCGCCCCTGCCCCGCCATCCCTAGCGGCCAAGACAAGACCCAAGACCCAGAGAGACTTCTTCATGCTTTCCCATCCTTCATCAGATCCCTTGAGTTAAGATTGTATATGTAAGGTCAATCAAGCTCTGAAATCCATATTCTAGTCCTTCCGCCCGTCCAGACATCCAACCAACCAACAAACAAACAAACAAACAGCTTACAATGCACATCCTCGTCGTCAACGATGACGGCCCCCCTTCGCCACACTCGTCCCCGTATGTCCACTCCCTGGTCCGCGAGCTCCAGGCGGCCGGCCACGTCGTATCCGTCTGCCTGCCACACACGCAGCGGTCCTGGATCGGCAAGGCGCACATAATCGGCCAGACCGTCAAGCCCACGTACTACCGGCCCCCGCCGGCATCGGCGCCAGCCGCGGGCCTCGGGTCGCCGGGCGACGACCAGGGGAAGCAGGCCGACCAGGGCACGACGCACGCGCGCCCGTCAACGCGGCCGGGCACGGAGGAGTGGGTTCTCGTGGACGGCACGCCGGCCAGCTGCGTGCAGATCGGGCTGCACCACTTCTTCGCGGAGCGCGGGCCGGTCGACCTGGTGGTCAGCGGGCCCAACTACGGGCGCAACACGACGGCCGTGTTCGCGCTCAGCTCGGGCACGCTGGGCGGCGCGCTCGAGGCCGCCGTGTGCCGCCGCAGGGCCGTCGCGCTGAGCTACGCCTTCTTCAACCGCAACCACGACGCCGACGTCATCGCCGCCGCGGGGCGGCGGAGCGTCAAGGTCCTGGAGGCCCTAGCCGCGCAGTGGCCCGAAGACGGCAGCGTCGACCTGTATAGCGTCAACGTGCCGCTCGTGGAGGGGCTGGAGGAGGGGAAGGTGCTCTACACGGAGATGCTGCAGAACTACTGGGAGGACGGAAGCTGCTTCACCGAGGTGGACGGGAGCGTGGACGGCCGGGAGGAGGACGAGGAGAGAATCAGGGAGGACGAGAGCAGGATCGAAGAAAACGCGGAGGAAGCGGCGGATAGCCACGGTCACAAGCATATGCATTTCAAGTGGTCGCCGAGGTTCTCCGATGTTTACAAGAGCGTTGAGGAAGCACCGCCGGGAAATGACGGATGGGCCGTTAAGGAGGGCCATACAAGGTACGTGTTCCCCCCCAAGAACTGGTGTTGTTTTGTCCGAGTAACTGACACGATTTATCATCCAGTGTGACGCCACTAAAAGCCAACTTTTATCAGTCAGCATCGCATTTACACGGGAAAGAGTTGAAATTGTAAGTATTTGACCAGCCTGCCCCTTTGGTGCCAAGATTGTGGGCATACTGCTCGAGACGATGGACGGAAGCCATAGAGGAACCCGGTCCCAGTAGAGCATAGAGCCAGCGGAAATAGACATATGTTTGCTCCAAGTCTGGCACCGCTGCCGTACCCAGCAGTGAACAAACTCTTACAATTTATCGTCATATAGGCAAGTTTCTCAGGACGTGTCCCATGGTGGCCCAGAAGCAGTAAAAGGGGCTAAGAGCGCACTCCAAGAGGTGGCGTATCGGAGCAAGCCAGAGGTGAAAACAGAAAACCACCTCTGGGCTCTCATCGCCTACGAAGATGACTACGTCCAGCCCCTCATCCTCGCCGCCATGCGGTCCCTCCTCCCGTCCGAGAGCTGGACCCTCGTCAAAGCCCCCGCGCCGGGCAGCGAAGTCTCCCTCGCCAGTTTGGTCCCAAGCCCGGACTTCAAGATCCTCCAGATCACCCCCTACGAGACCATCGACTTTGACTACGCGCAAGCGCACCCAGGAACCTGCCTGATCAACAGCTACATGATCAGGAAGGCCCTGATCCGCAAACACTTCCTGTCCGCCACCGTGGATATCTGGGTCGCGAAGAATCCCGGCTCGGTCCTCAAGACGCACGTCAAGCGGAGCGAGGCCTTCGAGGTCGACTATGCCGAATTCCTGGACGACGCCCTGATCGAGGCGTTCGACTTGCGGGCGAGCCTCGACCAGAATGCCCTCGTACCTGCCAAGGATCGAGAATGGTGGATCCTCAAGCCGAGCATGAGCGACCGCGGCCAAGGGATCCGACTTTTCAGCACGATGGAGGAGCTCCAAGACATATTTGACACCTGGGAGGAAGATCTGCCGGACAGCGATGACGAGGAGGACGAGGACGAAGAAGGGCAGGGCGGTGCCAGCGTGGCTGAAACGACGACACGTACGCCCGGAAAGGACGACGCCGAAGGGGACTACATCACCACGTCGCACCTCCGCCACTTCGTCGCTCAGCCCTACATCGACCCGCCGCTGCTGCTGCCGCAGCTCGGCAACCGAAAGTTCCACATCCGCACCTACGTCGTGGCGGTGGGGAGCCTCCGGGTCTACGTGTACAGGCACATGCTGGCGCTCTTCGCGGCCAAGACCTACCAGCCCCCCTGGGCGGGAGGGGGCCAAGGCGAGGACGGGGAAGAGGAGGAGGGGGAGGGTGGCGGGGGCGCGATCGACCTCGACGCGCACCTCACCAACACGTGCATCCAGGGCCCCGGCGCGGGGCCGGACGCGGTCGCGCGGTTCTGGGACCTACCGCTCCCAGCGACGCTGGGCGGCGGCGGCGTCGGCGGCGGCTCTTCTCCCGACTCGCCGTCGCCGTCGCCGCACGAGGCCATCTTCGAGCAGGTCTGCCGGGTGGCGGGCGAGGCGTTCGAGGCGGCGGCCAGGGAGATGATGGTGCACTTCCAGCCGCAGGCGGGGGCTTTCGAGGTGTACGGGGTCGACTTCCTCGTCGACGCCGCCGGGACCCTCTGGCTGCTCGAGGTCAACGCGTTCCCGGACTTTAGGCAGACGGGCGACGACCCGCGCCTGCGCGACGTCGTGGCGGGGTTCTGGGCGGGCGCGCTGCGCCTCGCTGTAGGGCCGTTTGCGGCTAGCGGCCGGGGGGATGGAGGAGGAGGAGGAGGAGGAGGAGCTGGAGGGGCTGGAAGTGAGGGTGAAGAGGGGACGCGGGAGTTTGTGGAGCCGGACGATATGGTGCTTGTCAAGGACATTGATCTCGGACGCAGGTGAGGCAGTTAGCGATGTCGGTCTGTAAGGCAGTGAGCACTTTCGTTAGTCAAGATTTCAGCTGTTCCGTTCAGGGGTATAATACAAAAATAAACACGCCGCATGAGCAGGAATCTGCTTCGCAACAAGAAACGGCTTGGAATGGTTCGGCCTTAACAGCCATGAGGCTAGGGCCTTGCTGGTCCTTGGCTTCACCTGGTCATGAGTGACGATGCCCTTTGATCCAGAAGCCCCACCAAGTGACTACCGTGTGAGGTAGCCAACAGGCAACGGCAGGCAACGGGGTGCAACGAGTCCGTACGGGTATCCAGGAACAGAAGGTAGATGCGGGCCTAAGTCGACGAGCCTTGACTAGCATACGCGTGTGGATGGTACGTTACCCACCTCAGTCATTAGATTTGCTGAGGTTTCTGGGCACGTCTCGCCCCAGGAACATAAGCGGGCGGCAACTTTCCAGCACAGCCTCAATTCTTGTGGTCCCCGAGACTAGTTATCTCATGACGATCGCCTTGACAGAAAGCCTGATGGGAATCAAACTCGAAAAATGAGGTTGGAGACTTGCCAAGCGGCCTTGGCTGGTAGCCAGCCACCCAGAGCTCATGCTCAGGGAGTCTTTCTTTGATACTGGTTTTTGGAGCGGTTGGCGTTGACTGTCGAGTCTTGGAGGCTTTGGTCCTATGGACTCCTTATTACTGGCCACACACGTGGAAAGAGGGCGAAAGAAAGGAGCGAAACATATGATTGGTCGGGGCTAAGATCTGGGTATACGAGATTCTACGTCGATGAAGAACTGATGTACATACAATGTAATGGCGGACCTCTTTTTGGGGTGCCTTGGACGTCAGTTGTTCGGGACGGCGCAACTCCTAACCACCTTTGTGACGCCATCAAGGCACACCAAAGACTCAACTGAGGTGGCATTTGTTAGGAAAAACCTCCGAGACTGTACGGAGTAACACCTCATCATCTGTATTGGGATCCAGCCTTGGCGCCAATCTGAACTTGCGAAAGCGGGAGGTCTCACCGAGATGGCGGAGCCTCATCTGGATGGCATTTAACCAGGTTTGGCCAAATATTGAAACTACGGAACATTGGGGACACAGCAGACACAGGATATGGAGGGTTTGAAACGGCTTAATTGGGGGGGGGGGGTGTGAGTTTGTTGCATCAGATCAAGCCGAAACGCAATGGAAGCCCGCAAAGTCTTCCATCTTCCCGTCTGAGGTCTCTGGCCAGAGGCGCCCGCCTGGACGATGCGGGATGCCCCTGGTTTCTCGGACCTCTGTGTTCCTGATGGATGGTCCCAGCGCGAAGGTACATACTCCGCCTCGCCCTACTGCGTAAGAAATCTTGGCCGCATCCGACAAGCTGACGATCTGGCCATAAATGATCTGGCAAGCTATCTAGTTCCCCAGAGGGAAGGTTGCCGGTTCCTTAGGACTTGGTTTCGCCCTCTGGCGGTGAGGACACTATCATGACTTGGCGACGACGGCAAACCCCCCAACTTTATCCGATTCGCACCCTTGCAGCAACTGCATCGTCATGCATGCAGCGGACGGCACGGTTGGGGCCCCGGTATATCTCGAATCAGTGACCCGTATGACACAAGGGAGGGTTGCAATGGTACCACGATGAAAAGACCTCTATCAACAACCGTCGATCAAGGTCGGGTCACTTTAACAGGCCAGATGTTCGCGAATCTCACATGAGAAGCACCTGACTCGGGAGGGGCCAATTATCCTTGGTTGGCTGCAGGGCGGTTGAAGGAACTTGCCGATTGGCTAGGAGGGTGTATACTAGACAGGAAACAGCGTTTCGTGAAACATTTTGATCTGTCCTATCACACTCGAGAACCAAAGCCAAATTGCTGGCGGTTTGGATGCTTTTAGGGTCCCGCTGGGTCCGGGATCGTATGGGCAATTGGCAAAGCGCCAACAAAGCCCCGGAGATGTCGACTCGCACCAGGGGCGACAGTTTGAGCTCAGGTTCGCAAGGCTTGAACGCCCTTAACGACGGACTGGTCGGCTTGCGGTGGCGCATTGGTTTCGCCCTCCGATGCCTCAACGACGGAACAAACGCTGCAAGTCATGAACACCATAGAGGCGAAAGTGCCAAGAGCACAGCCTATCTATCATATCATGACGCAACTTTGGCTGTTGCGCAATTGAATGGTGATGTCTAATCCGAAGCAGGGCAACTCTACGTCGTTCGAGACTTGCATGCGTATATGCGTGCGTGCAACCCACCTCCAGTGGAAGTTCCATTACAGTGTAGATAGGTACCAACAAGTAAAACATTCTAGCGCACTGCCCAAGTTCTAGCTACTGTGTAGTAGGCTAGGTACCGCTTTACATCGGTACATATCCGGTAGTTTGTAGCCACATGGTCGAGATGGGTTGTGGATTGGGGGTCTTGAAAGGGTACCTGCCTTTCCTAGGTAAACAAACTTGAGCCAAGAGACGGCTCGATATTACACTACTTGCCTATCTGAATTCCAGATCCTAAACAGGGACGACTGAAGATGAGGAATGCAGACCCGCTGGTTAACAAAACAAACCAATTGATTGTCACGTCCAAAGATATATTCTGGTCTTGAACTTCTCGTTCTGCACTAGTGTAAGAAGCGAACGGGGTCCAGACTCCGTGGAGATGGAGAAACGACATTAGGTTGGAAAGTTAGCAGTTATCTCTGGCGGGTCGCGAACCTGCAGTTCCAGGTGTGGAGTTTGGAGAGATACAGGTCTGTGTTGTAGCTCCTAGCTAGCCGAGCGATCATCTCAAGGGCCAAGATACTTCCAGTCTCAGAAAGATAAACGGCAAGTTTTACCTCTCCGGTTGCGATGATCCTAACAATACCGAACAGATACGTACAAGAGGGCTCGAGAGGGCTCGATGATCTTCTCAACTCATTTCCGGCTTCCTTAAAACGGTGGAGTAATGTCCAAAAACAGTTGTCTAGAAAGAATATTGAATATCACATATCTGCGCCGCCGGGCTATTGACTGGGGTAGAGACGCACGGACGCAGTTAAATAGTCACCCTGGAAACTTGTACTGAGGTATCTTGTGGAAGCGGCATCCCTGTCGCACCTCTGCATCCATGATTCGCTTGGCACTGGCACAGCCTCCTTTTGCCCTTGGCAACATGGGCAACTCATGGAGGTAGGAGGCCGTCATTTCGGCCGGCCCATGGACTGCCAGTGTCAACAACCTACCTTACCTTTCACTCAGTTTCCTTTCCTGGGCGGTTCTTTTTATTGCCCTCATGTAAGTTTGATCAATCCATCATGAAGCACCCTGAACCCAAATCCTAGAATCCCGCATTCCCTTCTTCATATTATTATTGCCTAGTCTTTCCCACCCACACTGCACTCCTTCACTCTTTCCTTTATCTCCAAGGCTCCTGAATCTCCAAATATATACAAGCAGTCGCCTGGTCTGCGACCTGCCCCCCGGCCACCCAGCCAAATATAAACCCATTTCCTCATTCTCGAGAATGTTGATCTACCCGTCCTAACACACCCCCACCGGACGGACTTACTGTGGTGGCTGTTGGAGGCCGCTTTCTGGCTAAGAAGTCCCGTCGCGACGGCCTTCGTTCTCATTCGACTACCTAGTCGGATTTGCCTTCGCACAGCCTCATCGCACAAGGTAGACTTCAACCTCAAAATTCAGCTCTCGCCCCCCCGGCTGTGCCATATTGATGACGAAGCTTGATACAGACCTTTGCTGCGGCTCGCCATGGCAGACTCTGGCGAAGACCCTCATGGAGACGCAACTCCTACGAGAAGGCCTAGGGCGTACGTTAACTATTTCCCGGCAATCCCATATAGATCCCTTTCTTCGAGCCGACTTACTTACCACCACTTTACAGTCCCACTATTACCATCGACACCACCGCCATGAATTCGAATCCGGTCCTGCCCACTGAGGCCGAAGAAGCACCCACGGCCGAGGCCTCGAATTCGCCCGTGTCTCCCACATACGATGCCCATAGTCTATCGTCGGCCACCGCAGACCCGATGCCGAGTAGTTCGATTGTTACGCCTCAGGGGACCGGGGCCGCTCCTGGACGACGGCCAGAGCTTCATACAACCACATCTTCCGACAACAGGGACAATCGGCCAACTAGCCCTCACAATGTCCTCCCTCCGGTCGCATCGCGAGGGAACGATCGAGGGCTTCAGCAGGGCTTTCTCTCGGTGCCTACCAACCACAGGTCAAGGCAGAACTCGGTCGATTCCGATGACGGCTCTCGTTCGTTTGTCTCCTCGCAGGGCGAGACAGTGGTGGGAAGTCTGTCTTTCAAGAGCTCCAAACCGTCATCGAGCCGTGTCTCCGAGAACGAGAAAATCATGAACGACGAGAATGCGCTCAAACCAGATCAAGGGATGGAGGAGGACTTCGCGGTGGCAAACAATCCCTTCGCCTTCAGCCCCGGGATGCTCAACAAGATGCTCAACCCGAAGAGCCTCTCCGCCTTTTTTAAATTGGGAGGCCTGGCAGGCTTGGAGAAAGGTCTTCGGACAGATCGGAAAGCTGGCTTGAGCATTGATGAGACCCATCTGGATGGAACTGTGCCGTTCGAGGCTGCTGTAGGTCGTCCCAGCGCGAAGGTGGCGGATGAAGGCTTCGAGCATCCGGATCCGACTTTGGCACCCGCCGAGCCTGCAAAACAACGCTCCCTCCCCATCCCCCTCCCTCTCTCCCCCTCCCATTCCCACCAACACGGCAAGGAAAACTTCTCGGACAGGAAGCGGGTATTCAAAGACAACAGGCTTCCAGAGAAGAAGGGGAAGTCGTTCCTGCAGCTCATGTGGATCACGTACAACGACAAGGTTCTGATCCTCCTCTCAATTGCCGCAGTCGTGTCTCTCGCAGTCGGCTTCTACCAGACCTTCGGACAATACCACGACAAGGACCACCCGGCAATAGAGTGGATTGAAGGAGTGGCGATTATTGTCGCCATTGCCATCGTCGTTCTCGTCGGTTCCCTCAACGATTATCAGAAGGAAAGACAGTTTGCCAAACTGAACCGGAAGAAGCAGGATCGGTTGGTCAGGGCCATCAGGTCCGGTAAGACCATCGAACTCTCCGTCTTTGATATCATGGCTGGCGACGTCTTGCACCTGGAGCCGGGAGACATGATTCCCGTTGACGGAGTTCTGATCGAAGGCTTCAATGTCAAGTGTGACGAATCACACGCGACGGGCGAATCCGACGTCCTTAAGAAGCGGCCGGCCGACGAGGTTTTCGCTGCAATCGAGAACAACGAGGATGTGAAGAAGATGGACCCCTTCATCCTGTCGGGCGCACGCGTCATGGAAGGCGTGGGGACTTTTCTGGTTACGTCTACTGGCGTTTATTCCAGCTACGGCAAGACGATGATGTCTCTGAACGAAGACCCCGAGATCACCCCTCTCCAGTCCAAGCTCAACATCATTGCCGAGTACATTGCCAAGCTCGGCGGAGCTGCCGGATTGCTTCTTTTCCTGGTCCTGTTCATCAAATTCCTCGTCGGACTGCCCAAGATGACGGATCTCTCGCCGGCTGAGAAGGGCCAGCAATTCATCAAGATCTTCATCGTCGTCGTCACCATCATTGTGGTAGCTGTACCCGAAGGGTTGCCTCTGGCAGTCACATTGGCCTTGGCTTTTGCTACCACGCGAATGCTCAAGGACAACAACCTTGTCCGCCACCTCAAGGCCTGCGAGGTCATGGGCAACGCCACTACCATCTGCTCCGACAAGACTGGCACCCTGACTCAGAATAAAATGCAAGTTGTCGCGGGTACCGTAGGGTCGAGCCACCGCTTTGGGAGCACGGGTCGCGCCGGAGACCAGGACCCCGACAGCCCATCGGAGAAGGATGTCACGCCACAGGAACTGGTCGCGTCTCTGGGCCCGAGTGTCAAGGAGCTGCTGCTGAAGTCCATCTCGCTCAATTCGACTGCTTTCGAGGGTGAATTTGAGGGTGAGAAGACCTTTATAGGTTCAAAGACGGAGACGGCACTCCTCGTCTTTGCAAGGGACTTCCTCGCCATGGGGCCGGTCAGCGAGGAGCGGGCCAACGCCAAAATCCTGCACCTCATCCCATTTGATTCTGGGCGCAAGTGCATGGGCGTCGTGGTGCAGCTGGAGAACGGCAAGGCGAGGCTGTACATCAAGGGTGCTTCTGAAATCATGCTGGCCAAGTGCACGCAGATCATTCGGGAGCCCTCTCAGGATCTGTCTGCTTCTCCCATAACCGACGAGAACCGCAACGCGATCGGGCAACTAATCGAGACCTACGCCTCCAATTCTCTGCGAACCATCGGAATCATCTATCGCGACTTTGATCGGTGGCCCCCGAGGGCAAGCCGCCGGGCCGAGGGCTCCGACAGGGACGAAATTGCCTTTGAGGATATCTGCCGGAACATGGTCTTCGTTGGTATGGTGGGCATCAAGGACCCCCTTCGTCCGGGTGTGCCCGAGGCCGTCAAGGCCTGCCAGGGAGCGGGCGTCGTCGTGCGGATGGTCACCGGAGATAACAAGCTTACCGCCGAGGCTATCGCCCGCGACTGCGGCATCCTGCAGCCCAACAGCATCGTGATGGAAGGTCCCGAGTTCCGCAACCTGACCCAGGCTCAACAGGAGCAGATTATTCCCCTGCTCCATGTCTTGGCACGATCCAGTCCGGAAGACAAGCGCATCCTTGTCAGGCGTCTGAAGGATATGGGCGAGACGGTCGCTGTCACAGGTGACGGCACGAACGACGCGCCGGCTCTGAGGCTCGCTGACGTGGGCTTTTCCATGGGCATCGCGGGTACCGAGGTCGCGAAGGAAGCGTCGTCCATCATTCTCATGGACGACAACTTCAACTCGATTGTCAAGGCGCTGAGGTGGGGCCGTGCCGTCAATGATGCCGTCAAGCGCTTCCTGCAGTTCCAGCTCACGGTCAACGTTACTGCTGTTGTCCTGACCTTTGTGTCTGCCGTCTCCAACGATACCGAGTCGTCCGTCTTGACCGCCGTCCAGCTGCTGTGGGTCAATCTCATCATGGATACCCTTGCTGCCCTAGCTCTTGCCACGGATCCACCACAGGACAGCGTTCTCGAGCGCAAGCCCGAGCGCAAGGGCTCGTCCATCATCTCAACCACCATGTGGAAGATGATCATTGGCCAGGCCATCTACCAGCTGCTCATCACCTTCCTGATATACTTTGGCTCGCCCTCCATCCTGCCTGCGTATGATCCCGTAGTCGAGCGCTCTGAGATCCAGACGCTGGTCTTCAACACGTTCGTGTGGATGCAGATCTTCAACCAGTGGAAGTAAGTAGACGGAAGCGCGGCGGCGGGGGGGGGGGGGGGGGGGGGGGGGGGCCGGGGCGGGGGGGGGGGGGGGGGGGGGGGGGGGGGGGGGGGGGGGGGGGTCGGGGCGGGG